CTTCTCTGGTTCATTTCATTCAGGTTTCTTTAAATGAAAGAGTATCAGTTTATTTTTTTTACTTGAGAGAAGGAAAAGGAGCTAAGCAGAAGCTGAAAGATTGCGGTTTTTAGGTGAATGTTTACTCAAAGCAAGATATAGTTGAGCCCTGGCCGGTTTGGCTCAGCAGTGGGAGCATCAGCCTGCGGACCAGAGAGTCCCGGGTTTGGTTCCCGCTAGGGGCACATACCAAAACAGAAAAAAAAGATATATTTGATTTTGAAAACTCTCTAATGTGAAAACAATGAAGAGGTGCATACATATATTTAAAACTGTATCCCTGTAAGCAGATGCAAGCTGTTTTCAGGTAATAATACAGTAACTTTTTGTTCTTATTAATCCTCACCGGAGGATATTTTCCATTGATTTTTAGATAGAGTGGAAGGGAGGGAGGGGGAGAGAGAAACATTGATGTGAAAGAGACACACATCGATTGGTTGCTTCCCACATGACCCCAACCGGGGCTGGGGATCGAACCTGCAACCCAGGTACGTGCTCTTGACCAGAAATCAAACCCACAACCCTTTGGTCCATGGGCCAACAGTCTTAAGTGTTGAGCCAAACCGGCCAGAGCAGGAATGTTAATTTTAAACCAGAAGATATCACTGACTTCCAAAATAAAAACCAACATTCTATCTCCCTGTCTTTTAAGAAAAATAACAAAGCTTAAAATGTAAGCTTCCTTTTGTAATACTCATTTCAGCTGATCTAAGCAAAACATCCTATAAAAGAGATCACACTTGGGAAGGGAAACAAACCTTTCACAATGGGGAATGGGCACTGGAGGCAGACAGACCTGGACAAGTTATACCTGCCTCATCAGGTTGGAGGAGTGTTGGAGACAATGCAGGTCCCTTGTTAAGCACTGTACCTGGTTCAGGTTCAAGAGGCCCTGATAAATAGTACCCCTCCGTACCCCCAGTTCTGAGCCGGTGAGGCAGGTGAAGAGTGAAATGTTACCTTCCTGCCGGTCGGAGGCTAGGATGCAGCGGCCCTGGGTTCCTCGGGCTGCGTGCCAATTGGACGCTCCTGCCCACTCACAGGCAGCATGGGCTGGCTCCGGGCTGGCAGGAGCAGAGCCGACCGAGCCCTGTGCAGGAGGAGGTGCTTCGTGCCTAGATGCGCTCCCACACCTTTCCCTCGGCCAGCTTGCACCTCAGGAAACACCCCTCCTCGGGACACCAGGGGCACGGGGACAAACGCTGCCTCCAGCGGCAGCTCTGCTGTAAGGACTCAGTGAGTGGCTGTGACGTGACGCCGTCCAAAGCACCTGGTACGTGTACAGGACGACCGCGAAGAATGCCAGGCTATACATGGGGAGGCGTCGCAGATGGATGGGTATAGTGTGGTCCCGTCTTTATTTCTGCGAATTGTGTGTACAAGTGTATGACTGTTTAAGGAGAGGCCTGGGTGAATGTATAAACTGCTAACAGTACTCATCTGTTGAACTGCTGGGATTTTTAAGTTTTTCTCAACTAGCATAATTTACCTTTCTTGAAAAATAGCTAATTAAAAGTAAATCTTACAAACCAGTGACAGATTTCTTTAAAACCAGGTTAGTGGACCTTTAACTCAGAAGAACATCTTGATGACTGCCACCAGCCAGGGGTCGTTCGTATGTGCTGCATCACAGAGCCACCCCAAGTGGCCGCTGCTGCAGGAAGCTGTGTTGCCAGACAAGTGGGGAAATTCTGTGCTCTGCTCCTGTCTTCAGTCAGTGGTGTGCGGGGTCAGGCCTTTTCACCACGGAGCGTTGCAGCCAGTGGGCAGGGGGTCTGTTGGCCTTTCTCAGCCTGGGTTCAAGCTGCCAAACAGGTTCAGAAATGTGTGTCCAGCAGGAAACGTGACTTCTCACGGGCAGATGGTAGCCGTGCCCCACACTCTCTGGGGTCCTGGCTGCTGAGTCTCGTCCGCAAACCCCTGTGGGGTGGGAGACAGGCTGTGTGCACACACCTTTCATCCCCATCTCTCTGCTGGGCCTCAGTCACAGGCTCACACCCAGCCTCAATGGACTCTAGGAAATGTAGTCATTGGCTGCGTGGTCATGTACCTACTAAAACTCAAGTGGGATTTCTGTCACTCAAAGGAGGCAGGGGTCTGGGCAGTCTTCAGTCTCTGCCACAGTTTACCTCACCCTACTGGCCACCTCTCATCCCAGCCAGGCTCTCTGTGGGGCCAGCAGAGCTTCCCATAGTCACAGTCTCCCAAATGCTGTCTCCAGCACCCGGTGGAAGAGCTGGGTGACCGGGGTCACCACAGAGATGCACCCGCCAAGCAAGGGGACCAGCCCCAGACACACCACAGTGGCTGGTCCTCGGCTGCAGTGGATCTCAGTGGAACTTGCAGACATGTCCTGATGGGAGCCCACTGAAGCGAAGCAGTGCTAGGACGTGTAGCCCAGCAGTCACTGCCGGGCCACCCTCAGAGGCAGGCCCGTCTGCCAGAAGACAGGACAGGAGCCTGTACAGCAACTTATTCATGGCCCCAACTACAAACCACCCAAGTGGTCATGCCTGGGGAGGTGGAACATGAACTGGGAAGTACCTGTGCAGTAGGGCGCTGGGCACCAGTGGGGAGAAGGGGTGTTCAGAGCCATGACATTGAATGTTAGCAGATACTCTGGGGTGATGAAAATGTTCGGGAATCAGATAATGGTGATGGTTCTATAACCATAGGAATATTCTAAAAAATAGTGAATTGTACACTTTAAAATGGTGAGTTTTATGGTGCGTGAAACATTTCACATTTTGAAAATGGGCACAGTTTGCAAAGCAGACAGAAGAGAACATACTGTATGATTCCATGTGAATAAAATGTGAAAATGGGTTATAACAATATCATATTTAACAACAACAACAAAAAAAACCACCAGTATGGGCCAAATTCATAGGTAGTAATGGACGTGATTACCATAGGGGACCCTTTCTGGCCATAGACATACTTGGTGTGGACCGCCTGTGGTGCCCCAGGGGTATGAGGCGTTCAGGATGTGTACACTTTATGCAGATTGTAGCTGAGATCAAAGAACTGCATTGGGAGGGTGTCCTGTGGTGACCGCAGAGCACGTGTCACCTGGTCACAGCACTCCCCTTGCCCCACCCTGCCCTCTGGCACATCCGCGTGCTTGGTGGCCACGGAAGAGATGGGTTTGCAGTGGCCGTTTCCCACCAGCAGACTGGGAGTGAGCAGGGACCCTGTGGTGGCGTCCAGATGGAGCTTCCTGGAGGTGGAGTCACCGGGGAGAGCTCTCGGGTGATGCACCTGTGAGGAAGGCCAGACTGGGTGGTGGGGTCCAAATGGCTGTGGCTGATCCCAGGGGACTGTCATCCAGGCATCATGGGTGAGGGAGGCCCTCCAAGATCCCCAGCCCTTGAAGTGCACAGCTCCTTGCTCTCGTGGAGGGATTAACATTGCCAGTTAGCTGCCATGGAAGCCCTGGGGAAGCAAGGTTTTCTAGAGCTGGTTGCAGAAGACACAGCAGAGAGAGTCCAGTGAGTTCCTGCTTGGAAGATGCTGGTGGCCTCGAGGGACTGACCGCCATCAAGGAAGCAGATGCAGCCTGTGGCTGCTAGGGACTGGATTCTGCCAACCGTCTGAGTTTGGGAATGGGTTCTCCCAGAGGGGCCCTCTACCTGGGTGACGTGTGACCCTGAGCACAGTCCCACTCGTGCTGGGCTGACTTCTGGCCACCACTGAGCTGACAGGCGTGTGCTGTTACCTGCTGCTAAACTTGTGAATTGTTGCAGCGATGGATCACTCCACGTGGGCCTCCCCAAGAGAGGGCCTTGGGGGAGGCGGATTCCCGCCCAGGAATTTCAGAGTTGCAGGGAGGATGTCACTCTCACACCCCTGAGACCATCACAGTCTCGAGTCTCCCTCTGGATTGGTCTTGTCTGTTTTTGAACTTCACATAAATGGAATCCTACAATATGAACGCTGTGCCTTTCTTCTTTTGCTCTCATCACATCTGGCAGACGTGCTGTGCTTTCGTGTGCAGCGGTTCTGCTTCTTTACTGTATGTCATTCCCTTTTGGAGTCCTTGTTGGTGGAGCTCTGGGTGGCTGTGACTCGTCCCCACTCTTGGCCTATGCAGGGCAGGCTTGGGTTCGCTGAGTAGAGGAGAGGGTGGGTTTCAGTGCACAAGCGGAGGTGTTCGCCTTAGATTGGGTCAAGGACAGTTTAACCTGTGTCACGGGGAGGGCATGGTGTGGGAACATACCCAGGTAGGCTGGCAAATGTGGGAGAAAGGAACCAGTCTCATCTCATTGCTTGTCATCAGCTGAGGAGGAGGAGGAGGTGGGGTTGGACATTTGAGAAGAGAATAAAAGCAGGAGGTGGTCTCCGAGGAGAGTTGGGGCAGTGTAGAAAGTCCTGGGCGCTCTCAGGCTCCGTTAGGCAGAGCGTTAGGAGTGTAGAGAGCTCGGCAGGATGCGTACACAGGTAGGAAGCAAGCAGAATTCAACCAGAGGGCTTTTCCCACATGAGTATGAGAGGAAGAAAGGGGCAGGGGAGTCATATGCAAGCGAATGGTTTTACTATGTAACCCAAATGAATACAATACCACCGACCATGGGAGCTGAGCCAGCGAGGAGGGGGGAAGAACATGAAAGCATGAAGGACAACAAAGAGGCGGTAAGATGGGTCAACTTATGTTTCTTTGGAAATACATCTTGATTTTGATGTCCAAGCCATGTCCCTATACCCAGTGGCCACCCAGCCAGTCTGTCCCCAGGAGGTGGATGGTGGAGCCCCAAAGCTTTCCCAAGTCGGGGCAGCTGGGGAGAGAAGTGCTGTGGTGTGTGTGTGGGGTCGAGTGTGGGCAGAGGACACCTTTCCTCTCGGTGGATGTTTAACCCCCTCCTGCTCCAGCGATTCCTGCCTGTTGACAAGGGGAAAGATGATCTTATTCTGTTTTATTTCAGATGCTGACGTAGGAACTGGTGATGAGAAGGTGACTTAGGAGCCTGAATCTCCGAGGATGAAAAGCCACATACAGCAATGTCAGAAACGCTCACAGTGATGGAGCCCCTGGCCTCTGAGTCTGAGGGGGCCTCTGAACCTAGATTGAGGGGGCTGTTGGGAAACCGGGAAGGGCAGAGCCTGCGGAGTTCCCTGTCCCAGGAGGGAGGCTTCAGGCAGGTGACCGTTACACACTGGAAGATCCAGACAGGAGAGGCAGCCCAGGTGGGAAGTGAATCGGGAGGTGGCCCAGTTCTGAGCTCAAACCTCCTCATCCTTCAGAGAGAGCTTATAGAAGGGGAAGCCCACCCATGTGAGACTTGTGGCAAAAGCTTCCCATTTACTTCTGACCTAGTTCGACATCAGATTTCTCATACTGGGGAGAAACCTTACAAATGTGACCAGTGTGGGAAAGGCTTCAGCCAGAGCACCCACCTTGCTGAGCACCAGAGTGTTCACACTGGAGAGAGACTCTATGTGTGCAGTGCTTGTGGGAAAGACTTTGCTCACTATGCTGATCTCATTGAACACCAGAGAGTGCACGCAGGAGAAAAGCCATTCAAGTGTGCTCAGTGCGGGAAAGCCTTCTGTCACAGCTCAGACCTGATCCGGCACCAGCGCGTTCATACCCGGGAGAGGCCTTTTGAATGCAAAGAATGTGGCAAAGGTTTCAGTCAGAGTTCCTTACTCATTCGACACCAGAGAATTCACACGGGAGAAAGACCCTATGAGTGTAACGAATGTGGAAAGTCCTTCATTAGGAGCTCAAGCCTTATTCGACACTATCAGATCCACACAGAAGTGAAACAGTATGAATGTAAGGAATGTGGGAAGGCCTTTCGTCATCGCTCAGACCTCATTGAACATCAGAGAATCCACACTGGAGAGAGGCCCTTTGAATGTAACGAGTGTGGGAAGGCCTTCATTCGGAGCTCCAAGCTTATCCAGCACCAGAGGATCCACACTGGAGAGAGGCCTTACGTTTGCAATGAGTGTGGGAAGCGTTTCAGCCAGACGTCAAACTTTACTCAGCATCAGAGAATTCACACTGGGGAGAAACTCTACGAATGTAATGAATGTGGGAAAGCGTTCTTTCTGAGTTCGTACCTTATTCGACACCAGAAAATCCACACTGGAGAGAGGGTGTATGAATGTAAGGAGTGTGGGAAAGCATTTCTCCAGAAAGCTCATCTCACAGAGCACCAGAAAATCCACACTGGAGACAGGCCCTTTGAATGTAAGGACTGTGGGAAAGCCTTCATCCAGAGCTCCAAGCTGCTCCTGCATCAGGTCATTCATACTGGAGAGAAGCCCTATGTGTGTAGTTATTGTGGGAAAGGGTTTATTCAGAGGTCAAACTTCCTTCAACACCAGAAAATACACACTGAAGAGAAACTCTATGAATGTAGTCAATATGGGAAAGATTTCAGTTCTACCCCAAACTTTACAAATAATCAAGGTGGACTTCCCTTGAGTAAGACCCCCATACATTTGGCTGAGAAATCTGAAAGTCAGGGGGAGCAAACAGATAACACATAGTTATTCTCCAGCTCAGTGATGTTTGGAAGTCGGTGGCATGAGTCCTCATTCACGAGGCTTTGGACGCGTCAGCATTTCCCAGAGCCACAGGTGGGGCTGCTTTAGGAGTGGACTACCACCTGCTGTGTGCAGCAGTGCTAGACTGCTGTCCTCAGTGAGGAGCGTGTGTCCTCAGGAGAGCTACCTGCAGCAGCTGACTCAGCTTACCAATTGGGGGCCAGGAGCTGGGTCTTGAAAAGGTTTCTAGGTTTTACTGCACAATTACAGTTCATCCCTGAGTCAAATCCTCTAAAGAACTGTGTACCCAATGATTACTTTAAACAGTATTATGTAGCAAATTTTGATTTATCAAAAAGGCAAGTTGGAGAACTACTTTCTTATTTAAAACCACAGGTTGGTTCCCTGTGGTCTGTAGGACACATTCTAAGCTCCGTCTCCTACATCCTAAGGCCTTTTCCCTCCTAGAGCCTCGTCTCCCACCACTTAACTCCCAAGCCATGTAGTTGGCGTGCAGCAACACTAACTGACGTTCCCCTGTCCAAGCTGCCCCTGCCTCCTGGCCTCCATCCTTGTTTGAGTGCTCTCCTCCCCTCACCTGGTTAACTCTTCATGAGTCAGGACCTTCCTGACATTGCTGGGCTCGGCCCTGCCCGCTCTGTGCTGTCGCTCAGTTCTTACCCATTACTGCACTTACTTTGATATATAAGGATTGTGTTTTTATATCTCATTATTACACTGCTAATTCTTTAAGGACAACAGTCATATCTGATTGATTTGTGTGTCCCTGGTGTCTAGTGCAGGACAATAAAAAGCATATCCCATATCTGTGTAAGTGGTGCCTCCTGCTTTGTCCCTTCTGTACTGGTATTTTAAAGCCTTTGGATTTTGTTGTTTTGTGAAGTATAACCTACTGGTCTGCTGGAAATGCCTCTTAGTCCGCTTGATGTCTCCTGCTTGCCCTCAGGCCAGAAGTCAGGTGGTGGCCACTGTGAGCCCAGTGCCCTCATGTTCGCTGCTGTCAGAGCTCGGCCATAACCACGCACTTGGTTTGGGGAGCATTGTCTCCACGCAGCTGTCTGAATCTGTCTGTTCACTCCAGGCACAGAGCCCCAGTGCTCTACATAACTTCTTTCTGTCTTAGAGGTCCAGGACTGAACTCAACTCCTCTCCCACTTGCCCTGCTCACTGGCTCACTTTGTCATTTATTTGAAAATGTATTGACCTGTAAGGACCAGTGCTAAGTTCTGGGAGAACATGAAGACACCACCCACCCTGAGGTCACTCCAGGTGTGACGGGAAAGCCAGATCATGGCACACTGAGCAAAGTGTGGAAATAGATGCGTGTTCCTGGCCGGGTAGGAGCATAGGCAAGGGGGTGACTGACAGCAGGGAGGACCTGGGGCGGCTTCGCAGAAGAGGTGGCATTTGAACTGGTCTACAAAGATAAGTAGACGTGCAAGGAAATTGAGCAGAAGCGGGTGTTGCATGGAGCCATCCAGAAGCCGGCCAGTTTTATTACCCAGTGGATAACTGTCTAAAGAGACCATTAGTCGTCTCTGAATTTCCTTTATCTGAACATTGACCAAAATGACCACTTTTGAAATTGTATAAAACAACTCCCCCCACCCACCCACCCATGAAGGCATATTTTGAATTCTTGGCAAATTCCAACCTCAAGGGAGGAAATAATTCAATACCCCGGAGAACTCACCATTTGAAGTGTAGATGCAGGTGTTACCAGACCATTTTAATCAACTTTGTTGAGGTCCAGTTTCCACACAGTAAAACACCCATTTAAAGTGTACAGAGATTTAACATACACCCATGTAACCACCATCATAATCAGGAAAATAACATTCCCTTTGGCCATTTCTCAGCTAATCCCCCCACCTCCAGCCCCAAGTAGCCACTTTCTGTTGGTGTAGAAAGTTTTGCTTGTTCTAGGACTTCATATAAATGGTGCATATAGTATGTAATTGTGTGTGTGACTCCTTCCACCTTGGCATGTTTTAAAGACAACAAAGTGTAGTTCAGTGTTGCAGCAGTTCTCTTTACTGAGTCATGTTCCGTTGTATATAGATGAGCCATCATTTATTCATCTGTTGATAGAAATTTGAGTTTCCAGTTTGAACTGTTAAGAATAAAACTGCTATGAGCATTTGTGTAAAAGTATTTATTTTGATATACCTCCTTATTTCTCTTGGGTAAGTGGCTAAGAATTTAATACAAAATAACTGATTTTAACTTCATAAAAATTCGCCAGCCCTGGCCGGTGTGGCTTGGTTAGAGCATTGTCCCATACACTAAAAAGTGGCGGGTTTGATTCCCAGTGGGGCACATAGCCGGGCTGTGGGTTTGATCCCCAGGGAGATGGCTGATCGATGTTTCACTCTCACATTGATGCTTTTCTCTCCCTCTCTCTAAAAAAAATCAATAAAAGCATGTCCTTGGGTGAGGGTTTAAAAAATTTGCCAGCACTATTTACAATAGCTAAGATCTGGAAACAGCCCAAGTGTCCATCAGCAGACGAATGGATAAAAAAGCTGTGGTACATATACACAATGGAGTACTATTCAGCTGTAAGAAAGAAAGATCTCTTATCCTTTGAGATGACATGGAGGGACCTGGAAAGTATCCTAAGTGAAACAAGCCAAGCAGAAAAAGACAAATACCACATGATCTCACTTATATATGGAATATAATGAACATAACAGTCTGAGGAATGGGATAGACCCAGAAACATGGAAACAGGGTATAGACTGACAACCCTCAGAAGAGAGGGTGGTGGGGGGGTGGGAAGAGATAAACCACAGAACTTACATGCATGTATGCATAACCAATGGACATGGACAACAAAGCAAGCAGGGATGGGGTGGGGGGATGGGGAGGAGGGTGTCAATGGGGTAAAAAAGGAGAAACATCTGTAACAAAAATAAAATTAGAAAAAGAAAAAAAAAATTGCGAAAAATTTCTCCACACTGACTGTACCATTTTATACCCCTGCCACAGTGTGTCAGGGTTCCAGTTGCTCCACATCCTCACCAACACGGCATTGTCACTCTTCCAACATGTAATCCATCCCGGGGGGGATAACGTGTCTTCCTGCTGGGGGTCAGGCTGAGCACCTTCTCAGGTGCATGTTGCCATCTGTGTTATCCCTGTGATGTGTTTGTTCATGACTGCTCACTTTTTTTTTTTTTCAATCCTCACCCGAGGACATTTTTCCATTTTCTATTCAGATATAGTGTGTGTGTGTGTGTGTGTGTGTGTGTGAGAGAGAAACATCGATGTGAAAGGGACACATCGAGTGGCTGCCACCCGCACTACCCAACCAGGGCCGGAGACAAACTGCAACCAAGGTACGTGCCCTTAGTGGGAACCAAACCTGGGTCTCTCTGGACCGAAGGCCGATGCTCTAACCGCTGAGCAAAACCGGCCAGGGCATGACTGCTCACTTTTAAACTGGGTGACTTGTCTCCTTGTTATTGACTTGTGAGACTCTTTTCTATATTCTAGATGAAAGTCTCTTTCCAAATATAGTCTTTGGCATTTTCCATTTTGTTAATGGTGCAGCAACCATGGGAAAGCCTTCAAGCAGAAGCTGACCATGCTCCAGCACCAGCTGGTGCCCAGCGGGGTGAGGCCTTTCTGCTGTGTGGACCGTGGGAAAGCCTTCTGCACCAAGGACCACCTTCACCACCACCGCAGGGTCTATAGCAGAGAGAAGCCCTACACGTGTGACCAGTGTGGCAAGGCCTTCTGGTGGCCCAAGGGCTCCAGCATCCACCAGAGACTGCACCTGACCAGAGGGTACAATGAGTGCGACCACTGCAGGAAAAGCTTCTGCTACCTGGGCTTCTTCACCTGGCAAACAGGGTGGCCACTGTTGGAACAGCTGACAACATTTTAATGTGAACTGAGAATTAGCTGATAATATTTTCTCTATACTAAATTTCCCGACTTGGGTCATTGTGTTGCAGTGATGTAGGAGAATGTCCCTCTGCTCAGGAAACATTATAAGGATTTAGAGGTGAAGGGCATGACCTAGTGAACCTACTTTTTTAAAAAATGTTTTGGGGGGAGATGCATGCGTGCACACACACACACACACACACACCCCAAAAGAGTAGAAAGCAAACTGCTGGTGAAGTTAGATAAACAGTATGTGGGACTTCACTGTACTATTCTTGCAACTTTTCTGTAAATTTGAAATTATATCAAAATAAAAACTACCCAACACCCACAAGAGGTTAAACGGAAAACCTCCCATAGCTTCTCACAGTGCTCTCAACCGAAGCTGGCCCCACACTGGTCCTCCTGACCACAATGCCCAGTTGCCCAACTTCTCCCTGGCCCACCAGGCTCCTTTCCTGCTCCCCACCATCTGTCCACGCCATGATGTCTCTCTGTCACCAATTCCTGATGGGCAAGATGTTGATATCCCCCACTTTCTCAGGCCCTGGTCCTGTGGGATCAGCCAGAGATCAGCCTTGGTGTGGAGGGATGCTGGATCCCGGCTGACACACAGGATGAAGGGTGCATCAAGCTACCTGCAGCCTAGACACCGGAAGCCAGAATAAGTGGCCCCTGAGCTGGCTGGAAATGCTGGAGTAACAAGGCAGGCAGTGCCAGAGAGGCGTGTGTGTGAGGGGGGTCACACTTTTATTAACAATTGCACTCACCAAAAATGATTCCTAAACACCGGTCTTCCCCCACTCTGGCCTTCTTTCGGTTAGGTTCAGGCTACAGCGTCAGTGTTCACGGTCTCCTTCGACTGGAGGATGGAAAGGGCTCCATCCAGGGCCGGACTTAGCAGAGGGGAAGATATTCTGTGAGGCCATACGCAACGAGGACCGCGAAGACATCTGGGAGGCAGGGCGCGACGGGGCCAAGGATGGGACCTGGGAGCTAGGGCGCGATGGGGCCAAGGATGGGACCAAGGATGGGGCCAAGGATGGGACCTGGGAGCCCACTTGCGACCGGTCCTGGGATGGGACCCGTGAACGCGCCTTCGGAGAGGCCAGCGACGGGACCCTGGAGCCCAACGGGATCATCATCGACGGAATCCTGGAGATCACGTTCGAAGAGACCTGAGACGGGTTCTGGGAGGCCGCGCTCGACGGGCCTGTGGGGGAGGCAAGGGACCCTGGGAGCGCGGTGGGCGGTGGCGGTTGCCACAGCGTCGGGCCCCCGGCTCCCCGGCGCAGCCAGCCATGCACGCGCGCCAGGTCCCGCGTGTCCTGGTGCTCGCGCCGCAGCTGCTCCCGCTGCTCCAGCAGCTGGCGCCTCATGTCATGCAGCAGCTGAGCCCGGCGGAGCAGCCGCAGCAGCTCTTCCCGCAGCTTTCCGTTGTCCGCCTTGATGGCCTGCGTGTGCGCGATGAGCGCGCGCGCCGCCTCCCTCTCCGCGCGCCGCGCCAGGGACTGCACGCGCTGGCGCGCCTCGCGCTCGAAGGCAGCCTTGTCGTCCAGGAAACGCCCCTTCACGCGGTGGAGCAGCTGCGTGTGCTCCACGCGCATGTGCAACAGCTCGCGCTCCAGCGTCCGGATCCGGGCCAGCTGCTCCAGCTGCAACTCCTGCGGCGGCGGCGGGGGTCAGCGCCGCGGTGCGGCACGCGCCCAGCCCGCCCGGCCCCCGCCCGGTCCGCCCACAGGCGCGCGCACTGGCCTTGTAGGGCTGCAGCTCCTGCACCTGCTGCGCCATCTGCGCCGCGCGCGCCTCCATGTCCAGCAGCTGCGCGCGCACCCCGTTCTCGCGCCCGCGATAGAGCGACTCCAGGTCAGCCCGCTGCCCGTGGATCTGTGTCAGGTCCACGCGGTTCTGCTCCTCCAGTCGGACGATGGCTTTGGGGCAGCGCTGCGCGCGGTTGCTCACGTAGCTGGCGTAGAGCCGGTTCTCTTCGCGCAGGCGCAGCGCCTCGGCGTTCAGGAAGGCGTTCTCGCGCAGCACCAGGTCCACGCGCCCCTCGCAGGCGTCCAGCTGCTCCGAGAGCAGCTTGTACTCGCGCTGCAGGTACTGCGCCCGCTCCGACAGCGGCGGCTCGGCGCCCTCTGCCCCGGCGCCCAGCCGGCTGCCCATGCTCAGCCCGCGCTTCTTCTTGGGCGCCATGGTCCGGGCCTGGGGCACAGGCCCGCGTGAGGGACCGCCCCCTGCCCCCTCCTCCACCTCAGACCTTCCCTCCCAGCCCGGCTGTTCTAGCGGGGTGGGGCGCGTCTCAGGGTGACCAGGTCAGAGGAGGCCGAATCGGGCCTATGGGATTAATCGGGGTCAGGGCACAGTGGCCAACCTTCACTCGTGGTTTCCTTTAGGACCTTGGCCGTCCGCTGGGTTGTGCCCACCTCGAGTAATGTTGGCATTCAGCCCATACCGTCTCCATGGAGACAGAACTTAGTCGCCCTTGCCCACTCTCACCGCGTTGCTCGGGGAACGGCCCCACTCCCCCACCTCCAAGCCCCCCAACTCCGTCGCTCAAAGTCGGTGCCTGACATCCACGTGTGCGCACCCTGCACTGATCGGACCGAAACCGGGAGGACTTCGACTTCCGGACGACGTCGAATTGCTTCCGAATCTAAGACTAAGCCACAGCCCAGTAGCCCCCGTCTCCAGCCAGACTTGATTTAGCAGGTTGGTTTCAGAGCCGCGGAGGTTCACGCACACAGCTACACCTGCACAAAAGGTGCGGCAGCGCCACTCGAAGTTAGGAATACAGCATCTTATAAATAAAAACAAGGACATAACCCTAATGACAATGCAGAACCTCCGGTTATTTCAGCATTAAAATATTAAAGAAACGTTGCTCATTAACTAAAACAGCATTTGAACACTGGCCTTAAATGATACGGGCTTTTGCCTGACCGAGTAGAATCAGGGGAAAACAAAATAAACCTTCAACCTTTAAGTGGGGGCTTCTGAGATGTTTTCCTCTGGCCACTCTCCAGGGCCTGGCATTTACATACCATGGTCTCTGCCCCCAGGGGCAGCCTCCTGCGCCCTACACCTCGCCACCCTCAGATTTAGAAACAGAGACGGTGGGAAGTGGAGGCCTATTCTCTTGGCAAGTCTGGTCCTTCACAATCTGGCCCTGTGCTAAGCTGCCTCTGTCCCTCCTGGGCTCCTGCGCGGCACACAACTGTCACAGGAGTGTCTGGGTCAACCTTGGCCTGCTCATTTTTGTTGCTAGGTGAGGGACTCTTTGGGCAGATTTTTTTTTTTTTTTGTATGTGTTCCTAGTGGGATCCAAACCTGGGACTCTCTTCCCAGCCCTGGCTGGTTTGGCTCAGCGGTTGAAGTCCAGGGCTGGGCAGATTTTTAAAATCCTTTCAGCCTCCGGAATTTCTCAGTGATCTGTCCTTGCTTTAAAGCTCATAAATGGCCTTGGCCTGTTTGGCTCAGTGGTTAGAGCATCGGCCCATGGACCAGAGAGTCACGGGTTCGGTTCCCGCTAAGGGCACGTACCTCGGTTGTCCCCGGCCCCGGTTGGAGTTCTGTGGTGGCAACCACTGATGTATCTCTCTCACTAGATGTTTCTCTCTTCCTCCCTCTCTCCCTCCCACTATAAAAAAAAAGAAAAAAGAAAAACAAAACAAAAAACGCATAAATGCCTCCTCCCAGGAGGTCTGGTGAGCATTTTGATCTCTTCTGTCTCCAGTACTGCAATGACCAATTATGCAATCTGGGTGGAATAGTTTGAGAGGCCCCGTGGAAACGCTGACCCCGCCCCGCCCCCAGCTCTGGTGCTACCCAGACTACATCTAAACCACCCTCCAAGGTGGCCCCTCCTCTCCAAGTTCGCTTCCAGTCTTGGCCCCGCCCCCAGCCCAGGTCTGACCCCCCCCACCACGTTCAAGCCATGCCCAAACCTAGCTCTGATAGCTCCAAGTCCTTCCCCGTACTGGCCCCTCCCCCACCGCCGCCGGAACCTCCTGCAGTGAACCCCCCTCCCCAGTCCTGTCCCACGGGTGCTGGGCTTCATCTCTGAACCTCGGCGATAAGGGTCAGGAGGGTCCTTGTCTCCTCCCCTTCCTCCAGCTCACTCCGTGCCACAGGCTTAGGCTTTGGGGCACCTTGGTGATTTCAGGCGCAACCCTTCTCGGGAAAGGGGAGGATGCCCGGCCCGAAGCGGGATGAGACGCCTTCCTGGGCCCCCCGGGGGCCTTATCTCAGTGTGCTGGGGAAAGGGTGTCTCTGGTGTCCACCAGGTCCCGCCACCGTCCATGGGAGACAGAACTCACTTCCAAGAGTCCAGATTCAAAGTCAAGTGTTACCTGTGTCGTTTTCCCCCATCCTCGGGGGCCTCCCTCTCCCCTCCGCCCCACATGAAATAGGTAGTGATCTTTTTCCTTCCGGAGACCAAGACTATGTCTCCCTAAGACTCAGGCTGGGGAGGGCCTGGGGCGTCACTTACCTCTTGACAGGTCCTGAGCGGGAAAGGCCTTGAGAGGAAGGGTCGTGAACAACCCATCTGCTCAGCTTCGGCCAAGGCTGCCCTTCCCCCTCCTCATGTCTTGGCCAGGTCCGCTCCCCACAGCGCTCTTTGCTGGGGGTCTGCCCGGGTTTGCAGACTGCAGCAGAAGGTCCCCTCTGTCTGTTCCTGGGGTGCTGCTCACAATACCCCTCAGGCCACTCCGCTCACCACCTTCCCCAGGGCTCACTCTGCCCCGGACGCCCTCCCGGCTCAGTTCCTGAGACTTGGGTGAGCTCCCCTTGTCAGGAGTAGTCACTGGGGTTGGGCTGTGTGCCTGGCCCTGGAGTGAGCACTTCCAGAGCCTCTGCTCCCATCGCACAGGTGGAGAAACTGACACACAGAGCGACTCATCCCAGACCCTGACAGCACTGGAGCTGTGACTGGGACCCTGGTGGGCTGCTTCCACTGTGTGCACGGCCTCTGGCCACATCCTCTCCCCATCTGTGACCTGTGCCCTCAAACAAGGGGCAGAGCCAGCCACCTTTATTGAATCCACAGCCCGAGGCCAGCACATGACCACTGCCCATGACCCTTACATCTGCCAAGGCCAATTGGACCTGTGGTATTGGGGTGGGTTCAGGTGATGCCAGAGACCCTGTTGTTGGGGCTCGGCCTTGGGAGCCTGAGATCTATAGGGGTGGCCAGATGCTGAATGGTGGTCAGATGAAGGGACCCTGGAGGACCTGGCAGTATGGATGCCCCACCCCCACTCCAATACCTTGATTATAAGCATGGCACTGATGGTGACCACCATGGCAAAGGGGACAATGAGCAGGAACAGTGAGGTCCAGGAGAGCCTGTCCATCTACTGTGTCCTCTGGCTGGCATCAAGACCTGGAGACCCGAGACCTGGCTGTCCTCTGGGTGGGACCCGAGTCTGTCCCCTTCCCTTTATCCCAGACTATGTGCGGCCTTTCCTCCTCCACCACCGCCCGAGCTGGTTCTCAGCCAGGCGTTCAGGCAAAGACCCTTCCTCAAGTGGCCTCCCTTTCATAGCCAGGTACCTTGGAACCGGTGCCGGACCCACGCAGGCTCACAGTCAGCCCAGGTGGGAAGCCCATAGCCAGGCCCTGGTGTGCATCAACTCCCATGGCCATGGTCCCTGGAGGAAGCACTATGCCCTTCCCAGACAGCAGTGCAGTGAGGGCCATGCTGCAATGCCACTCGCTTCCTGAGAGCAAAACCAGGCCTGAGCCCGTGGGATCCTGGGGCGCATGCATGGGGTCCAGAAGAGCTGGGTGGGGCTCCATAGTGATGCCGTTGTGGTGACCCCAGCTTGGTGAGGCCTTGATGGAAGCTGAGGTCTATGGGCTTGGCTCCCCAATCTTACCCGAGGGTCAGGCCAGTAGGGCTGGGACGTGGAGTGTGGTCCGGGGCAGCCTGCATTCCCCTCCCCAGAGGCTCCCCTACCTCTGTATGTGAGGAAGAGGACAGCGAACAGAAGAATGCCCAAAGCCCAGGGCCCGGGCCAGGCCCCAGTGGCAATGCCCACGCCCATCTCTGCAGGCTGGCTCAGAGAAGACTCTGAGAAATGGCCAAGAGAGGGCGCCCAGCGGGGCATACCTCAGGCACCCTCACTTCTGAGTCTGGAGGCATGATCTCAGACTCTGCAAACACAACCCCAACTAGCCCTCCTGGAGGGTCTTAGGCACCTGCCTGAAGTGACCTGGGTACCTGAGTCCCCAGCCCACCCTGGAGCAGGGCAGAGCAGAGGACAGCTTTGGGCTAGAAGAACACACTAGGTCCACGCAGCAGGGTGGGGGCGGCTGTGCAGGAGGCAGGAAGGCCAGTGGCTACAACTGTGACACAGATGGCAACACAGCTGTGAGGGACCCACACACAAGAACTGGGATTCCTGGGAGGGCAGGGCCCATGCACTTGGACTGTGACTGTCCGCAGTCTGAGATGGGGCCCGGTGAGTCTGGTCTCCTAGGTTACAAGGAGGCAGGTGATGGTTGAAGCTGGAGGTTCCCAGCAGGTTGTTTCAATATGGAGGTTTTTTTTTGTTTTTTTCTGTATGATTTTAAACAGAGAGGGAGAGATAGAACCATCAATGAGGGAGAACATCGACTGGCTGCCTCCTGCATGCCCCCCACTGGGGATTTGGCCCACAACCTGGGCATGTGCCCTGACCGGGAATCGAACCAGCAACCTCTTGGTGCATGGGTTGACGCTCAACCACTGAGCCACACCAGCCGGGCTAATCTGGAGGGTTTGACCTGTCACCACCCCCTCTCCCTGGATGTTGGGTCTTCTGAATAAGGCCTTCCCATCCTGCCCATAGTTCAGCCGAAAACTAAATACATGGCCCACTTTTTATCTAATGCATAATAAATACCTCAAGTTGATGATAATGCGCGTACTCAAAAGAAAGCCAATGGTTACCACTGCATATGACTGATTTTTTTAATCCTCACCCGAGGATATTTTTCCATTTATCTTCATATATAGTAGGAGGGAGGGAGAAATGGAGAGAGAGAGAAACATCGATGTGAAAGAGACACATCTTGTCCCTTCGCATCGATGTTTCTCTCTCTCTCTCTCCCTTCCTCTCTCTCCCTCCCACTCTATCTGTACAAAAAATGGAGAAGTATCCTCGGGTGAGGATAAAAAAAGAAAAGAAAAAAAGAAAGACCCTGGCCAGTTTGGCTCAGCAGTTAGAGCATCAGCCTGCGGACCAAAGAGTCCTGGGTTCGATTCCAGCCAAGGGCACATACCTCAGTTGCGGTTCATCCTGGCCCCAGTTGGGGTCGTGCAGGTGGCAACCAATCGATATGTCTCTCTCACATTGATGTTTCTCTCTCTCTCCCTCCTACTCTGTCTGAAGATAAATGTAAAAATATCCTCAGGAGAGGATTTAAAAAAAAAAAGAGACACATCGACTGGTTGCCTCCTGCACGACCCCGACCAGGGCCAGGGACGGACTGCACCCGAGGTACGAGCCCTTGATTGGAATCGAACCCACAACTCATTGGTCCGCGGGCCCACACTCTACCGCTGAGCCAAACCGGCCAGGGCACGACTACATTTATTGTTAACTAACAGGTGATGAGAAAATAGAACCTTCTTGACAAGATTGATATCTGCAAGGTTTCAAAACAACTAATGGGCCGGGCCCGTGTGGCTTAGTGGATTGAGCGTTGTCCCATGAACTGAGAGGTCCCAGTTTGATTACCGGTCAGGGCACATGCCCAGGTCTCGGGCTCGATCCCCAGTGGGGTGCATTCAGGAGGCAGCCGATTGATGTTTCTATCTCTAAAAATCAATAAAAACATACTAAAAGTAAAAATGAAAAACGAATGGATGAGTCAAATATCTACTTAAAAATGATATTACAATTGATTTAATATTTAAATATAATGAAGTTCACTCTGCAGATTTTTTTTTTTTTTGAAATGCATTGGTGTTGGAATAATTCTGCTTATTGGCCACATTCTCAATGGCAGAATGGCAGGGTCAAGACCTCTGGTTTGGGGTTCATGGGGGAAGGTTGGAAAAGGAGGGCCTGGGGGGCTCCAATCACAGCCTCACTTCAGCCTCGGAGCCTCCATGACTGAACCCAGCTCTCGTTCCCTTCCGTCTGTCCAGTTACCAGTCCTCGCTCCACGTCCAGCCATATGCCTTTGTCCCTGTGGGCATATATCTTTTCAATTAAAATTTATATTTAGGAAATACTCCCACTTGTTTGATGAATTTGCCATTTCATCTAAGTTATCAAGTGTGTTGGTGTGAGGTTATTAATAAACACTCATTATCTTTTCAATGTTTGAAGGGTTCTGTTAGTAATGTGCTGTCTCTCATTTAATTTTAATCAGTCCAGCTACATTTTATTCCATTGATTCAAAGAACCAGCTTTTTATTGGTTTTCTGTCTTGCTTGTCCACTTTCCATTTTAATGATTCCTACTCTTATCTTTTACTTTTTAATTTTTTTTCTTTATTGATTTTAGAGAGAGAGGAAGGGAGAGAGAGATAGAAATATCAATGAGAGAGAACATCGATTGGCTGATTCCTGCATGCCCCACACGGGGATCAGGCCCACAAGCTGGATATGTGCCCTGACAGGAATTAAACCAGGCACCTCTTGGTCCATGGGTAGGTGCTCAACCACTGAGCCACACTGGCCGGGCCCTACTCTTATCTTTATCATTTTATTCTTTCTACCTACTTTGGGTTTAATTTTCTCTTCATTTACTAGCTTGTTAAGGTGGAAACTTAAAATTTTCTAATATAAGCATTTAGAACTATAAATTTCCCTCTCATCATTGCTTTGGCTGCATCCCACAAATTCTCAGATGTTGTTTTCATTATCTTTCAGTTCAAAATAATTGATAGCACTGGCCAGTGTGACTAAGCAGTTAGGATGTTGGCCTGAGGACCAAAGGGTTGTGGATTCGATTCCTGGTCAAGGGCATATAATGTACCTGGGTTGCAGGTTCGATACCTGGCTGGTAGCAGAAGGCAACCAATCAATGTGTCTCTCTCACATCAATGTTTGTCTCTGTCTCTCCCCCTTCCACTCTCTCTAAAAGCAATGGAAACTGAAAGGGTTAATAATGTTTTAACAAAATTAAACTCCATTCTGACCAATTATTCCTGCACGTAAACACCTGAGCAGCTTTCTAAAAAACCTGGGACTGACACCCAGAGGAACCATGAAGATAAGGGGTTAATGATGGCCTTGGGAAACTTGAAGGGACCATAAAAAAAGGAGATTAATGATGGCCCAGACCTCTGCTGGAGCAGACCTCTTACCTCTGAAACAACTTGTATCAGCCCTGACACCAATTACACAGTGCCAAGAGAATGTGGATTTTTTTAATGTCGTTTTTTTAGTTTCTGTAGTTTGTAACTATAAAACCCAGAGAACAAAGAGACTTCAAGGCTGGGCTCTTTTTTAAGGAGTCAGCCCGCCTGCACCCAGGAGTGTGCAATAAAACCATTGGCTCTGCACTGGCCTTGTGTGTGGATGTGACCCCCGCCGGCTCAGACCTTTTAGAAAAAATATCCTCGGATAAGGATTAATAAAGAAATTTAAAAAACAGAATAGTTGATCATTTTCTTCATCACTTCTTTGACACATTGCTTATTTAGAAGTGTGTTGTTTAATCTCCAAATCTTTTTGGGGAGGGTTCCAAATATTTTTATTTATTTCTCATTTAATTCTGTGGGATCAGAGAACATAATTTGTGTGATTTTAATCCTTTTAAATTTGTTGATCTTTGGTTTATGTTCCTTAGAATACGGCTTTCCTTGGTGAGTATTTCATATAATTTAAAAATAATTAATTTAAAAAGAATGTCGCCCTGGCCGGTTGCTCAGTGGTTAGAGCGTTGGCCCTCAGACCAGACAGTCCTGGGTTTGGTTCCCACTGGGTGCGTTTGCCACGTTGGCAGTTTGCCCCCGGCCCCATGGGGTTGTGTGGGTGGCAGCCAGTCCATGTGTCTCTCTCACATCAATGTTTCTCTGTCTTCCTCCCTCTTTCCCTCCCGCTCTACCTGAAGATAAATGCAAAAGTGTCCTCGGGTGAGGATTAAATACATAAATAAATAAATAAATAAATAGCAAGCATGTCTTTTTCTTATGGGGCGGGCTGTTCTAGAAATGTCAACTTGGTCAAGCTGGACAATATTGTTCAGGTCTCCACATCTTTCTTTTCTGCCTGCTTGTTGAACTAATTATTGAAAGTGTTACAATCTCCAGCTGATCTATTTCTTCTTTCAGTTCTGGCCGGTTTTGCTCTATGTGTTTTGGGACTGTTATCAGGTGCATACACTGTCGGGACTGTAATATGTGCTCCCACTCCCTTCCCGGGCCACCCGTCTTACCTCGCTTTCTTTTCACCCAGTCTGAAGAACTGCCCCCCTTCCGCTCCAACTCTGCTCTCCCAGCACCTGCCCAATCCGGGCGCCCGCACCGCTGGGGCCGGCGCGGCCCCTGAGCCCGGACAGCTCCGCAGTGGAGGGGCTGCGGGCGAGTGACCCTGACCGCCAGCGCCACCTCCCCACAGCCCGGAGGAGTGAGGCGGGGCGTGGCGGGAGCGTCCGGGCCTGGGCACCGCCCGTGCGAAGGCCGGGGTTTGCACAGGGGCTCCTGGACGCTGCGGAGGTTCCTCGGGAAAGGAGCGGAGGTTTGGGGCGGAGCCTAGGGGGCGGGACTGCGGACGGGGCGGGGCTTGTGCTGAAACCCCGCCCCCGGTCTGGCGCTTGCGCCAGGGAGGTGCTGCCGCCGGTTCCCAAGGCAACCGGGTTCAACAGCTCCACCGAGCTCGGGCATGCAGGCCTCCCGGCGCCCACCGGCGGGCGTGCACGCCGCCGACGTGGACCCTCACGTAGCCCAGCGATACCTGCTGAAGCGGCGGCTCGGGAAGGGGGTGAGCCGGGGAGAACCCGGGTGTTCGCAGTCCCGGGCAGCAAGGCCAGTCCAGGGTCCGTTTCCTCCCACACTGTGGGGACTCTGAGGCTCTGTTCTGCCTCCTCCGCCGACTGGAGGCGTCGCCTTGGGCAAGCCACCGAGCCCCTCGGAGCCGCAGTTTCCTGTACAGGACCTACTCCCAGGAAACCTGTCAGGGACAAGGCTCTGGATCCCGGATGGGCACCCACCTGCCGCCCCCACTCTCCTCCTGCTCCCGGGCTGTGTCTCCCGGTGCCCTACGCCCTGGGAGGCTGGGCCCACCTGCTCCAGGCGCTGAGAGGGGAGGGCAGGAAGGGCCTGGAAGGGTGAATTTCTGTGGGCATGGAAGAGGAGCCAGAAGCGCGTGTGAGCCCATGGGTATTTGTGATTGTGAGTGAGCATGTGCGGTTGTGCATGAGTGTGTAACACTGTGTGTGTGTTAATGTGGGAGGGGAGAACGAGCAGTTGAGACAATGCACACAGCAAGTGCAAAGGCCCTGAGGTTAGAACCTGCTTGGATTTGGGTGGAGCAACAGAGTTGCTGAGACTGGATAGAAGTGATTGGGGAAGGGGTCGATCACATGGGCTTTGGGGACTTTGGCTTCTACTTTTAGTGAAATAGGGAACAGTAGCAGCTGTTGACGCCATTTTACAAGGCTCACCCTTCCCACTGTTGAGGATGGGGGTGGGCAGGCAGCAAGAGAGATTAATCAAGATGTTAGTGCCCTGGCCAGTTTGGCTCAGCAGTTAGAGCATCAGCCTGCGGTCCAGAGAGACCTGGGTTCAGTTCCCGCTAAGGGTGCGTACCTTGGTTGCAGTTTGTCCCTGGCCCTGGTTGGTTGTGCAGGTGGCGGCCACTCGATGTGTCCCCTTCACGTTGATATTTCTCTCTCTCTCTCTCTGTTCCTCTCTCTCCCTCCCATGCTACCTGAACAAAAAATGGGAAAATGTCCTCGGTGAGGATAAAAAAAAAAAAGATGTTAGTCTCCACTAACCAGGCAAGACATGCAGGAGGCTCAGACTGAGATGGGGGCAGCAGAGATGGTAGAAATGGTCGAATTCTGAAGGAGGAGCCAATAGGAGCTGCTGACAGGTTGGATGGAGTATGTGAGAGAGGAGTTAGGGTACCTAGAGAAGCGTTCTGCCCCAGACCCCAACCCACGCTGGCCTCTATTTTCCCTTGCTGCCTGTCACCCCCTCCAGAAGGTGCAGGGGCCTGGGCAGCCTGCAGCAGCAGGGGCCTTCTCACCAAACCCCACCCCTCCCAGCAGCCAGAGCAGGAAGGAGGAGCCTTGTCCTCAGGGCAGGCTGGGGGTGGGGGGAGCAGGAGGGAGCAGGAGGCTGACCTGCCTTCTCCCCAGGCCTACGGAATTGTGTGGAAGGCAGTGGATCGGAGGACTGGCGAGACTGTGGCCATCAAGAAAATCTTTGATGCCTTTAGGGATAAGACAGATGCCCAGGTAATGGAGGGAGAAAGTGGGAAATGGTGAGGGCAGGGCTGTGGGCTTACCCCTGACGCCTTGGCGCCTGGAAGCCCAGTCACAGTGGGTGTCGCGTTGCTCGGAGAAGTGGTCCCATAGTTCAGTGGGCGTGTGGGTGAGGAGCACCAGCCTCTTTGGGTCCTTATGGCTTTGCACACACTTGTGCTTCTGTCTCATTCCAGAGAACGTTTCGGGAAATCATGCTGCTCCAGGTGAGTGGCCAAGGCCTCTGCCCACTTCCCCAGCTGCAGTCTCCCCAAACAGGGCAGAGGCTGGCCCCTCTGCCTCAGAACACAGCTCCCGGCTCTCTCCCCAGGAATTTGGGGACCATCCAAACATCATTAGGCTCCTGGATGTGATCCGGGCAGAGAACGACAGGGACATTTACCTGGTGTTTGAATCGATGGGTAAGTGGGGCCTTGTCAGACCCCAGCCTTAATTCTGTCTTAGCCTGGGACTCCCCCGCCTCCGCCCCACCAGGGCGTGGTTCCCTCTGTATGTTTCTCTGTTGCTCAGGCCCCTCAGATCAGCATCCTCACCTTGGGCAGTGTCCCTGTGCCCAAGGACAAACAGCTGGCAAGGGTCGGCCCTTGGCTTACCCTTGCAGTAACCATCTTGACTTCATCCCCACAAGGCCCTGCTTTAGCCACTGTTCACAGCTACCTTTTCCTTTTTCTACTCACTTTATGAAACAAAGGCACCAAAAAAAGTATTAAATATAATTCCACAGGCCTGGCCAGTATGGCTCAGTGGTTGAGCATCAACCCATGCACCAAGAGGTTGCTGGTGCGATTCCTGGTCAGGGCACATGCCCCGGTCGTGGGCCCAGTTCCCCGTGGGGGGCATGCAGGAGGTGGCTGATTGATGTTCTCTCTCATTGATGTTTATATCGATCTCTCCCTCTCTAAATCAATAAAGAAAAAAAATAAAAAATAATAATAATTCCACAACCTTCTTACTATACCAACAAAGACAATGAGCAGGCCCGAAATGTCTGCGGGACCACTGGGAAGTATACACACCCAGGACATGACCCTGAGGATGGCCAGTGGGACCTGGGGACTTTGGGCAGTGGACAGGCAGAGGTGCCCCTGCCAAGGTTCAGAGTGGGACAGACCTACCCTGGCCCGTTTGGCTCCGTGGTTAGAGTGTCGGCCTGTGGTCCAGAGAGACCCGGGTTCGGTTCTTGCTAGGAGTGTATACTTCGGTTGCAGTTTGTCCTCAGCCCTGGTTGGTTGTGCGGGTGGCAACCACTCGATGTGTCCCTTTCACGTCGATGTTTCTCTCTCTCTCTCTCTCCCCCTCCCACTCTACCTGAACAACAACAAAAATGGAAAAATGTCCTTGGGTGAAGATAAAAAAAAAAAGTGGGACAGACCTATCTGCTCTCTCCAGGACCACTGGGTTCACGCAGACCCCCCGCTTACTGACTTGCATGCCCCTTCAGACACGGACCTGAACGCCGTCATCGGCAAGGGCAGACTGCTGAAGGACATCCACAAACGCTACATCTTTTACCAGCTGCTGCGGGCCACCAAGTTCATCCACTCAGGACGCGTCATCCACCGGGACCAGAAGGTGCTGCCTGAGCTCGGCCCACTGCCCCCACCGTGTGCACCCACTGCCCTGGCCTGTGAGCCCTGAGCCCACCTTCTCCCCCAGCCCTCCAGTGTCCTCCTGGATGTCTGTGAGCCCTGAGCCCACCTTCTCCCCCAGCCCTCCAATGTCCTCCTGGATGCCAGCTGCCTGGTGAAGCTCTGTGACTTTGGCCTCGCCCGCCCCCTGGCTGGCCTCCCTGAGGGGCCTGAGGGCCAGGCCCTGACAGAGTATGTGGCTACACGCTGGTACCGGGCTCCGGAGGTGCTGCTGTCCTCAAGCTGGTAACAGTGACACCCTCCTAACCTGCTGCCACCTTCCCCTGCAGCCCCCCATGTTCTTTTGCCCAGCCAGGGCCCCCAGGCCTTCCTATGCCCCCATGTGTGTCCTCACCACCCCTTCCCAGCACCCTAGACCCTAGCCCCTTGACCGTCCCTCTTCCAACCCCTCTTTGCCCCAGGTACACCCCCGGGGTGGACATGTGGAGCCTGGGCTGCATCCTGGGGGAGATGCTGAGGGGGAAGCCCCTGTTCCCTGGCACATCCACACTCCACCAGCTGGAGCTGGTCCTCCAGACCATCCCGCCACCATCTGAGGAGGGTGGGTGTGTGTCTCCACTGGGGAGACAGCTCCTGACAGGCCAGGGCTGTGGGGGGTGAAGGGGAGGGTCCAGAAGCCTCAGGAAGACTGGAAAAGGCTGGGCCCAGGGAGGAGCTGCTGGGGGCCTTGCAACTGGACAGTCTGCAAGGCAGGCAAGGCCTGGCCACAGGGTCCATGGGGGCCAGCAGTGCCCATGAAGGGCCCAGCCAGGTCCAGACAAGAGCACTAGCCCTCTGAGTGGTGGCAGGGTCAGGGCCCACACTGTGCTGCCTGCTGGGGGAGGGGAGGTTGGGGGAAAGGTGGAAGAAGGCAGCATTGGGGGCAGGGAGGAGTGCTGGTGGGGGGTGGGGGTGTCCTTCCTCTTCCCTGAGGGAGGGGGTGGGGCAAGAGAGAGAGGCAAGGATCAGGTGGGGGCGGGGAAACCCCATTCATTCCCCAAGTCTCCACTTTCCTGGGTGGAGAGGGCAAGGGGCTCCTGCGTGGACGGAGTGTGAGCATGCCATGTGTGGGAGGCGTGAAAGAGTGCAAGGCGGGCACAGGTGTGAGCACACCCCACAGGTGTGAGCTCTGCAGACAGCCCCAGACCTGGAGAAAGGAGATCACTCTGGGCCTGGAAGGGATGATAGGCAGGACCTCCCTGAGCTGCTCCACCAGACCACCCCTTCCTGACCACACCACCTCTGCCACCCACCCACAGACCTCCTGGCTCTCAACTCAGGCTACAGCACCTCAATTCTGCACCACCTGGGGGCCCGGTGAGTGCAGGTGCTTGGGAGCTGGGCTCCAGCCCTCCTCCTGTGTCCTGACTGGCCCAGACCCCCCCCCCCCCAGCAACTGCTGGTCACGTTAGAGGGAGGTCTCCAGTGTGGGTCCAGCTCAGGGTAGGAGGAACTGCAGGAGCTGCTTTGAGTGGGTGGGAGGTGGTGGGCATGAGGGGACTGGAAGGCACTGGCAAAGGCAGGGATCTGGAGACCCTCCCAGGCTGCCTGAGGTCATGAATGGGTCGAGGGGATCCAGAGACAGTTAAGTGGGACAGGGCAAAAGGTTGAGCTTGGGCCACAGATGTGGATGTGAGGAGGGACCCCAACCTGGAAAGGTGAGGACTCATGGGCACCAGCAGGCCCCGGCAGACGCTGGAGGCCCTGCTGCCGGCGGACACGCCCCCAGAAGCCCTGGACCTGCTCAAGCGACTCTTGGTGTTTGCCCCTGACCAGCGGCTTAGCGCAGCCCAGGCTCTGCGGCACCCCTACGTGAGGAGGTAGGGTGGGAGAGGCCCGCCAGCCCCCTACTGCCCAGCCTGGGCTCTGTCGGAGAGGCTCCCTTGACCGCAGCCCGGGCCTGGCTTCTCCTGCACCGGCCTTGTGGGCTCCCGCAGATTCCACTGCCCAGCCCGTGAGTGGACACTGGAGACAGACGTGCGGCTCCCGGTGCACGAAGGAGTCCAGCTCACGGCCCCCGAGTACCGCAACCGCCTCTATCAGGTGCTCCAGACTGTGATCTCCATCATTTCCCATCCGCCGCCCCCTCGAGGCATCCCGCTGCCTGTGCGACTCCCAATACTCTCCAGCCCAAGCCACGCCTGAGCGCCCTTCCCCTCCGGCAGATGATCCTGGAGCGCGTGGGCAGCAACCGCAACCGGAGGGAGAAGGGCCCGGGGGAGGCCCCACCGGGGGCAGAGCCTAGGGCCCCCCTGCCCCAGGCGTGCGCAACCAAACCCAGAGCCGCCCCCCTGCTGCCCCCCGGCTGGCCCGAGCAGGACCTTGGACATAGGCCTCAGAACAGCCCCGGTCACGATCCTGCTCCCGGTGTGTAATCTGAGCAGCCCGGGACCCTTCGGTGTGGGACCAGCAGCTGTACGCGGCCCAGGACCGCTAACCCGGGGCCTGATCTGACCTCACAGACCCCCGCGGCGGAGCCAAGAACATTCCCAGGCAGAACTCGGCCCACCTGCTCCAACGTCCGCCCCCAGGAGGTCGGGGGAGAGGGGAAAGGCCCCTCGGGACGACGGCGGAGTCCCCCTCCGCACCCCCGTGGGTAGGTCGTGTAAGGGTGGGCACGGGAGGACCCCTCCGCCGCGCCTTTCCCAGGGCCGACAGCACCACCGGCCGGCAGTGACCCTCTGATGCGTGCTTCCCAGGGGAAGCCCCGCGTGCAGGGGGCGGTGCCCTCCCTGACCTCGCAGGCCGCTGCCCAGGTGGCCATCCAGGCCCTGATCCGGAATGACCGCGACCCCGGTCGTGGGGTGAGGGCGGCTGGCGCGCGACGGGTGAGTACACCCCTCTTCGGCCTTTTCATCCCTTTGAGTACCCCTAGAACGGCCGGTTTGCCCCTGCCAGGCCTCCCCTCCTGGCCTCCCCAAGGCCCGCCCCGCCCCCTCACGAGGTCCGCCCTTCCCGACCGCCTGCAGGCCCCTCCTTCGCGTCCTGGGGAGGCTCGGCTGGAGCCCCGGCCCGGCCGGAGGATGTTCAGCGCCTCGGCCTCGCAGGGGATCCAGGGGGCAGCGAGGGCCGCACTCGGGGGCTACTCCCAAGCCTACGGTACCGTCTGCCACTCGGCGTTGGGCAGCCTGCCCCTGCTCCCAGGACCCCACGTGTGAGCTGCGCTCCCCGACTCCGCGGGATTCCTGCGCCCTCAGCTCAGCCCCGCGCCCCTCCCCAGTCTCCGGATTGTCCCTCCTACTCAGCCTGAGGATTGGCCCCCCAAGCCCCGGCACTCTACACACGCCCCCCCCCCCCCTTCCTTCGCTTGGCCACACTGGAGTCCGGGGAGGTTCCCACTCCAGCCCAACCACCTCCTCCAATAAAGTCTGTCTGTCTGTCCCCAGCCTACCTGCCGGTCTTTCCTCCTCACCACCCCTTTCCTGGAGCCCATCCCCTCACCCCTCTGCTGTTACCCTGAGGCTCCTGTCTGCCCAGCACCCAGCCTTTCCCTCTAGGCTCATGGCATCTAAGGCAGCCTGTGGGCACCTTGGTGCCTGCCTGGTGCTGGAGCACCGGGCTGAAGGCTGCAACAGGTAGTTGCGTAATGGTGGATGTATTTAGGAACGTGTTAGATATTTTGTGCTCGTGTTTTATTAACACCAAAATGTTAAGAATCACATTTGAGGTGCTGTGTTACTCAGCAAGAGGTGGGGGACGCAGACGGGGCTCTGAGGCCCCCGCCACTGGCCTATGGTGGCCAGAAGGCGCCACTCCCCTCCCTAAGCACCAGGCCACACGGAAACACTTATTGGCAAACTCCAGCTCATCCTGCTCTCCGTGACCTTTGCCACCTGGACAAAAGTCCCTGCTGTCACCCCACCTGGGCAGTGGCTTTGGTAAACAGACTGTGGGCTGTCAGGGCATGAAAGTGTGCCCCAAGTCAGAACTGCTGCCTTCACTCTGCCCGTTTCTTAAATCCTTTCCCATTCTGAGTAACGGATTCTTAGACTTAAAAAAACCAAAAGCTATTTGAAAAGAAATAGCAGAAACAAACACTCATTCACAATTATAGCACCTACAGTGGGGAGACTTTCTAAGCATTCGGTGCCAGAATGTGTCATTCCAAAGCAAAGTTACTCTCTTGTGGTGAGACAGGTACAAGACAAGCAGGAATGTTGGACACTCTGTAGATTGGTGACACAGGAAAGGATGTAGGACAGGGTGGAGTTGGGCCCCTGCAGGGCAAGGACCAAATCCAGCGCATGGGACACCAGGAGCTCTTGGACCAGCGGGCTGGGGCTCAGGCGCCACCACACCAAGTCCTCTGCCCTCACCTGTTCAGGTACAAGCACTCCACACCAGACCCAGTCTGGCTGTGAACGTGTCTGCCAGGGCACGTGAGGACCCTTCATGAGGCTGGGGCCACACATCATCCACCACTGAGGCCTGGTGCTGTCATCCTAGACAGGAGTCTGGCTGGAGGGGCAGCCAGGTCGGCTTCAGGTATTGGGGGCAGGGTAGCCCTTCTAGGATCTTATGCCCTTCCCCACACACTGACTGCAAACCAGCCCTGCCTCCCTACAGCAAAAGGATGGGCCACCAAAATGGGGTCAGGAGGCAAGAGATGGTCAGGGCAGGAAGTGAGCCTCCAGCGACCTGAGATGGAGACAGAGACAGTGGGCCCTGGGAAGTGGGAGGCCCAGAGAGAGGACAGGGCAGCCAGGAGACAGCAAGGATGCAGCAGAGTGAGGACAGACACAGTGTAGCCAGGAGGCCACAAGCAGAAGGGAGACCTGAGACACACAAGCCCTGAGACATGACGCCCCGAGAGAACCAGGGACTAAGGCACAAAGAGACGGGCCCCTGAGGTGAATGAAGGCCCAAAGAGCACCTGAAGCCCAAAGAAATGGTGGAGCAGATGCCTAAGAAGGGAGAGGCAGGGGCCTAGAGACTGAGGTGCCGAGAAGAGATGGGAACTGGGGGAATAAGGCATGGGGCGGTAAACGGCTGCAGCCCCAAGGGGAGCCGAGCTCTGGCTGTGCTCATCCTGGTTCCAATCTGCTGTGTCCTGAGGGCCAGGTGCTCTGCCTGGCCGGAGGCAGTGATTCGGAGACCCCGGCCTGGGCTGGGAGGCCAGGAGACTCACTTCTTGCTTTTGAATGTACCCAGGATCTTGGGCATGAACTTGCCCACCTTGCTGTCCCTGGTGTCCTCCTCTGTTGGGCCCTCCCCTCCCCCTGGGCCACCGGCCTCCTCCTTCTTGCAGAAGACCTCGAAGCGGCTGTAGACACGCTTCTCCTTGCGCATGCTCTCCATGCGGCGCAGCAGCCGATCACGCTCCTCTGCACTGGCTGGCAGGGTGCGGCTCAGCCGGCCTTGTGTCCCCAGACTGTCGGAGCGGAAAATGGCTGAACACTTGTCCTTGTCGGACATGTCGGGGGCCAGGCCACTGGCAGCTGGGGAACGGCCTAGCTCAGGGCTGCTGTGGGCTGGGGAGGCGGAGGGAACTCCACGGTGCTTCTGGCCATGAGCGCTGATCTGCTCCAGAATGGCTTTGGTGTCATCCCGCAGGTTGCTGCTGTACAAGGCATTGGCCGTGGCTGAGGTCATCCGCGCCCGCGGGCCCCGCTCCTCTCCTGCGGCGATCTCCGCACTGTCACCCCGGCTCAGCGATGGCCGCCGGGGGCTCTCAGGCTGCCCGTTCTCCTGCGGTGCTGGGAAGTCGCCCTCCTCCTCTGTGCGCCGCTCACTCTTGGGACTCAGCAACTGCCTGAGGCGCAAGGAGCCCTTGCGGAGGACCTCCATGGGGCCAGTAGGAGCCTCTTCCACAGGCCCGGTCTTTGGAGACTCTCCAGAGAAGGTAAGGGTGAGGCTGCCCCTGCGCTCTGGCACAGGGGGCACTGGGCTGCCCCTGCGCTCTGGCACGGGGGGCACTGGGCTGCCCCTGCGCTCAGGGTAGGCTGAGGTGGGGCTCCCTTTCTGCTCAGTAAATCCCGTGGTTGGGCTGCCTCTGCGAGCGGGAAGCCCTGGGGTAGGACTCCCTTTCCGCTCAGGGTAGGCTGAGGTGGGGCTCCCTTTGGGCTCCGAGTGGGGCACTTCTACTGGGGGGTTGTCCGGCCCTTGAGGGCAGGTGGAGAGACCCTGGGCCGAAAGGAAGCGGGAGGGCAGCCTGTCAGGGCCGCCCCGGCCCAGTGTGTCGAGCAGCTGGGTGGCAGTGAGGGCGGCGGCTCCCGGCTGCCGCTCAGCCTCCTGGTGCAGCCGCTGTGTGAAGGAGTCACGGAGGTCCAGCAGGCAGCTCTCAAGGCTGCGCCGCTCAGTGCCCGGATTCCCTGGCACTGCCACCTCCTCCCGCCATGCCTGGGACACAACAGCCTTATTGTGGCTGGCAGCAGTGACTGTGGCTGCTGCGGCACCAGGATCACGAGCGGGGCCCTTGTACTTCTCCAGAAGCTCAGCCACCTTGGTGGAGGCAGCAGAGCGTATGGCCTCGCCCCCAGGGCCCAGCATCTCGTTGACTGCCTGCTCCTTGTGCAGCAGCTGCACCTTTTCCGTGGTGGCGGCCGTGGCCCCACCTGTGCCCTCAGCCTGTGACGCAAAGATGAGTGAGGAGCGAAGCCGCGAGCTGCGCTGGATCAAAGGGTTCAGGCGCGAGCGGAAAGAGTCTTGCTTGGCCAGGGCTGCCTCCTCGAGGCCCTCGCGCTCTGGGCCATCGCCACCACCGCTGCCAGAACCAGGCACCAGGCCCTTAGCTGGGAAGGGTGCAGGCAGGCGGAAGGCCGAGGGAAGCAGGTCCCCCGTGGCCACCCTGCCCCCGGAAACCAGCACGTCGTCTTCATAGGCCTCGGCCTCCATGGGCGCTGGCAGGCCTTCCTCACCAGTGTCCTCCCCATGGCAACCACTCAGGTAGGAGGCAAGGCGCCAGTGCCTCAGCCCCGCCCGCCCCTCTGGCCCAACCCTGCGTTCAGGCTCCGCCTCCAGCCCCGTCTCAGGGCCCTGCCTTGCTGCTGCCTGGCAGGGGAAGCGCTGGCCCAGGATGGGGCGAGGGGCCCCACTGGGTTCCAGGCCGCGGGGCCCGGGCCCAAAGGCCGGGTCTGAGCCATGGCGTACCTCGCGCGACTCACTGGACGGCACATAGTCCAGCCGCTGGTGCCCGTCCAGGCCCAGCTCGGGGAAGCGTGGCCCGGCGCCCAAGGTGAAGTCCTCGGGATCTGCGAAGCCGGGGCGGCCCGCGCGCAGCTTCTCGAACAGGCCCTGAGGGCGCATCGACGCAAACTGTGGGTCCCACTGGTAATGCTGCTGGTACAGCTGGTCGCGGTGGAAGTGGCTGGTCTGGAAGCGGAAGTCGTCGCCGTGGCTGAGGAACGTCTGCCGCGACACCTGCCGAGCGGCCGCGAAGTTCTCCACGGCGCCCGCGCCGTCCGCGGCCGCGTAGCTGTGCCGTTTGAAGGCGTCCATCTCCAGGTGCCGAGCCTGGTAGAAGCCCCGCGGGCCTGCGAGCTCAGCACCCGGCCCCGCCTCTGTGTCCCACCGGCGAGACAGGGGCCGCAGCCCCGCGTGCGGCTCCAGGGCGCCCCCGGGCATCCGCAGTGGCTCCTCCCGGCGGAAGGCCGACAGGAAGTGGCGGTCAGGGTCCAAGAAGGAGGGGAAGCCCAGGCCCTCTTCCCGAGCCGGTGGGAAAAGGAGGTGCGCTCGTTTGGGGAAGGAGAAAGGGGTTGGCGCCCCGGTCACCAGGGGCCCGGCCCCCGCGTACGGAGCCAGGGCGTACGCGTCCATGCGGGCCAGCGCCCCGGCCGAGGGCACCAGCGGCTCAGACTGCGCGAAGAGGATGCGGAACTCCTCGTCGAAGCTGGAGACCAGCTCTCCCTGGAACACGTGCGCCAGGCTGCGGTGGATCTTCTCGAAGGACCACATGAAGCTGGGGGCGGGGCCAGAGGCAGAGTCAGGGGGAGGGGCCAGAGCCAGGGGCGGGGCGGGGCGGGGCTCAGCAGCCAGCGGCTGGGGTGTCAAGTCTGGGAAGATGCGGGGCGGGGCGGGGCTGGGCTGCAGGAGCAGGGGTTCTGGAAGAGGCCACCGGGTGGGGCGGCTCTGGGGCTGCGGGGCTGCGGGGCTGCCCACCTGTAGCTCCCACTCATCACCACGTTACAATCCACCAAGAGGAACTTCTCCTTCACGTGGCCCTTGAAGGACTTCCCAGTGCGGCAGTAGTAGGTGGGGCCTGCCACAGTGCGCACGCGCAAGAACTAGGGAGGGAGAGGCGTCAGTGTCTGCGGAGGGGTCTTCCCGCCTCCCCTGCACTGCGCCCCCCTCGGTGCCTCACTCACATCCACGTGGTGCAGGTTGACGCGGCACTTGTCTGCCATGTCGAGAAAGTGCTGCGCGTTCATCTCGTCCAGGAGAATGTAGACCGGGACGCGGCGCGCTGCGGCCTCCAGCACTTCACTGAGAAGGTCCACATCGGTGAACATGTCCATCACCACGGCCACCACCTGTGGGGATCGGGTCAGGGACCAAGGGCAGAACCCTCTGTTGCCCCCACCATTCTCTAGCCGCACCTCTAGGCCCAGGGGGACTCTGAGTCACCCACAAACTGCAAAACGGCCACTAGCCCATCCCAGGGCGGAGTGAGGCCATCAGGGGGTGGGGTCAGGAGGAAGGGGCTGTCAGAGGGGATGTGGGACTGTTGGCCAGGTGGGTGGCCCACGATGGAGCCCATGACAGGCACAGAGCCTGTATGCTGTAGGGGTAGGGCTGTCCTGCTGGGGTGGGTGCTCACCCCTGGGCAGAGCCCTGGATGAAGCAGAGGCAAGGTGAGTGAAACCCCTGCAATCCCACCTGCTTCACGGATATCTGAACCCCCCTGACCCTTGGGTAGTGACAGAAGCAGCAGTCTTTAGCATCTGGACCCGCTGCCTGTCTCTGTGATTTAACAGGTCCCTTCGCTGTTTGCTAACTGCTGGGTGGTGGGTAAGAAGCCCACAGCTGGGTCAGGGCAGGACTAGAGATAAGATTGTGTGAACAATACATCCAGGCCAGGAGAGGGCCCAACTATCCCAGAGCTCCCGAGTTCCTGAGCATCGGCCATGACCATGGACAAGCAAACCTATGCAGAGAATGCAGCTCTCAGCCTGGGATAACCAAACCCTTCATGACCCTACACGTCTGCCAGGGAACCATCACTACATACAGGTGGCCTCACCCTCGGCCCTGAGCTGGCACACACATATCTCACATTCACGCTTCAAGGTCCAGCTCAGGCTGTCCTTCCCCACTGCCCAGTGAAGCCCATGCCAGCGCACCTGCTGGGCAGAGCGGATCATCCTTCGAGCCTCATCCTTGATGCTGGGGCTGTCAGGTGGCGGAGGCTGCACTAGTGTTGTGACCTCAGTGCCCTGGAACCCGAAGGTCAGGGGCCAGCCCAGGTCCAGCTCAGGCACTGCTTGGTCTGAGTTCACGGGCCAGTAGGTACCCGAAGAGCCATCCATGTCCACGTTGGGAGGGCTGCCTTCGGGGGGCTCTTGGGTGACATGCTGTGGGGGCCGAAGGTGGCGGCTCACATGGTCCAGTTCTTCAGGGCACAGGAAGGCAGGTGCCCCCTCCGATGCCAGGAAGCGGTTATAGGCCTCTGGCCCGCCCTCAGCCAGTGCGTCCACTGCCAGGCGATAGTACTCTTTGTAGTGAGGTGGCAGGTACCCTGGTGCCAGTGGGTTGTCTCCCTGGGAGGAGCTCTGGGAGCGACGAGCCATGTTGGGGCCAGGGGCCTGGGGGGGAGGGTGGGCAGGAAGACACATTACTAGGGCAGGGGCACTGGGCCTACTCCCCCCACGCTCAAGTGTGGACACATTGTGTAAGGACTGTCAGTGACCTTGGATGGGCTTGGAGTTCTGCCCAGGCCTGGAGGCCTTTAGGGCACCCCCAGGCCCTAGGATGCCCCTTAGCAGGGGGACATCAGGGGAGCCACGCAGCCTGGGCCCCTGCTCTCACCAAGACCCAGAGAACCTTGTGTCCCAGCTCCCAGGCAGGGCTCTGGCTCCATGTAACCCCGCTAGGGTTGCTTTATGGACTCTGTGGCCCCACACACTACTGCTTCGTGGGCCCTTCCCACCACAATGTTGATATTTTATGACTGTTGGTGTAAAGAACATATAATCTTTATTATGATATTCAGATTTTTCTTCTGATCTTACGAGTTTTTTTGTGGGTCCCTGGCACTGTGCGGACTAGACAAGCTGGCCCAATGCCTGTCCATCCCTGGTGTGGGGTCCCGGGGCCGCTGGCCTTGTCTCTCTGGCTCCTTACCTCCACTGTAGTGTGCAGCTGTCAGGGTTGACCAGGTACCACGCCTGGCCCAAGGTGAGCTCAGACAGAGCTTGTCACTATGTTTGTCTAGCCAGGGGACAGAGTTAAGCTCCGCCCATTGCCCCTGGCCACACCTGCACCCATCCCTGCCCTTTAACCCACCTCTCCCCGCAGCCCTACTTCACACCCTTGCAGATCTGGGCTGCAGCCTCCTCCTCCCCCTGAGCTTAGAGTCCCATCCCAGCCGAGCCCAACCAGGTGTGGTAGCTGTGATCTTTCCAAGTCTCTTTGTTACCGCCCTGCTCTCTACAGATGAAGTCAGAGTCCTCTGCTGTGACCACCAGACTGTGCTGGGCTCTGAATGTGCCTCTCCAACCACACTGCTCGCCCCAACTTCACAGCCTCCCATGGCCCTTCCTGGCCAGGCTGGGGCCTCTCCTGTGTTCCCAGGACCCATCTACACACATCCTTAACTACATGGATACCTGTCCTACCCCAGGAGGAGAGCCCAGGCACTGCTCACCCCACCCCTGCTGCTCCTGCCTCGCTCCAGGCTCCTGGATGTTGGTCCTGGCTAGAGGAAGTGGTTCTCCTAGACCACCACAGCGTGCCCCTCCCCACAGGCAGCTGGGCAAGGCTGACGGAAGGGTCAGGGGCCAGCAGGAGACACTTGCCTGACAGTGTTGGGGATCAGGGCTCCGCTGTGCACAGTGACCTGGGGGACCTTTCCGGCCCGGGCACATTCGGTCTGCATCAGGCACAGCTGCCACCTGGTCCCCGGCAGCGTGCCTGGCACTCCTTTGTGGGCACTGCCTTCTGACAGCCTACGGTCACACGGGTGGCCATACACTCCTCATCGAACCACAGCCAGACTGAGGAATGCCCCGGGGGTATGAAGGGCGGGCCTGACTGCACCAGGGTCTCACTGTGTCTGATCACAGTGTGTGTGGAGGGGTCTCCCACCATATCTGACGGCAGTGGGGGAGTGTCTCACACTGTGTATGCTGGGGGGCACTGTGGTATATGGCTACACAAGGCCACGCAGGGCTTGGTGGCACCTTTCATGTTGGGGGCAACACACTAGAAAAGGTACTGTCCCCCTGGCGGGTTTGGCTCAGTGGTTAAAGCGTCTGCCCGCGGACCAACGAGTCGTGGGTTAGATTCCAGTCAAGGGCATGTGTCTCGGTTTCGGTTCATCCCCGGCCCTGGCCAGGTCGTGAGGGAGGCAGCCAGTCGATGCGGTTCTATCACATCGATGTTTCTCTCTGTCGCACCCTCCCTCCCACTCTATCTGATGAGAAATAGAAAAGTATCCTCGGGTGAGGAATTAAGAAAGAGAAGGAAAAGGTACTGTCCCTCTGCCTTCCCTGGGGAGGGAGCCGGCACAGACTGTCCAGGCTCCGTGCCGTGGGGGTGAGGGAATCCGTGGTGGGTGAAGAATCTTCTCACCCAACAGGACTGGTTGGGAAGGTAGCCCTGCTCGGCCTCCCACAGCAACACCAGGACCTCAGCGACCTGTTCCTTTGCTGGTTGCCATTTATGGGTCTGCACACGCCTGAACTGTGGACTGTAAAGTGGCCATTCCCCAGCTCGAAATGGGGAGCCTCGGCAGCGTGCCTCCCCACACATTTGCCCACCGCGGCCTGCCCTCAGGGAGGGAGGGGCTGTTCTCCTTCAGGACAATGACTCAGCAAGAATCAGCTCCCCGCTGCTGACCTCTGACACGAGCCAGACAGTGTCCGGGGCCCTCAGAGCTCCAGTGGGCTCCCACCAGGGATTTCCGGACCATGGCCCTTCCTGCCCAGGCAGGAGGGGGGTACGGTGCTAATGCGCCAGAGAGGGGCCGCTGTGCCAGATATGTAAGGGCAGGAGGAGGGTCCCTGAAGGAAGGATTGGGGGACAGTAGGAGCCCAGAAGTGACTGGGGAGGGGTTCTGACAGAGGGGTTCATGGACTGGAAGTCGACCTGTTGTCGTTTTCCGGGTGCTCAGGAAGGAAGTTAGCGCACCGCAGGGAGTTAGCGGCTGCCTGGGTGAGTGTCCCATTTACCTACCCGAGTCCAGGGACCTGAGCACCAGAACCAGGGGCCTTCGGCTGTCCCTGCACTCCAGGTGCGAAGGCAGCCGACACCCGGCACCCACGGCGGCCGGACGGGCACCCGGGGGAGGGCCCAGCACTCTCCCCAGGTTCCAGCTCGGCCTCGAGGGCGGACGGGAGTCAGCAGCGCCTGGGCAGGCTCGGCCTGGGCCCGGGCCCCTTCCCATTCGGCTCCCCCTGGGCCCGCCTCGTGCGAGGGCGCTCGCGTCCTCACCCGGGCGCCGCGGCCCGGCCCGGCACACGCGGCCGCTCGCGCACCCCCCCCGCCCGCCCGGGTCGCGCAGCCCCGGCGCAGGTGCCGGCGGGAGGGCCGCCAGGTGAGGCCGCACGGGGGGCGCCGCGCCGACCCCGCCCCGCCCCGCCCCGCCCCGCTCCAGCCGGGGAGGGGGCCTACCTGGCCAGGTGCGCGGGGTCTCAGGACAACGACAGCAGGAGCCGACCGCCGCCCAGCGGCCTCGCGGTCCGGTCCGTCCGGCAGCCACTCCCTGCCGCGGCCCGCCCGCCGCGCGGCCTGATTCACGCGCCCGCCCCCGCCCCGCCCGCTCCCGCCGCCGGCCTGCCCGGGCAGCACCTGGGGGCGGGGCGGCCCCACCCGCGGCGCGCCCGCATTCCTGCGCCCGCCCGCCCCCCGGACCCGGCTGCTCCCCGGGCTCCGCCGCGCCCGCCGCGGCACGTCCGGGGACCCCAGCCGGGCGCGCCCGGACACCGCCGGAGGCCCGAGCCCCCATCTGTTCGGCGAAGGCTCGAGGTCCCTAGGTCTGACCCCTCACCCTCGCCCCGGAAGTCGAGGTGACTGGGAAGTTCCGGCTCCGTCGCTAGGAAACGGGCCAGCCCGACGCGAGGGGCGGAGCCTCTGGTCTCGCTCCGGAGTTGGGGAGGCAGGTGACACAGGTGAGGCTGCGGGAACCGCGCCCAGCCCGGGGCGCGGCTGGGCCTAGGGACCTTGTGAGTACAGGGGACCCCCTCACAATACCGGGGCACCCTCCACTGTGGCGCCGGGAGAGGACCCCCTCCTCACACACCAAAGCCTGCAAGAACCTGGGACCCTCCAGGTTTTCAAGGACTGCCCACACAGAACCCCCCACAGTGACACCCACACCTAGAGGGGAGTCACGCACACAGGGGGCACCTTTCCACAAAAATGGACCCTACACCAACCGTTACACACACACTTGCTGGCCCCCACAGGCCACACACACAGGTTCAAGGTACTTTGCACCCCCACCCCCACACGGACAGGGGACCCCACACACACTGTACTCACACACACCAGTGCCCACATATATAGGGGGCCCTACACACACCAACCCTTCTACCACACACCTGACCTCACGCACACGGGGACCCACACATACGGCACCGACACGCACACCAAGTCCGGCACATGCCTGTCATCCGGGTACACCCCAGTGTCCACACGCAAACAGGACCCACGTTCACTGACCTCCACACAGGGACCCTCCCCACAGAACTCTGCCCACATGTCAGACCCTACAGGAACACTGAGTCCCCCACACACCAGGGACCCTGCAAGTGCCAACCACACGGAACAGGGGACCCTGTTCACACCGAGCACCCCACACACACACACTGCCCTCCATGCACGTACAGAAGCCCCGAGCTGTCCCTGGTGCCTCCATTCCCCCAGTGCCCCCCAAACACTTTGCAGCGCTACTCAGAGCCCTGGTTTCCCATCAGACCCTCCTTTAGGGCCCCTGCCGCCTCCCCAAGCACTCTCCCCAACTGCCACAGTGCCTGCGCCCCTCTGCCAGTCTCTTCACTTCTCCTCATCCTCTTCCCACCAGACCCAGTTTTCTGACTTTAGGGTCATTCTGCCCCCAGACACTCAGCAACACTCCAGTAGAGCCAGCATGGTGGCCCTGGGCATGGGTCAGACCACTGCCCGGGCAGCGGTGCTGCGGTGGGTTACCTGGCAGTGGGGGACCCGGACCAAGCCTCCGGTAGGGGAGGTCTCCCCGAGATGTGAACTTTGGAGTCAGCCAAGCGGACTCCAGGGGTGTGGCTTCCAGGCCCTGACAGCAACACCGGCCAAGGCCAGGATAAAAGAAGGCTAGGGGTCGTAAAATTTTTTTAAAAAACAGAGGCTGGTAAATAAAAAATATAAAAAAAGAAAGAAGGGGGGGGCGTGGAGGGTCCGCGGAGTGGGGCTGGGCTCTGGCCTGTGCAGAGACCAAGCTTGTCCAGCTGGCAGCCCGTGGTTTGGAGCAGGGAGGTGGGTACGGGACACCCCACCCTGGGGTTGTGGTCAGGGCCTGGGACCAGAGGACAGGTGAGCCAGGGATGGAGGGGCAGGCGACCGAGGGTGAAGGGGACGGACTGTGGCCAGAAGCTCTCGTCAAGCATCCCCACTCCAGCTCTGGCACACACACCAATGACCGGGGCCGACCCGCCGGTGGTTGGGAAGCCAGTGGGGTGCTGTGTGAGTGCCTGTGGTCCTGTGCTTCCATTTGGCACCTGCTGAGTGTCCACCAGGCCCACTGCCCCTGCCACTCTGAGCACACCCACCCTGCCCTTTCCTACCCTCCAGGAGCATGAGCAGTAAGAAGGGAGGCCCAAAGCACCATCAGGGACAGGCATCCCTCCCTGGGACCAAGCCCAGATCCGCTGCTGGTGAGTGAGCCCGCCTTCCGACCTCCAGGCCACCCTACTCAGACACTAACTTGTGAGACCCTCTACGCAGCCACCCGGCACGCTCCCCCTGAGAAGACCTTCTCCTCTGAGCTAGGTGTGGGTGTGGGAGACTGAGGACTGCGAGCTCAGATGTCCACTCCAGGCCCTGGGGATGGAGGTGGGCCTGGGGGTCAGTGTTCAGAGGAGCATAGCTTCACAACATACAGGGGTGGAAAGCAGGTTCTGGAACAAAGCGGGGTTTGAATCCATGCTGGGGAGTCTCAGGCTAAGTCTGTGGTCCACTCTGACCCTCTACTCCACCAGGGCTATCCTGTGCTTTTCCTTGCCTGCTGCTGCTCTCTCAGGCCACCTTCTCCATAGCCATTTCCAGGCTGAATGGTGACCGCTTGTCCTTGACTCAGTCCTGCTGTGGGTCTGGAAGGGCACCTCCTGCCATGCCCACCCCCACTGGTTGTCACTCCCCTTCTCCGAGTCCATTTCTTCTCTGTCCTGATGCTCATTGGAGTTTTTGCTAAGCTGCCAACCCCTTCCAAGCTGCTGCTCCGGGTTCCTCAAGCACCCAGGCCTGCATGGGGGTCTGTGCTTGCTGAGAGAGAGCCTACCCTGTTCCCCAGAGGCAGCCCTTCTGCTTGGAGTGGGACCCCCGAAGGCCCCAAGGTCATAGGACCTGGCTGGCTGGTGGCGACTGCTCTTCATGCCAAGCCGGGTCAGACCCTAGTCTCCCAAATAGCCCCAGCCGCGTCTGAGGCGGGAGCCTTCCTGGAACAAGAATGATGGGCTCAGGTGCCGCTGGCTGCTTCCGCGATCAGGCCTGGGACTTGCAATAAACAGGAGGAGGGCAGGTGCGCCCGGAAGCTGTGCTGGGGGCCTGTTCCTCCTTCTGCCACCTGCTGACTGTCCACTGGGGACAGTCACCCGTTCCACCGCAAGCACTGCCCTGGACCACATCTGGCCAGGGTGCCTGGGGCCTCTACAGGAACACCTCTGCCTCAGTTTCCCCGAGCGAGCGCCCTGCCTGGGCACCCTCTGCCTGCTGAGTTGGCCTGCGAGGGCATGTAGTCGCGTGGTCTTTGCAGTGCCCTGTGCAGTGGGCATCAGCTTCACTTTGCAAATGTGAAAATGGGCCCACAGATGTCCCACAGCCAGACTGCCACCCAGCCCTCTGCAGGTACCTATAGGTGGCTCACATCGTCACCGTACCCCCCGACTGTCAGAGCCTCTGCCACCCCCACGCTCCCCAGGCCTTACCTGGCCTTGGGTCTGGAGCACCTCAAGGCCCTCGCTCTGGAGCTGCTCCAGGGCCATGGCCAGCTCCAGTCCCTCCATGCGCACCCAGGCCTGCTCCTCCTGTAGCTGCTGCAGCCACAGCTGCTCCTCCTGCCACAGCTGCTCCCGCCACAGCTGCTCCTCCTGCCACAGCTGCATCTGCAGCTGGACCTGCCTTCGACGGTCCTCCAGCAGCAGCTGCTCCTGGGCCAGGCACAGCTGGACCTCGTGGAGCCTCAGCAGCTCAGGGCCCAGGCTCAGCGGGAGGCCCCCAGGCCGGCAGTCTTCCATGTCCGCAGTGGGGACTATCACCAGCTCAGACCCCAGAGCAGCGGCCTGCCCTGGCCTCTCTGCTGCCTGTGGCTGCTCTGGCCTGGCCACCTTGGGATGTTCCTGGGGAGCTGGCTGGCTGTTGGTCACGTGCCCCAAAGGGGCCACCCCTGTTTCTTCCAGAGGGCCCCCTGCGTCGGGGGGCGGGGGCTTGGCCTCAGGGCCCTGCGGCTCTGTGGCCTGCTGTGCCCTGCCTGCCCTCCTGGCTCGAGATTTTCGAGCTCGGCTCCGTTTCCCGGACATGGCCCTGATCCGGCGTCTGCTCCCTGGGGGCCCTGGCTCATCGGCAGGCAGCCTGGATCCGGTGGGCCCAGAGGGCAGCCCAGGAGCCCACGGTGGGCCCTCTGCAGCTGCTGCCCCTGTGCCTGCCCTGCCCCTTGGCTGGTGCCCACGGCCCCGCGGCTCCAGCCCTGGCTCTGGCTGTGGGCCTCACGGGCCGACTCGGCGCGCCGGGCCACGCCGGGGAGTTTATAGGGACTCGGCGGCAGTGGCTCAACAGCACGGAGGCTGAGTAACGCGCTGACACAGGGCAGGACTTTACGGGCCACAGGCCTGGTCCGCCAGACTGGGAGGGAGACAGAGAAACTGGAGGAGGTGACTCTCAGCAGCTAGACCGCCAACTACGCGTAGGGCGAGTCTAGTCCTGCCCTGGGCGGGCATCCCCAACGTGTCCTACCCCTGGTCCCGGGGTGCAAGCTCCAGGCCACTGGGCTGGGAGCTGTACCCCCTGCCACACTGACCACCCTGAGAAGGCTCTTACTGGCCACAGACAGTCCAACCCAGTTAGCCTGGGAGACACTGGCCCTGGGCCTCTCTGAGCACCGGCCCCGCCAGCACAGAGAGGAGCCCGCAGCAGAGGAGCCCAGCGCACTGTGGAGACCGTGGACCCTCTGGCCCAGCCTGGGGGCTGCCCTGGTGGCTGGTGGCAGAGACTGGGCCCTGAAAGGCTCCACCTTGTGGACCGAGCTGGGGCCGCGGGGCGTCCAGCCTGCCGGGGTGCAGGTGCAGGGGGGCTGTGGAGCTGTCCTGGTTGGATTTCCAGCTGCCCTGCTACCGAAGCCCTGAGGAGCCCCCTGCTGCCTTTGGGTGAGGGGACGCAGAGGAGCCTGAGCGCCAGCGTCCCCTGGGCTTCCTGTTGGGAGGAAGGCTCCAGACTCTTCCACCCCAGCGTTTCCCCAGCCCGGGGCCCCTGACTCACACCCACGCCCAGGGCCCCATCCCAGCCAGCACTGCCTCACTGGCTGGACTGGTTTGCCTGGCCCAGCCCTGCCTTCATCCCCCTCCCCCCCCGAAAATGCTCAGCCTTTGCCCTGGAGGCTTGAGGAGGTAGACTGTGGCCACCAGCCTGGGTGACACACAGAACGGAAGGGCCTCAGCGCCGGCCAGACTTAGGGGGGGAGGTGGGCAGTGGGGCGAGCACCTGAGGCACAGCCTCCCCGGGGCTCCGCAGCGCCGGGGGCTTCAGGCCCAGGTGCGGGCGCTGCCATCCCCTGCAGCACGTGCGTGGCCTGTGCTTGCTGTGCAGGACGCGGCCTGGGCGCTCGTTAAAGCTGCTGCAGGGGTGGGTGCCTCCTAACAGCCAGCACACAGCTGCTCCGCGGTGGCCCATAAATGCCTCCTGAGGTGGAGGGGGAGGGGCGGGTCCACACACCAACCTCACTGACGCCCCCAGGGAAGCCGGGAGAGAACCGCCAGTTGCCGAGGAAGACTGGCCAGCAGGCAAAGGGGCCCATCCCCCCCGAGGCCCCCACAGGTGAGAGCCCGTGCCCCCACAGCCAGTGTTTGGCCAGGTGCGGGTGGGGCGGACTCAGGGCTGGCTGGCAGAAAGTGGGTTGTCCTGGGCCGGTCTCATGGGGTGTGCATGTGAGTGTGAATGTGTGTGAGTGAGCATGTGTGAGTGGGCATGTGTGTGAGCATGTGTATGTGTGCATGTGAGTGAGCACGTGTGAGTGAGCATGTGTGTGTCACGTATGTGAGTGTGCATATGTGTGGGTGAGCATGTGTGTCACGTATGTGAGTGGGTGTGTGTGCATGTGTGTGGGTGAGCATGTGTGTGCACGTGTGTGAGCATGTGAGTGAGAGCACGTGCGTGACACGTGTGTGAGTGGGCGTGTGTATGAGCATGTGTATGTGTGTATGTGAGTGAGCATGTGTGTGACACGTATGTGACTGGGTGTGAGTGTGCATGTGTGTGGGTGAGTGTGAGCGCATATGTGTGGGTGAGCATGTGTGTGCACGTGTGTGAGCATGTGAGAGCACGTGCGTGACACGTGTGTGAGTGGGCGTGTGTATGAGCATGTGTATGTGTGCATGTGAGTGAGCATGTGTGTGGGCACCTGTGTGAGTAAGCACAAGTGCTCACAGGGCGAGCCTGTGGCATGTCCCTCCCGGGAGCCACCAGAGCCCTGTCTTCCCTGCTCCCACTGCCCCAGCCCCTGCTTTTCAGTGAGGCAGGGCTGAGCGGATAGCTTCCGGCACCTCCCAGGGGTGTGGCCTCTTGGGGAGCCTCTTCCCCTCACCCTCCAGCATCTTGGGCTTGGGGGTCACCCTCCTTCCACCCCTAATGCCAGAACATTGTCTGCTCTGTGTGCTGTCGCCCTCCAGTGGCCGGAGCCAACCCCCAGGAGGGCATCCCAGGGACCGGGAAGGTGTGGCGCTGCCTCAGGGACCTCCAGCCTCTCTGCTCCTGGGCGCTGTCGTCCCCTGCAGCCCCCACTGTGGCCTGCAGGCACTTTACCTGAGCCTGCCTCCAAACTGGGATGCAGCTGCCACTCAGGGTGTCCTCAAACCCCAAACACAAACCCTCTCCTTTCCGGCCCTCTGCATCCAGTCCCCCAAGACTGCTCTGGTGGCCCTGTGCCTCCACCCCCACCCGCCCCGCCCTGGACCCCCACCAAGGGCCAGGATAGAGAGCCTGACCTTGACCTGAGGACAGGGGTGGACCATAGAGGTTTGCCACATCCTGTTGATTTAAAAAAAAAAATCCTCACCAGATGATATGCTTATTGGTGTTTTAGAGAAGGGAAGGGAGAGAGAGAGAAACTGACTAGTCGCCTTCCCGTACTCACCCAACTGGGCATCGAATCCGCAACCCAGGTGTGTGCCCTGACCTGGAATCAAACCCTTGACTCTTCGGTATATGGGATGATACTCCAACAACGGAGCCACACCAGCCAGGGCCTAATGCTGACTGTATAGAAGTCCCAGTGCCCGATGGACGGGGCTCTGGGCAGCGGGGGCAGAGCCTGCTGTCGGAGCAGAAGCAGGACTTATTGGAAGGACATCAGTATCTAGAGATTGGGGCTGGACGTCGGGTTAGGTACCCCTTGTCACCGGAGGCCAGCACCACTGCAGACGACTCCCCCGTCCTTTCTGACTGTCCTACCCTGGGGCCTGGAGATCCCGACTTCCTGTGAGAAGCGAAGCCTGCGCTGGGTGGCCCTCTGGAGGTCAGGGAACGAGACGGCCGTCTCCTCCCATTCTGGCCTCTGCAGTGGGAAGTGGGTTCCCACAGAGTTCCCAGGAATGACACCTGACCTTCAGGTAGGACAGTCGACCCTTCTCAAAGGCCAGCGGCTCTGTGGGACCTGCAGTGCCTCAGGGGGCCCTGGGCTCCCCGTTGGGAGTGGCAGCAGGCTTGAGTCTGAGACCCGTCCTGTCTCTGCCCTGTCAGCCAGCCTCTGGGTGTGGGCCTGTGGGGTCCACAGTGGTTCTCTGCCTGAGGTCATTTTTCTCACCCTTGCTTGGTTTCCTACCAACATCTTCCCAAGCTGGGGGCTCAGAGGGCTGGCAGTGACCCGTCCCGTCTGGGACGGGCACTGTCTGGTCCTTCCCTTTGCTCTGTGGGAGGCTGGACGGCTCTGGCTGGGTGTAGAGTCAGGGCACCTGCCCTGTCCTCAGGTCAGGAGGTGGTGGCTGCGAGGGCTCTGCTGACACGCCCGGTGTGGGAGCCCAGCAGCTGCCTGGACCACAGCTTGGGGGGCCCTGGATCCACGAGCCCTCTCCCCACCCCAGGGCCAGCTGCAGAGGACCGAGCAGCCACTGTCATCCAGTGTGCCTTCCGGCAGCTTCTGGCGCGAAAGGGGCTGGCCCTCCGGCGGCAGGAGCACAGCGAGTATCTGGAGCAGATGGAGAAGCTGCAGAAGGAGGTGAGGCCCGGGGCAGGGTCCTAGGGCCAGGGGCCAGCGGCCAGCAGGGGTGGGAGCTCAGGGTGCTGGGGCCGTGACCTCCCGTGACCCCAGGGCTGTGTCCCTTGCAGGCCTTCCTGGCCCTGGTGCACCAGGAGCGGGAGGCAGCTCGGCGACAGAGGGAGAAAGAGGAGGAAGCCGAGCGGCGGCGGCAGGAGGAGCGGCAGCGCCAAGCGCGTCTGCTGGATGCAGCCTTCGAGGGCAACCTGGGGGAGATCACTGCTGTCCTGCGGGAGGTCAGTGGGGCAGGGGTCAGTGGGCCGGGCGGGCAGCGGCGGGGCACAGGTGACCCAGCCTGGGCGCAGGTCGATGAGCTGCTGACTGGCGAGGGCGTGGGCCACGACGAGGCGGGCATGGCCCAGCGGCGACGGCGGCGCGTGGCCCTGCTGGAGTGCGAGGACCCCCGCGGGAACACACCGCTGTCCGAGGCTGCAGCAGGCGGGCAGCCCCTGGCCATCAGGCTGCTGGCCGAGCAGGGCGCTAGCCCCAACTGCAAGGTGGGTGCCTGGGGGGCAGGGTGGGGGGCAGCACTGGGTGCAGACCTGGCTGAGAGCACCCTCCTGCAGGGCGCCTTTGGCAGGACGCCGTTATACCGAGCCGCTTTCGGGGGCCACCTGGAGGCTGTGGAAATGCTTCTGAAGCTCGGAGCTGACCCCCGGGTGTATGCGGAGGATGGGAGCACCCCGGAGCAGGTGGGAGCAGGAGCGGAGCAGGTGGCCGTGCTGCAGCTGAGGCTGTAGCTCCTGGTTTCCGAGTGCTGCTCTGGCCAGGCCTCTCCCTGTGCCCAGGGCCCTGGCGTCTGCCTTGGGGAGTCGTGTCCCCTTGGCGGTGGGGAAACGGAGGCTGGCTACTTCTGTGTCTGCCATCCATTCATTTACACAAGCCTCGATTTTACAATTTTGAACTTTCTTTTGTAAAATACAAATCAAAGTTGCATGGCTTGATGGCTCACAGAGGGAACAGTCATGGAGTCAGCACCTGAGTCCCAAGCCTCATCCCTTCCCAGAGAACCTGTTGTCCAGTCCCTGCATCACTCCTGGGGGGCAGGTGGCACTTGAGAGGAGCCAAGTGGTGAGGAGCTGCTGCTGGGGAGGTTTGGGCCAGGGTGGCCCCAAGGGCTGTGTCTTCCAGGGTGAGGTCTCAGGGGGACAGGAAGAGAGAACTGCAGGGGTCCCTGTGCGAGAATCCTGAGGGCGGGCACTGAAGCAGGCGCTGAGGGGCTTGCTGTGGGGCAGAAGAGAAAGAGGGCATCTGTTTTTGGGGAAGCTGCACCGATGGTCAAGGTGCCCAAGCGAGCAGGGGAGCCCCGTTCTGCAAGCCGCCGCCTTTTCTCTAAAACCGGGCAGTACAGCATGTCCGCCCCAGGCTCTGTACCACACAGACCCTGACCAGGATCCTGTCCCTAGGTGGCCTCGCTGGACGCTGTGGCCAGCGTGCTGCGGTCGTGGGACCTGAGCCTTACAGAGGCCATGCTCCGGAACATGGAGGCCGAGCGGCAGCGCCGGGTGCAGGAGGCCGAGCAGCACCGGGAGGCAGAGGCCAAGCGGTAGGCCAGAGGGAGGAGGCTCCCCCGCAGCCCCCCAAGCGATCCTCTGACCAGCCTCTCCCTCCCACCCAGCATGAACCTCGAAGTGCAGCAGCTGGCGAAGGAACGGCAGCAGTGCCACAAAAAGGTGAGCAGCAGTCTGGGAGCACCAGGCAGGGGGAGCCCCAGGCAGGGGGAGCCCTTGGGGGCGGGGGTGGGGCAGTGAGCAGGCAGGGAGGAGGCAGAGCTGGGTTTGGAGGAACCGAGGAGGAGGAGCTGGGCGTGGGGAAGAGGAGACACTGGCAGGACTGACCTGGTGCGCAGGGCTCCCGGCCAGCCTTGCCCACCGGCCACTCTCCCGCAGCTGCAGCAGGCCTACTGCGAGCTCAGCCGGAGGACTGCCGAGCACGACCACTGTGAACAGAGACGCATGGGCAAGGCCCAGCTCACGCTGCAGGTGGGGTCTCTCCCTCCAGGCCTGGGGTTTCTGGGCCAGTCTTCCCCTCCCAAACACGGCGGCACCTTCCAGCAGCGGCCTCCTGGGAGCGGGGTGGAGGGCCTCTGGGAGCTGAGGGGTAAAGCTGTGTTCTGAGCCTGGTATGGGGCCCCCCTCCTCCAGGCCATCAAAGACGCAGAGGCTCAAGTGGACAGGCTGCGGCAGGAAGCCCAGAAGGCTGAGGAGAGGCTGGCTATGGCCAGGCTGGAGCTGCGGGAGCAGACCCAGGAGGGTGGGCGGGGCTGGGGCTGGGTGGCTGGAGAGGCCAGGCCCGGGGAGGGCCACCAGTGTTGGGAGCTCAGGCCAGCCCAGCCTGTGTCCCCACAGGGGAGGAGGAAGTCCTGGGGCTGAAGTGCCAGGTCACCGAGCTGCATGACGTGCTAATGAAGGATGTGGGCGACCGAATCCAAGCTGACGGCCGGTAGTGGTCAGTGGTCCGGGTTGGGTGAAGGCCAAGCAGAGGGTTCAGGCAATAGCGGTGACTTGGTGGCTGCCTCCAGGTGGCCTCTTGTTATCGACCCTTCCGGCCAGGCAGCCACCTTCCTGCGCTACCAGGACACCAACTACGTGGATGCGGTGAACCCAGACCACCTGCGGCCGGAGAGGATCCGGCTGGCACTGCTGGGGGCACTCAGGTGAGGTGGTGGGAGACGGGCACACGGGCCCCTGCCCCGCTCGCCTCTCCACACTCACCCTGCGCCACAGCAGGTACGGGAAGCCGCTGGTGTTCGACCTGCGTGAGGTGGACTTGTTTCCAGTGGTGCAGCAGCAGCTGGAGGCAGTGCAGCGGGGCCTGGCCCAGGAGCTGCTGAGCCGCCGGCTGCTGGAACAGGACAGGTACCTGTCGCTGCTGTGGCCCACAGACGGGCCGGAGTACGGCCCCACCCAGTTCCAGGAGGCCCGTCTGGGGCAGTTCCGCCTCTTCTTTGTCACCAAGGTTCCATGGCCCCCAGCTGAGCAGCTGCAAGTCTTGCTCCCAGTGCATGTCCAGCTGCCCAGGGGAGGCCTTTGACGCCAATAAAGCCAAGCCTTGGGACTGCCACTGTGTGGGTGTCCATGTGTGTGCGTGCGCCTGTGCCGGGGGGTGGGGCAGAGCATGCCCATCCACGTGCCCGGCCGGGTGGGAGCCCCAGCTGGACACTGGTTTGCAGGACTTGGGGTGGATGTCCCCTGCCTGCAGGTAGGTGGGCCCACCAGTCCCTCCAGATATGGAGCGGCACAGAGTGTGGGTGGGGGAGACTTGGGAGTCCAGTGACCACCCTTCCAGGGCCCAGCCTCGGAGAAGCAGAAGTGAGGGTGTGTGTGTGTGTGTGTGTGTGTGTATGGACACAGGTGGACAGAAGGTAAAACGTAGTCAATTTTATTCTCCTTAAACCACAAAATAGAGTCTTTGGTTGTACAAACATCACTAGTTACAGTCTTGCCGAGAGGCCCGGCTGGGGCGGGGCAGTCAGTCAGCAGCCGGGCTCCTGAGGGGTCTCTAAAATGCTAACACCCAGGTTAGAAGACTTGGGGTAAGGGTGGTGTTGTAGCTGGCAGGGCCCCCACCCCAAGCCCAGGGGAGGGGCTCTGACCCTCTAGGAGGGCACTGGGCCGAGGCCACGACGCCCTGGCCGCAGCGGGCGGCGGCTGCTGCACAGCGTCACCTCCTCAGGGCCCATGGCATCTGGCGAGGGCCTGCCTAGAAGCACCATGGCCACCTCTCCATCCTCCTCCTGCAGGCCTGGCAGGCAAAAGCAGGAGAGGGAGTGAGATGATGGGGGCCAGGCGCCCTCGGTGCACCCCCACGCCTAGCTTGGCAACTCACCGGGGCTGGGAGATGGTTCCAAGGACCTCAGCTCCTCAGCGAAATCTGGAGACTGTGGTGAAGAGAAGGGCTGGATCAGGGCTGTGCTCCAGACCCTCCTGAAACCACCCATGTGAGCCTGGGTGGGGAGGCCCCACACCCAAGGAGTAGGTCTGGCCCCAGACAGGCGAGGTGCAGGCGGGGACAGGGCTGGTGAGGCCCAGGCAGAAAGGAGCGGCAGCGGCGAGGGCTGTCTGCGCGAGCCGGAGGCCCGGTACCTGCACGTCACAGACAGGTCTGCAAGAAGGGAGGGGAGGCCCCACACCCAAGGAACAGGTCTGGCCCCAGACAGGCGAGGTGCAGGCGGGGACAGGGCTGGTGAGGCCCAGGCAGAAAGGAGCGGCAGCGGCGAGGGCTGTCTGCGCGAGGCCGGAGGCCCGGTACCTGCATGTCACAGACAGGTCTGCAAGAAGGGAGGGCGGCGAACACCCTGTAGTCGAACTTCCTCCCAGACAAGGCCTTGAGAGGAGAGCGTGAGGAGAGAGGTAGAGGCAGGAAACTGAGAGCGGAGAAGAGGGTGGGAATGGGGTGCAGCGGGGATCCCTGCCCCTGAGCTGCGAAGATGGGGTGTGGGGAAGGCCAACTGCAGGTGATACTCACCAGACGTCCAGGCGAGCTGCTGGTCTGGGGGCTGAGGTCTGGGGAGACAAAAAAATGGGTGTTGGAAGAGGTCCACACTGCAGGTCAAGCCCCTGACCCCCCTTGGACACACAGACCTTCCAAAGGGGTGGGTGCTGGCGAGGGGGCCTCGGCTAACCGCTCCAGTGGCCCACGTTTGCTCCGGCCGTCCTGGGACTTGCTGAGAACCATCTGTGCACGGAGAGCGTCCTGCTCCAGGGACTTCATCCTGGGAAGAAGCCAGAGGAGGGGCTGGTCAGGGCCGCAGGGCCCGGAGGGCGGGGTGGCAGGACATGGAGGGCGGGGCGGCAGGACCCAGTGGGCGGGGCAGCAGGGCCCGGGGGGCGGGACGGCAGGACATGGAGGGCAGGCGGCAGGGCCCAGTGGGCGGGGCGGCAGGACATGGAGGGCGGGGCAGCAGGAGTGGGCGGGGCGGCAGGGCCCGGGGGCGGGGCGGCAGGGCATGGAGGGCGGGGCAGCAGGAGTGGGCGGGGCGGCAGGGCCCGGGGGCGGGGCGGCAGGGCCCAGTGGGCGGGGCGGCAGGGCCTCACCTGGCGGCCCTCCACAGGGCCCGCTTCTCCGCCTCCAGGGCGCGGCGCTCCGCAGGGGACAGGGCCCGCTCTGGCACAGGCAGCTCCGGGCTCTGCACGCGCAGCCGCTCCTGATGGCGCCGCTCAGCTTTGGCCGTCCGCACTGGGGCGCTGCTTCCCAGGAGCGGAGGGGACGCCGGGAGTCTTCCCAGGGGTGGAGGGGACTCGGGGAGGAGCCTGGGGAAGGAGACAGGCAGGAGGACCGGGTGGGGGGGCGCTCGCAGGGCGGTTGCGCCTGGAGGGACAGTGGTGCTGGCCCCTCCCGCCTCACCCTGCGGCAGGGCTGCTGGCCCAGGGAGGCGGTCCCTCCTCCGGCTCCTCGTTGTCCTGGGCCTCCCCATCCAGGGCGAGCCCCGCGTCTGCCACCTCCCGCAGCATCTGTGCCCTCTTCTGCTGTAGTTTTCGGGCTGGTAGGTGGGGGGATCGTGATGTAGATCAGGAGGTGGGGGGGCGCCCCAGCCTCTGACACCGCCCTCCCCCTCCCGCTAACCGCCAGCTCACCTTCTTCTTCCTGCATCTTCCTCAAGTCATCCGCACCCACCAGTGACACACGCTTGGGGGGGCCCTCGGCCGGGGGCACCCTCACCTCCAGCTCAAAGTACTTCTGCCGTTCTCTGAAGGACAGCTGCTCCGGGGAGGCAGTGGGCGCAGGCGCAGAGAGCTGCAGGGAGTGGGGTCTGAGGCTCGGGGGGCTCCTCCTTGGGCTTGCACCCCACCCCACAGGTACACGCAGCTGTGGAGGGGTGGCCCTCACACTTACTTGGGCAATTGTGTCCTGGGGGGGGTGCGGGGCTGGCACAGCAGCGAAGGTCCTGTAGGCCCGCTTCACGTCGGAGAGCAGCTCCTCCGAGGAGTGGGGCGAGGGGGGCTAGGGGGAGGCTCTCCTGAGCTGGGACAGCTGTTGAGGCCACAGCCACCACCCTCCCAGCCCACAGCTGTTCACACTGACAGTCTGTGACCCCCACCCCCCATGGATCAGGGCACTCACAGAGCGGGACTCGCCTCTGCTTCCCAGGCTCAGGGAGTCCCTTGGCCAGGCCTGAGCCAGTGGCTGGATCATCCCAGGTTTTGTCTGCAAAGAGCAGGGTCAGGGGTCATAGGGAGGGATCAGGGGTTTAGGTAAGGGGTCGGGGGATGGAGAAGGAAAGACAGAGAGATGGAGCCTAGGTGAAGGAAGGGTAGGTGATCATGGTCCCCATGCAGAACCAGGGAGGCTTGGCAGGCAAGGGGGGAGGGGGAAGGCCAGGTACTGGGGAAGAGGCCTTGACCACCCAACTCCATCTGCCCAAGGGAGCCACAGGGCGCTCCCTGCCTCCAGCTTCTGTTCAGTCTGCCAGGAAGTTGCCACGAGCTGTGCCCTCCCAGAGGGACAGGTGCACCTGGTGGGAAGTACTGTCCCCGGTGCCACTTTCCCAGAGAAGGCCCTGCACACAAGACCCCCTGCACTGTCTCCACCCTTGCATGGTGGGCACTCACCTGCTGCCCCTCTGCACTGTCTCCCACCCTTGCATGGTGGCCACTCACCTGCTGGAGGCCAGGGGAGCAAGGGGCCTCAGCCATTTTCCCTCCAGTGGCCCCAGTTGGTACCTGGAGGAGCCAGAGCCAGGTGATGAGCAGGGGGAGGGCCAGGCAGGGTGGGGAACCACAAGGAGTTGGGAGATGGGGTGCTTGCTTGGTGGCACAGAGGCTGGTCCTCGGCTCTCTGACCCAACCATAGCCCAAGGGATGACCCCAGATGGGCCCAGACTACTGCTCAGCCAGCACCAAGGGGCTCTCCCCAAAAGGCATGTCCTCGAGCCCACCAGGCTCTCCCTGTCCTCCTACAATGCCAGGAACAGGAGGCCTGAGGAGAGATTGGCCTCTGCGCCCCCGCCCTCAGGCATCTGCGGTGGCAGCACAGGGCCTGGAGCCTCACGAGAGATGGGGACAGGCACACAGACCCAGACCGAGACAGGACGGTGAGAGGGCTGGGGCAGGGTGTGCCACATGAAGCTCCTGATTAGGCCCCCTCAGCCGCCCACACCTCTCTGCCCCTCCAAGGCCTGCACCTAGCACCCCTGGCACCCACCCGCCCACCACTCACGTCCCTGCAAGGTCTCCCAGTGGCGCCGGCTGGACAGCTTCTGGGAGGTTATTTATACCTCTCGGGGAGGGGCAGGCCTGAATGTCCATCCTGCGGTGTCTGCCCCCCGCCCAGCTGTCGATGCTGCCCCCTCCCCCATGGCTTCTCGCAGCTGCTCCAGCCTGTCTTCCCCGGCAGCTCGTGCCCCGTTCCATCAGGACCCTGAGAGCTCCAGTGAGCTCCAGTGGCCTCCACAGGCCTCCGCCCTGTCCCGAGCCCTCTGGGACCCCTCTGTCTGCAGGGGGCTTGGGGTCCCCACACCCAGCCTGTTCTGTGAGTCTGAGAGCAGGGAGTGGAGAGGCCAAGGCCAAGAGCCTTCACAGGAGCCACCTTCAGTCCTCAGCTACAAGCAGGCGGTGGCGGTACCACCGCATGCTTGGTTCATTGACCAAGGGGATGCGGCCCAGGCCAGGCCAGGGGTGGAGCTCCAGCCTGGGTACCCCTGGTTATCCCGCCATGGAGGCCCTGACTCAGTTTCCTCCAATCCCCACCTGCTCCAGGGAAGGCCCCCCCCTGCAATCTCAGCCTTGGCCTGGGGGTGGGACCCTGCGGGCCCACCCAGCTGTCCTACGGGGTCTCGGGTGCAGGGAGAGAGCTAAGGTAGGGACAGGACCAACAAACAGGTGGGCAGAGACCAGAGCGCAAATGTGACCTAGGGACACTGACCCTGTGCGTGCCGCCAGCGCTGGGCACAATAGCCAGGGCGTGGCCGGCAGCTTCAGGCTCCCTGGGCTCCGGCCCTGGGAGCAGAGTGTTCAGTGTTAAGGAGGGGCTGTGTCTGAGACGGAGTGTGGCAGCTTTGAGAAGCCGGAGCCAGATCTTGGACATGGCCGCCCACTACCCCTTGGGCTGCACCCTCCCCCACAGTGCCCAGCAGAGAGAGGGAGAGCCCACTGGAGCTGAGCCTGGGGCCAGTGTGCAGGGCAGTGACGACCCAGCACTCACTGTGGTCTCTGGTCCCCACTGCAGCGTCTGTCCAGGCAGCTCCTTCTCCTGTGAACAAGCAGAGTGGTCAGGGACCTGCGCCCTCAGGCTCTCTGGCTCTGGGGCTGCCCGCAGGTGGTTCTGACCTTAGCGGGGCCCTCGGGGCTCAGCTCCCGGTCGATGGAGGAGATGCTTTCCAGGCTGTTCCTGCGGCCGACGCCTGCCGCAAAGGGGTTGGCGATGACGCCCGGGGACACCTGAGAAGGCAGTGAGCGTGCACACGGTGAGGTGGTCTCGGCGATGGCTCTCTGAGCAGCACTGCTGGCTGCCCAGGATGCTGTGCTGCCATCTGTGACACGGGGTGGCTGCAGGTCGTGGGACGCAGAGTGACTGGTGAGGCCTTGACAGGGCCAGCCAGCTGCTCGGGGCGGGGCAGGGGTGGGGCAGGTGGGCCCTGCACACCCTACCCCCAGCAGAGAACGGCAACAAGCTCAAGCAGGGGCAGTGAGGGGTCTGGTGATACAGGCGCCACCCACAGGCACGTCTGCCATCTGTGAGGCGAACACTCAGCGAGGTTCAGAAGCAGTGACTTTGAGGGAAAACCTGATGGCCTGACCGAGAGGGGCTCAGTCCGTCCTCGCTGGGCGGTGGTGGCCGAGGGGCCAGAGTGCATGGTCAGAGCACTGAAGGGAGCACAGGCCCTTCCAACCCCACGAGGGACCAAGGAGGCCACTGCGCCTCCACCAGCAGCGGGAGCCGGAGGGGAGGCAGGTGGTGGGCACAGAAGACCCCTCCCTGTGGACGGGGCCCCAGCAATGGGGGCTGAAACGTGCCCAGTTGCTGTCATCCAGGAAGCCCAACTGCACTGACCACTGAAGGGCACGGAGAGTCCACACACGAAGGGGAGGAGGGGACGGGTAAGCATGGTTGGAGCAGAGAAGTCGGGACTCAAGGCTGGAAGTGCCCAGAGGTGGAGTCACTTCAGGACAGAAGGCGCAGGTGTGAGGCTGACACGATGACAGTGACCTGTGGGTCCACAGGAGAGCCATGGCCACCAGAGACGCGGGAGCGTGGCAGCTCCTGCTCCACGACCAATTCTGACAAAGCCAGGAGACTGAACAGAGGCTCACGCACTCAGCCCATCAGCACCCCAAGCGACAGCCGCGTCACGGGTTGCAAGGCAGGGCCCTGACCCAGGCTGTTCCACGGCACAGGCACAGTGTGCCACGTGCACACTCACGTACGACCCAGCCACTGAGTTCCTGACGCCATGACACCCGACAGCCACAAGCACACCCAGGACCCAGATCGTGGCTTCTAAACATCACCGTCCAGCAAACAGACCAGTGCTCCTTGGACAGATGCGACTGAGGGCTGATGGGAAAGCAGGAGTGAGCTGGTCTCTGTGCCAGAAAGCAGGGTCAGGCGGGTGGCGCTGAGCGGGAGGGACACCTGGAAGGCCAGGCTCAGCATGGCTGGGACCACAGTGACAGACCGTCAGCGTGAAATCCCAGACACCGGTGCGTTGGCACTGAGGGCACACAGGTGACAGACGTCCCTGGGGAAGGGAGGCCCTCTTCATGGCGGAGAGCCCTTGGATAGGAGCAGGGGTACTGCTGGGGGAATCTGACGACTGGGACACTCTCAAAGGCTCTCTCCCAGAACCAGCATTAACTTCAAAGGGGAAAGAGCCACTTTGCAAGGAAGGGGTCGGGCGGCAGCACCATCTGCAGGTCCTGGCGGGAGGCCCTGAGTAGACAAGTCGTTTCTGTGGTAACCGCTAGAGAAGCTCCCAGGCAGGTCCCCAGCAAGGACGCTGTACACAGCGATGGCCATGCTGGTCAGAGCCCCAGGGCAGAGCGGGCCTGCCTGGCGTGCCCTGGCTGTGCAGGTGAGGCCTGCGTGAGCATCTGCTCAGATCTTTCAAGAAGAAACAGCGGCAGGGTGAACAGCGCTGGAGCGACGGTGGCCTGCTGGGGCAGGGACTGTGCTGCAGCTCGGGGACCATGCGGATTGAAGACTCACAGGAAGCAAGATTTTTAGCCAACCCTAAAGTGGAAAACAAGCTACCTGTCTGTCTAGTTGGCAGCACAAGAAGGCTGTCTGAAGTGACCTGGAAAGACGGGGTCTAAGCTCACGCCCTGGATAAACCCTGAGGGCATGAAGGGCCCCAAACTGGTGCCGACACCGTGTTGCTAGTAGTGACGCTGGTGTTGAATTCTGAAGTTATTGAATAATTGTGGTTAATGGTTTAAAAACAATGTTCGGCCCCGGACAGTTCTGCTCAGCGGTTAGAGCATTGGCCTGTGGTCCAGAGAGACCCGGGTTCAGTTCCCGCTAAGGGCATGTACCTCGGTTGCAGTTTGTCCCCAGCCCTGGTTGGGTCGTGTGGGTGGCGACCACTTGATGTGTCCCTTTCACGTCGATGTTTCTCGCTCGCTCTCTCCCCCACTCTATCTGAACAAAAAATGCCCTCAGGTGGGGATAAAAACAACAACAATGTTCGGCACTGGCTGGTTTGGCTCAGTGGATTAAGCGTCTTCCCATGGATTCCTGCTCAGGGCACGTGCCCAAGTTGCAGGCTCGATCCCCAGTAGCAGGCATGCAGGAGGCAGCCAACTGATTCTCTCTCTCACATGGATGTTTCTCTCTCTCTCCCCCTCCCTCTTTCTAAATCAAAGTCAATAAAAACATTAAAAAAAACCAGTGTTTGATGTCAGAAACAGAAACACACATATAAAACCACAAAAGTGAGTTAGAAGCCCACACACTTAAACAGGAGTTGTAAGCCAGCAGTGCAAACTCACGCTTCCTTTCTGAAAACATACTCGCGCCAGGCTCCGTCTGCAGAGGCTAGGAGCCGGGAGCTCTCGGGCGGCCAGGGCACAGCAGTAACAGGCTTCAGGCTGGTACAGGACACAGGACCGCACTGCCCAGCGAGACTACATGAGCACAGACCACGGAACACACAGCCCCAAGTTCATAACCACAGTAAACAAAACCAGAAACTTAACAGCCATCCTGGGAGGTTCCAGGGCACCAGCTTGTTACCACTGAAGAACCAAGCATTGTCCTGCTGTTCAGGATGAGGAGACTGGGAAGAAGCCCTGCCCCTCGGGCAGACCTGCAGTAACCGACTCTCTCCCCAAAGCTGGGACCGCACAGGCACCAGGAAGAAAAGCATGACCAAAACCCTAAGCTAGCGCTCAGAGGAGGCTGCTCACACGCGAAACTGGCAAGCGTGATGAGGAATGAAGACGAGAGTAGGTGGGACACGAGGAGACAGGGTCGGGCTGCCAGGCCTCTAGGATGGGCAAGTGGCTAATGGGAGGTGGGTGTGTGCTGGGCCGTCTCTTACATGATCCTCCCAATCACCCTGAGGCTGTGACCCTGCTGCTCAAAAAAGGCCCTGAGGCCCCACAGTAAATGCAAGGGGACTTGGCAAGTGCTAAGATCAGTCCCGGCCTCCTGCCACCCAGAGCACTGTGGGGAAGAGCAGCCAGTGCGCAGGAAACACAAAGATGGGTTCACAGAATCCAACCAAGCCGGGGAGACTGCAGGCAAACCCCGACTCCTACAGGTTCGGCCAGGTTAACAGGTGAGTCTAGTGCCCATGCCCCACAGGGACGGGGATCTAGGTGGCGGGAAGGGCCTGGGTGTGGCCTGTGCTCCTTCAAGGCTGAGCAGCAGGATGGAAGCCGGAAGGCTGACACCACCCGGTGCAGGTGGATAAGAACCATCAAGGGCAGGACTTCAGAAAACTCAGCACCTGTTTGTGCTGATTCTTATGTGCTATAAATAGCAGCAACCCCCCCCACCAATTGAGAAAATGTTATAAAAGAAATTACAGCAAACATCCAACTCCAAGATGACGCAGCCCTAACGCCCCACGAGGCAAGGCCACCAGCGCACGGCCAGGCCCACAGTGGCAGGGCCTGAGCAGAGGGAGAGCAGGAGCCAGGGTCCAGCCCTCACCACAGACACAGCTGAGAACCCTTTCCCACCGTCTGCTGTGCAGGAAGTCACACCCTGGGATCCTCTGTAGACAGGCCAATCCACAGGGCCCGCCCATCCCTGAGGTCCTGCCAGCAGACGCCCTCAGGGCGGAGCTGGGGGGGCACCGTGGGTGAAGAGCCATCCACGTCTCTGCCAGCTCGTGCCCAGGGGCAGCGGTGGAGGAGGAGGACGTGTGACCTTTGGTAGAAGGGACGCCACGGTCAGAGGCCTGGCTTGCCCAGGACGTGGACTAGGCCAGGGGCAAGCCCCAGGACCCCAGCGGGGCCTCCAGCAGGCCCCACTCTGGCTCCTGCTCTGAGAAAGGTCTGGTAGTGCGCTCTCCACTGAAGGGCTCCCGGAGGACAGCATCTAGGCAAGCTGGATGGGCGACACAGGCGTACGGGCACCATCCCCAGGGCTGTGCACTGTCTCTGCCATCCTGTCCTGGCCTAGTAGCCTCGCCCTATGGGAGCTGTCCACCTGGAGGCAGGTGGTTCAACCTCTCCTAGGACTGGCTGTGCCCCTTGTCCACATCCCCTATCCTGGGCTAGAGCCTGGACATGTCACGAGCAGGTGGCCTCGAGGCTGCGAAGGGCACTGACCTCGGCAGGGGCGGCGCTGGTGAAGCCGTCGCACACGAGCACGGTGAGGGTGTCGCCGGCACCGCGCAGCAGCTGCACAGCCTCAGCATGTGTGAGGCCAAGCAGGCTCTGCTGGTTCACCTCCAGCAGCCGCAGCCCCACTCGAAGGCGGCCATCACGCCCGGCTGCTCCCGCCGGGCTCACCTGCAGGAACACCAGACCCTGCACGTCAGGACTGGCTGCCCTGGGCCCCGTCTGCCCAGGGACCCGGCAGGCAGGCCCTCACCTTAGAGATAAAGATGCCCTCGTCAGTGGGGTCACTGGGGTTGCCTGCGTGGCCTTTGGCACCCCCACGGATGCTAATGCCCAGCTTCTCCCCGGGGGCCTTCTGGATACAGAGCTCCCGCAGGCCTGGAGGCGGAGGATCCCTCCGCACCAGCAGGACCAGCTCCAGGCAGGGCCGCAGCAAGGCGCTGACTGCCTCCTGGTGTGTGGCCTCCCTCACATCCTGCCCGTTCACTGCGAGGATGCGGTCACCAACCCGCAGGCCACTTCTCGCTGCCAGACCCCGAGGGAGCACCTGTGAGGAAGGGTGGAGTCCAGTGGACAGGGCCTCAGTGCTCATGCCTGGTGCCCACCTCGCAGAGGCCCCGGGGCCACTCTACCTTGGAGATGAACACACCAGGCTCCTGAACTCCAAATGGGTGGCTGGAGTGGTCAGAGCCCCCAACGATGCTGAGTCCCAGTGGGCCCCCGGCTCTTGGCAGGCAGATCTCCTGGGGACACCAAGGGGTTGAGAGGCCAGAGCAAGCCTGTCAGAGCAGCAGGGGGCCCTTCTCCAGCCCAGACAGCGTGCAGGCCCTAGGGCGGCTGCAACCAGGTGTCAGGGGTGGGGATGTCTGTGCTGGTGGCCACAGGGAGGCCACGTGGATACACAGGACTCACAGGGAGAGGACACTGCACTAGGAACAGAGCCACAGTGTTCTGAGGCCTGAGCACCCCCTTTCCCACCTGGAGCTGAGTGGACACGAAGGGAACTGCAGACGGGGAGAGGGCTGAGTCTCACCTCCACTGGATACGGCCCCTCCAGTGCAGTGGCAAGCAGGCTGGGGGCTAGCCTCAGTGGCCCAGGATCCCCAGGTGTGGCAGTGACCACAGTGGTGGTGGCAGAGGGGGGCGGGGGAGAGTGTGGCGGGGGGCTCGGTGAAAGGGGACCCCCGGCTTCCCGCTCCAGCAGCAGGGCTATGGTGGGGGAGGCAGCGGTCAGCAGAGAGACGGCGTGGTCGTGCCTGGCCTCTGTCATGTCTACCCCGTTGATCTGAAAGAGTGTGGCTGGTCAGGAGGCCCGGTGTACAACTGGGGTGGAGGGAGCACTGGGTGGGCCCCACTCACCGAGAGGACACGGTCGCCGACCTGCAGAGTGCCTGCCCGGTGAGCAGCGCCCCCCTCAGCGATCCGAGAGATGAAGATGCCCTGTGAGGGGAGAAGCAAGCTGTGCAGCAGAAGGACGGGGACGAGGTCCCAGCCCTGCCCCTACCCCCCTTGCCAGACTCACCCCGTCGCCAGCCCGGTAGGGTGTGGAGCCTTTCCCGCCGGCGATGCTGAAGCCCAGCCCCTTCTCACTGCGCACCAGGCAGGCCACGTGGCGCTGCCGCAGAGGCCCGGGGGCCTCGGGCTGGGGCAGGCGCAGGCTGCCACACCTCCGCTCCCGGGGGCTGTAGTCGTCCTCGGGGCGCAGAGGCGTGACGGTGACCGCATTCTCAGGCTCCACCATGCGCTCCCGCCACAGCCGCATCTGCACGGTGGCACCTGCGCCCCGCAGCGCCTCCACAGCCTGGTGGTGCTCGGCACTGTGCAAGGCCACGCCGTTCACCTGAGACCACGACCCGCGTCAGAGCAGGCCGTGCAGAGGCCTCCACAGCGGGAGCAGGGACCAGCCACAGGCTCCTGCTGGCTCCACTCCGCCAGCGAGACCCAGGGACAGGACACGAGCTGGCGCAAGGCAGCAAGCGAAGGCCCCTCCTGCTGCCCCGCCTGTGTCCCAGCCCCAAGAACACCTGCCGCCTGCCGCCTGCCCGTCACGGGTCACGGCAGCAGTCCCACGACCCAGACGCTCGGGCCCGGCGAGGCTTCCCGTCCTCAGCTTTCCCGTCTGTGGGGCATCGGCCCCGCCTGCACAAACACGCCGAAGCTCCCTGACCCCTCGCCAGGCCTCGGCGGCCCGATGCCCAGGCAGGGGTTCCAGAGCAGGAATCAAGCTCTCAAACCAGACCCACTAGAGGTGTGGCTACCTCCCAGCCAGCCCCAGGGGCAGCACCCTGCCCAGACGGGCCTGGCCGGGCCTCTGCCTCAGGGGCCTCCTGCGCTCCTCGCCTGGGTCTACTGCCTGGAGCGCCCCATCTCCTGCAGGGCGGCAGGCTGGGCACAACGTGGGCTCTGAGGGCCACTGAGATAGTGGCCAGGGGCCGCTGACTCACCTCAAGGAGCTTGTCACCCACTCGGACTCCAGCCCGGGCTGCGGGGCCCTCTTCGGATACCCGAGAGATGAATATGCCCTAAAGAACGAAGGAGCGCTGAGCCCGAGGGCGTCGCACGGCCAAGCTCAGCAGCCCCAGGTCCCGGTGTGCAGAGGAGCAGCGGGCCTGGACAGTCAGGCTGGGCTCCAGCCACGGTGTCCCCAGCTACAGGGTGCAGACTGACCTCCAGGAACCGTGTCGACCCAAACCCGGCTCAGAGGCAACCAGCCTGCAGCTGAACCCTCACACCCTAAGATCCCACCCAAGTCAGTGCTCAGTCCAGGCCAGCAGTTAGCACGTGGGGCGGGGGACCCGGGCCCAGCAGCCAGGAGCAGTCCCCGGGGTAGGAATGTGGGTGCCGGGCTCCACGCAGCAGGAAGCGAGCGGCGAGGTCAGTCAGAAGTGCCCTCGACAGAGACGGCTCCTCACCTCGTCATCTCCCTTGTAGGGGGTGGAGCCCTTGCCACCGGCGATGCTGATGCCCAGGCCCCCCGTCTGCCTCACAATGGTCAGTGTCAGCTGGAAACAGAACACAGGGGAGATGTTCAGGGAGGGCGATGAGGGGCGGGCCCAGTGGGAAAGAGGAGGGCCCATTCTCTCCGCTGACACCTCTGCCAGGGCCAGCTTGGGCACGAGAGCAGCTGGAAAAGGCAGGCACTGCTGGGCTGAGTGTGGCAGCCCAGGGCTCAGGAGGACAGTCCAGAAGGGGTATCCATCTGCAGGTGACAAGGCCGAAGGCCCTGCAGACAGAGTGGGTGGCAGAAAATGCCCCAGCACCCCTGCCAAGACTGGCCGCCCCTGCGGGGGCCAGCACACTGTTCCCACCCGGCCCTCAGGGACGCGGTGCAGGGCAGGGCTCCTGCAGGAGGGCTGTGCGGGAGTGCGGGGGAAGGAGGCCGAGCCCACAGCCCCGGAAGCGAGCCGGCAGCAGCCCAGGGCGCGGAACAGAGCAGAGAGTGAGTACAGACCTCTTCTTCCTCAATGCGAGCGGGCTCTATCAGCAGGTTATTGGCCTGGTCAAACGACACCCCCTGTTAGGACAGGACCAGCGAAGGCATGCAGGTGAGCCACCGCCCGGCCCCGCCACCACCTTGCCCGGCCCCGCTGCCAGCAGGAAGGAAAGAAGAGACCACACCAAGCTCCCAAAGACTGAGCACCAGCCCCTGCCCCCGGCATGTGTGGCTGCTGCTGACCCACCAACAGGGCAGGGGAAGCAAGGAGGGGCGGGCCCCACGGCAGGCTGTGCCTGGCCTGGCCATCCTGGATCTGACCTTCCAGGCCCCTCCACTACCAGGATGTCACGCCTGTGCTCAGGGCAGTAACTGGAGTGTCAGAAACACAGGCATGCTGTGGAGAGCAGGGCATCCAGGGAGCAGGCAGGACCCCACATGGGCCCGAGAGCCGCCTGAGGGCCAGAGGAAGGGCACTAGGGAAACCCCAGCCCCGAGGTGAGGCTGAGAAGGCAGAACAGCCGGGGCACCGAGAGGGTGGCCACCAAACGCCCACGATGGGGCTGCAAGGCCAGCAGGGGCCTCTGGGCCCAGCCCAGGAAAGATGGTGGTCAGCAGCCCTTGGAGAGAGCCCCTCCATCAAACCCAAAGCTGTCACAAGCGTCTCCTGAAACTGACACCAACACAGACCTGGGGCCTGGGGAGGAACAGTGACAACACGGCCCAGAGACCAGGTGGGTAATGGGGTGAGACCCACCTTGACAGAGGGCACAGAGGCCACGGCCTCCTCCTTCTCCTCCTCCTCCTCTGCCACAGCCTCTGCCTCCTCCTCGTCCTCCTCGTCCCCCTCGTTCTCGGCCCGAGGGGCCCAGGGCGTGTGCGGGCCATTGTGCCAGCTCCCAAGCCCCGTGGGGCCCTCGCTGTCTGGCTGTGCCCCCTGCAGCAGGGCCACGACGGCCTCAGGTTGGGGCAGCTTGGAGACCTTGAACTGCTTCTTATAATGGGGCGTGTCCTTCCGGGTGAGCCGCTGCCTCCCCACAGGCAGGGCCCAGGGGGCCTCCAGCGGCCCCTCCTCGCTCTCTCCATCTTCCCCCGGCGGCAGCAGGGTGTCCTCTGCAAATCGCACTGTGGGCTACAAAGGGCAAGAGTGAGGGCAGCCCCACAGGGGCCAGGGCAGGCCACGAGCAGGAGGCGACACGAAGGGCTCCTCGCTGTCTGAAGACCAAGGTGGGGCTGCCAGGTGAGGGGCACACAACAGCTCATGAAGACTGGGCTCCACACGGGGCTCAGAGCAGTCAGGTGCTGAGGACGGTCTGCAGGTGGGGTGACGAATGTGGGAGAACAGCAACCCTACGGCTGTGGACTGGAGACACCCCCCCACCCCCTGCCCCTGCAGAGCTCAGACAGCCCTCCTGTGTGCCCCATCTGCTCCCTGACTGGTCCTGTGGGAACACCTGCTTGGGAGGAAGGGGACTCCCACGCAAGCAGCCTCCAACGTAGCCTAACCTCCTCATAGATCTCCTCTTCAGCCTCTTCCTGGGCAGCTGGCGTGGCTTCCTGCAGACTCAGCCCCTCGGCCTCAGATGGCAGGCCCTCGGGCTCACCCTGGGAGGCTGTACTGGTGGACAGATGTGAGTCCTCACTCAGACCAGACCCAGCGCTCAGCCTCTTCTCCTGCAGGACAGTCAGGTGGCCAGTCATTTCGAAAGTCAGGCAGCCCACCTGTCCCTGGGCTTCCGCTGCCCCCAGCCCCCTGAAGCTGCCCAGGCCCTGCAGAAAAGGGGAGCTCAGCTCTCAGCCATGTGTCCCAGGGAAGCAACACTGCTACCAACAAACCACAGACACACAGGGCTGCAGTTCTTCAGCACAGGCCCTCAAAAGTCTTTCTACAACAGTCAGAAAACCAAAGGTGCATTTAGTTCCCAAGACGATAGCACCCTAAGAAAGACCAAGTGCCCTACTGTAAGCACAGCCCCAGAAGGGGCCACGGTGGCTGCACAGGGCAGGCAGGCAGCCGAGCCACCAGGGCTCCCCAGGCAGCACAGGTGCTCTGCTGCACCCAAGGGGCCTGAAGCTCCCCGAGCGGTTGTCAGAAATTCTGAACGAGTGGAGCTGGGCCTGCCTGGCTCCGGCCCAGCCCCCGTCACAGAAGCTGACGATGCCTGTGCCACCTGGGTGGGCACCCAAGGGACATACCAGCCCACAGACCCATCCCTGTCCCGTGCCACTAAGGAGAGGACCTCCGAGTCCTCTCACACTCCTGCCCTACACGCCCACGCCACGTTCCCCCACATCCACCCCAGTGGCCCTGCACTTCCCCTCCCATGTGCCTCGTGCCCACGCTGAACCCCCAGAGCCCCACACCCCAGGATGGATGGAACACCCAGGACTCCAAGACAGCAAAAGCCGTGGGCTGGGGTCCCGCCTGCACCCACGTCCCATAGGCACCTCCTCCGAGGGTGAGGGCAGCCCAGGGTCAGGCCTGCGGGAGGCTTCGCTGCGTCGCTCCTCCACGCCCCTCTTCATCACCTTGAGCTCACTGGGATGAGGCGTGGCCCGACGCTGCAGACCCTGCAGTGGGCACGGGGGTGAGGGGTGGGCAGGGCAGGGTCAGGTGGGGATGGGAAGCAGGCCACCCACCCAGGAACCCCACCCCCCCATACCCGCTTTTCAGCAGCGGCCTCCTCAGCATCCTCATCGCTCATGGGGGCCCCCAGAAACTTGATGACGCTGACGCGGCTGAGTGGGGTGTCGCTCCAGCTCTCAGAGGGGCTGCTCCGCTGCCCCGGGCCCTCTGCGAGTGGGAGAGCCAGGGCTCAGCCTTGCCTGAGGCCACACCCAGCCCTGGTCTCCACCACCAGCTGGCAGCAACCTACCGAGGCTGGGCGGGGGCTGCTGGGGCAGCAGGTAGCAGGTGAGCACTTTCTCGCCAGTCTGGGCATCATCCTCAGTCTGGAACCGGAGCATGGGCTGCGCCTGGTTCTCAGCCAGCCACAGGGCCTTCAGGTTGAGGTGGGTGAGTGCGAACGGCAGACTCTGCAGCCTGGGGCCGTGGCATGGTCAGCTCAGGGGTGTGGCGCGGCACGGTCAGCTCAGGGGGGCAGGGCAGGGGGTATGGTGCGGCACAGTCAGCTCAGGGGGTGTGGCGAGGCACGGTCAGCTCAGGGGGGCAGGGCAGGGGGTGTGGTGCAGCACAGTCAGCTGAGGGGGTTGTTGAGGCATGATCAGCTCAAGGGGTGTGGCGCGGCACAGTCAGCTCAGGGGCCGTGGCATGGTCAGCTCAGGGGGTGTGGCGCGGCACAGTCAGCTCAGGGGGGCAGGGCAGGGGGTATGGTGCGGCACAGTCAGCTCAGGGGGTGTGGCGAGGCACGGTCAGCTCAGGGGGGCAGGGCAGGGGGTATGGTGCGGCACAGTCAGCTGAGGGGGTTGTTGAGGCATGATCAGCTCAGGGGGTTGGCGTGGCACGGTCAGCTCAGAGGGGCAGGACAGGGTACTCACCGGTTCCCGGCTACATCCAGCACGTGCAGCTCAGCTGTGTGGGCGAGCTCAGGTGGCAAGATGGCCAGGCGGTTGTCCCTCAAGGACAGGACACTGAGTGCCACACAGCCTCCAATCTCAGGTGGCAACACCTCCAGGCGGTTCCGGTCCACGTTGAGGTTGGTCAGCTTGGTCAGCTTCCCGAGAGAGTGAGGCAGAGCCTGGCCAGAGGTGCAGTAGGGAGTTTGGGGGAAGGGTCAGAGGGCCGCAGAAGCACACTGGGGATAAGGAGGGAAGTGGCAGCCCTTGGGGCCATCTAACTGGTTCTGGCCTCTCCTCCCCTCCCTCAGCCGGCACTCGAGCAATCGCTTGGCTCCCACCACACAATGGCTCCCACCCTTGCTCTGCAAGCGTCACAGCTCCCCTGACCTCGGCCTCCCATGCTGCCTCTGAAACCGACACCTGCAGGAACCGGGCCTGGAGGCTGGGCCTACCGTCAGCAGGTTCTCAGTGAGGATCAACTCAGACAGGTTCTCACAGTCCCCAATGGCCTCCGTCACTTCACATAGGCGGTTCTGGTCCACCTTCAGAATGGACAGCTGCTTCAGCTGACCTGATGTGAGGGTGCCATGGCAACAGGGCTGAGTCAGGTGAAGGGCCAGCCACCCACTCAGTGAAGACAGCCTGCCTCTCACACTGCCTCTCCCCAGCCCGCTGCACCCTTGGGCTGTCATCCCAGATCAGTCAAGAGCACCTCAGGTGTCGCTCGCAGTCACCCCTCCCTGACCTCAGCCTGACCCCTCCTCAAGGACTGTTGGTGCCCAGCTGGCACTGACCAATGCCATCAGGAAGCCGCTGCAGCAGGTTCTGAGACAGAAGCAGGTCTGTGAGGAGCGCTAGTCCCCCCAGCTCTGCAGGCAGCGCCTCCAGCCGGTTCTCCGACACATCTAGACACACCAGGCGCCGCAGGTTCCCAAGCTCCTGAGGGGGGTGCAGAGGTTCAGGGCACTGTGGACTGAGCCTGAGTGAAAGGTGGGGGTGGCTACACCCTCACTCACCGGAGGCAGTGACGACAGCTGGTTCCGGTCCAGCCACAGCTCCCGAAGATTGGGCAAAGCCCCCAGGGTGTCGGGCTGCAAGAAAGAGGGGAAGGAGTGACCGGGGCGCAGCTGCAGCCCTGGCCGCCCCGCTCTGCCCATGCAGGTCCCGCCCTCTCCGCACCAGCACTTCCAGATCGTTGCCTCCCAGATCCAGCTGTTCCAGCTTGACCAGGAAAGACAGGGACCTGCACGGGAAACAGAACAAGCCTCATTTTGGATGCATGAACCAAGCCCCTAGGGCTGCCACTGGTGGGGGCTTGGCCACTCACGCAGGCAGGGACTTGAGCAGGTTCTCCCGGAGTTCCAGAGTCACCAGGTTGGCAAGGCTGAAAGAAAGACCAGGGTGGGGCATAAGAGAGGTAAGGATGGTGGGAGAGGGGCAGGAGCAGGGCTGAGCTAAGACCCCCACCCAAAAGGACACTTACTTGCCCACGTCCCCAGGCAGCGCCTGCAGGGATACATCGTTCAGAGCCAAGTGAGCCAGGCTGCGCAGCTGAGTGAAGCCCTCGGGAAGTCTACACCAGAAGACAGGGTACGTCTGACTTCCAAGGCAGGGCTGTGGGACCTCTCACACCCACTACCTCCTCCACCATGGCCACCACTTACCTGGACAATGGATTTCCACTGAAATCTGCAATCTCCAGTGCCTTGCAGAACTTGATGCTCTCAGGGATCTCAGGGATGTCTGTCACAGGAGTTGGGGTCACCAGAGACGCTCACAGCCTCCAGGAGCTCAAAGCCCTTCCTGCCACCCACAGGCTCCACCCCAGACCCGCCCTGGGCTCCACACCGTTCCGGGACACGTCCAGCTCCACCAACTGCATGAAGTTGGCCACCTCAGGTGGCAAGCGCTGGATCTCGTTGTCACTCAGGCCCAGTTTGCGCAGATTCAACAGCCGAAAGAAGGGCTGTGGACAGGGGATGAGGTTAGGGGACCAAGCCCTGTAGCACAAACCCCTCCAGAGTAGACACAAGTCCCCAGGTCATGAGTCACTGGGGCTCTGCCTGCTCCAGGCTATACAGGAACCCAGGGTTCTGCCACCTCCCCCAGTCTGCAGCAGGAAAAGAAAGGAAGAAAAAATGCGTGCACACACTTTGCGGCACCCCTGCCTACTGACAACTGTCTCAGACGTGTTCCCTGCTCCCCTGCTGCCACCTTGCCTCACATGTCTTAACCTTATCAAAGTCACCTTCTCCTGACTTGTTTCCTACCCTGTGTGCTCCCCGAGGACTCTACCTACCACCTAAGTGACCTCTTCCACCACCAGGCAGGGAAGCCTTCAAGTGGCTTCTGCTCCCGCGTTCTAGCAACCCAGCCAGGCCCAGGCAAGAGCTTGACAATTCCCAGAAAAAGTAATGAACACAGCAGACCGGCACATGCACGTGGTGGTGTGTGCGGGGGCTGCAGGAAGTGTGGGGGACCTGGACGAGACGGAGACCGAGGGACAGAACGGAGCCACATCCTCTGTGGCACGCAGCCCCCGGCACCGGTCCACTTCGCACCCTGTCTCCAAAAAGGAAATCCTTTCGTGACTTGCTTCCTTTAGCCTCTTCAGAGAAGCCTTATGAGAAGAAACACAAGCTGACCAGAAAGGGCACGAGCGGCAGGAGGGGGACAGAGCAGAACTGTCAGAGACAAGCACCTCAGGAGAGCTGCTCTACCCCGCCCCAGCACCCCGGAGAAAGAGAAAAGAGGTCCCAAAGTTAGGCCAGGCCCCGCCACCTCCAGAGCAGCCAGGCAAACGAGTGCCCATGCACAGGCCAGTTTCCCTTCCACCCTCCTCTACCTCATTGGCTCACTGCCCCCGGGGCTTTCACTCTGCGGCTCCTCCTCTGGGCCCGGTGACCACCCCGCCCCCAGGCAGGCACCTGATGACCACTGCCACCTGGTGCCGGCGCCCGCCGTGGGTGAGGAGGGTGAGGCCGGCTGGGGTGGGGCTCTGACCAGTCAGAACCAGCAGGGCCGGCTGGAGGTGCCCCGCCCGGGCCAGGCCTGCGGAGGGCTCGGACGAGCGGGCGGCAGCTCACCTTGGGCAGCTCGCGCAGCTGGTTGGCGTCCAGGAGCAGCTCCTCCAGGCTGCGGCTGTAGCGGTAGATTTCCTCGGGCACGGCCTGCAGCGAGCAGTGCCGCTTGTCCACCGACTCCACGTGCCGGTTGCAGCGCCAGAGCGGGATGCACTTGAGCATGGTGCGGGCGGGCGGGCGGGCGGGCGCGCGGCGCGGGCTCGGGCGGGGGGCGGGGCTCGGCCCGCATGAGCGCCGGGGCGGCCGCGGGAGAGGGAGGGGAGGGGGCGGCCGGGCTGCGGCGGCGCTGGGCCCGGCCCGCGCTCGGAACGCTCGGAACGCTCGCCCCGCGCGAGGGGCGCGGCCCGGCCGGCGCTCAGATTCTCAAGAGACGGCGACGGTGGCGGCGGCCCCGCATCCCGCCCGGCCCACGCCACCCGCTCGTCCGCCGCTGCGCCGCAGCCGGAACCGCCGCTGCTGTCCGCCGGACTGCCCCGCCGACAACCGCCGGCCGCCGCGCAGCCCGCCGGGAAGCCGAGGCCCGCCCATTACCGCCGGGACCGCAACCCCCACAAGGCCGTGCGGCGCTGGCACCTCCGAGGACCCGTAGCGCTCCCGCGCACAGCCTGCCGGGAAGCCCGGCTCCCGTCCTCCGCGCAAGGCACCGTGGGAGCTGAAGTCCACCGTGGTCCGAGACCCAGCGCCTCCGCCGCATCCGGGCCCAGACTTCCTCCCGCCTCGCCCGGACCCTCCTTGGCTTTGGGCCCGCGACCACGCGATCCAGCCCACATCCCTCCTCTCATAACCGGCCCCTGCTGAACTGTGACCGCCCTCCTCCTCGTTCTCGCGTACAGGGCGGTCCAAGGGTCCGCAGCCCCCCGCCCCCAGGCTGGGCCTCCAAGTGAATAAGCACAAGACCACTGTCACACATGGCCTTCAGGGCCAGCAGCATCTGCACCTTTATGCGCACAGGGCGGCCGGGCCGAGACACTATAAAACCCAGAGGAAACAAGAGCAAGTGCAAGTCCGGGGAATGGGGCCAAGGTCACGCAGAGAGGTCACTGTTATCAAAACGCTCCTGGTCATACACTTCAGCCACAACCTTGCGGCCAGCAAACCAGCGCCCATTGAGGGCCTGGATGGCCTTGTGAGTCTCGGAGGCCATGGAAAATTCCACAAAGATCTTGACAATGATCTCTGCATCCTCCTCCTCGCCCTGCTTCTCCTGGTAGATGATGACGCGGTTGACAGCACCAAATTTGCCACACTCCTCGGTCACTTCTCCCTCCAGGTCGTCGTCGATGTCCTTGGGGTCCACCATGTTTCGAAGAACCATCACTGTGGACTGTGGGTGGGTGGGTGGGGATGACAGCTGAGCGCTGCAGCTGCTGGACCACACCACCCCCAACTGCCCCGCCTGCCCGAGCACCCACCTCCTGCTTGCGGAGCAGCTTCTGCATGACCATGTGGCGGGCACTGCTGCCCGAGATGCTCATGTGCTCCTGCTCACTCAGCATCTCCGGCCGCTCTGACTCAGGAAACAGCTCCTCCTCCTCCTTCTCCTTCTTCGGCTCCAGGAGACCCAGCGTTGGAGGGCTGGCGAGGATGGGGTTCACCACTCCCACAGAAGGAATGGTGACTGGAATGGGGGGCCGGGCTGGGGTCACACCTGCAGCAAACACATCAGGTCCAGCAGTCACTCCCCCCACCTCCATCCTTCTCAAGAAAGAGCACAGCATCCCTCAACCATGGCTGGCCTGCCCTCAGGGCATAGGACTGTGCCTGGAGTTCGTAGGCCAGTAAGCTGAGGGCAGCTGGAGATAGTGAGCCGAAAGGAGGCAGGGAAGAGAGGGAAACCTTGACCCACCCAGGCTCACCTGTGATGACTCCTGGGGCCTGGGCAGCCATGACAGCCTGAGGCAAAGCCCCCAGGGGCTGGGCCAGAGTCAGTGCAGGGGATACCAGTCCAGGCGTGGCAAGAGTGCCCAGCACCGCTGCTCCCGCCACTGCTTCCTGTAACCCAAAAGGCCACCACACTCAGTCCCCAGTCTGGCTACCTCCACTCTATACCACCCGAACAGCCAGTCAGTCCCCAAAGCACTGGGGGCCTATTGCCCAGGATTGAACCCACACAACTGCACTAGCCCTCACCTGAGCCGTAATCTTGGCTGTGGCTGCAGCTGCGGCCACAGCAGCAGCTGGCGGGAGGCCTCCAGGTGTGGCAGGTGTAAGCAGGGGCATGGGGGGTGTGACAGCCTTGCCCACCCGCAAATACTGGCCACCCAGGTCAAAGAGGTTCATGGAAGACACGGCATCTTGAGACGACTGGGCCTTCTCATACTCTGCAGGGCAGGAGCAGCAATGAGGGCCAGCCACAGTATGAAGTGGGCCCCAGCCCAGGCCCTTCCTCAGAATCCCCAAGCTCACCAATGAAACCATAGCCCTTGTGCTTGCCAGTCGTAGGGTCCCGGGCCAGCGTGCAAGATTTGATCTTGCCAAAGGCCTCAAACACGCTCTTGATGTCATCGTCCGAGAGGTCCTGGTGCACAGAAGCCACGTAGATTCGGTTGAAAGCACGTGCCTCTTCTGCCAGCTGGTCTATGATGGGCTGGGCCTGCCCTATGTTGCTGGGCCTGCCCACCTGGGGAGAGGTAGGGGACCAAGAGCCTCCAGTAAGCCCAGGCTTCCCAAGAGTGACTGCATCATCTCCTGAGTGACTGGCAGAGCACGCCATGCACTAGCCCCAGAGCCCAACTCCCTGGCCCTCACCTTGATGTTCCTGCCGCCCAGCATCACCGAGTTCATCTGCTCCAAGGCCAATTGTGCAGCTTCTGGGACCTCGTACTCCACAAAGGCAAAACCCTGGATACAGGGATGCGCTGTTAGGCCTGGACAGCACCCCCTGGAGGGAGGGGGTACACACAACAGAAAAATTCTCACCTTGTGCTTCATAGTGACAGAGTCCCAGGACATGTCAATGCTCTTGATGGGCCCAAAGGGGGCAAAGGCCTGGCGAATGGTGTCCTCGCCCAGCTCGTAGTAGATAGAGCCCACGTAGACCCGGCACATGATGGCCAGTGCCCGCTGCCGCTGAGCTGCCATCTGGAGCAGGACACAAGGGGAGAGAGTGCCACTGGCTTGTGACGGGGTGGCAGGAGGCTAGGCAGCCCATGCCCCTCCTGCCCCACCCACTCAGCACCACTGTGGTGAGGGCTCCCCACGCAGCAGCATGGTGCAGACTCAGCCCCTGCAGACAGGGTGGTGAGGGTCAGCAGGACCCTACCCCCAGGAAGGAAGACCAGGCCCCAAGGCAGGACATGGACCCACCCTGGCCTGTCCAGGTCCTGAGCAGACCGGCAGCAAAGCTGACAGGTGGTCAGGAGGCAGGGCTATGTGCCCTCCCACCCAGCCCACCCCTCCAGTCTGGAGGCCAGGAATGCTGGGCTGGGCTGGGCTGGGAGATCCTCCCAGGGACCTGACCAAGTGTTCTGACAGAAGAGGGAAGGGAGTGCCGTCCAAGCTGGAGGGACCCACTGGTGTGGAGGCAAGAGGGAGACAGAAGACAGGGCGCCCAGAAGAGACCCCAGGGGAGGAGGTCAGGAACCCAGGTAGGGGCTCCCTTCAGAGAGAATGAAGAACAGCTACTTGTGCAGGGCCAGCTCAGGTAGGGGCTCAGCGATCTGCAAGACCCCCATGCCTTGAACCCCTCACAAAAAAGAGCTGCCTGGACTCACACCCACAACCCAGAGGGCCTGGCCCCCCAGGAGCATTAGGAAGTGACAGGCCTGGCAGGCCCAAGGCAGACACACTGCCTCTGCATTGGGTTGAGTTTGGTCATTGTGCGTAGCGACCTCCCCATGCCCTCAGGGAAGGGGTTCCCATCCCTGCCATCTCACACACAACTTGCCAGGCAGGGGGGGATGCCCAGAGCCACACACGGTAGGCCAGGGGGAGGAGCTAGGGCCCTGGGGAAGAGACCACGGCCGAGGGCAGGCAAAGATGATGGGGCCCTGGCTCTAGCTTCTCCACCAACAGGGGCTCCACTCACCCTCACAAAAGTCCCCATAACCAAAGGCCAATTTCCTTCTTTAGACATCAGATAGCTTAGTATAGGCCAAGCCTCCCCTCCCTCAAAGAAGGACCTAAAAAAAAGGTCCACAGCTCCCCCAGAGTAGGAATTCCCCCAAAATGGGATACCCTCCTCAAACTGGGCTCCTGACAAATAGGCCTCAGGCTCCCTGCTGAGACCAAGGACCCCAAAGGCGGAACCATGCCCCCTCTCACACTAGGCACCTGAGACATAAAACCACCTGTCCCTCAGGTCAAAGTTCCCCAAGATAGAAGCACATCTCTTCAGTGGGCGCTCCCCAATAGCAGGTGGGCTAACAGCCCTCTCCCTGATGTTTCCTCATAGACAGACACCTCCCAGAGAGGACACTGGGTCTGTCTGGCCCCTGAGGACAGGCCCTTGCCTACCCTGTGAGAGCAGCATGCCCAGGGACGGTCCCCAGAGAAAGGGCCATGTTCCCAGAGGGGTCCCTGGCCTCCTCAGCCTGCCTCTGAGGGATGGAGGGTATCTCCTTCCCAGACTTCTCTGCCCATGGCAGCCAAGGCCATGGCCTCCACCTCCTCCCTGGCTGCATGGCCTCTACCCCTTGCTCACAGCCAGGCCCAAGGCCCAAATTCCTGCCCTTCCCTCTCTCGCTTGCTTGGGTCCCCCCAGCCCCCACCCTGTCCATCCATCCTCCCGCCAGGGTCTGATGGGGCCATGAATTAGGACCCTTCTCTCCTCAGGGCCTGACCCCAACCCAGGAGCCCAGGCAGCCTGGAGACTGGCGGAGCTGTAGGCCTGGGCGGTGCGCCCCGTGCGTGCAGGCGGCACGGGTACAGGTGGGCCAGGTGTGGGCAGCTACCCTCCTGGCCGGCTGCCCTCCGCAGTTACCTGACCCTCAGAGCAGATGGAGGCCTCCCCGGGGCGGTCCCGGGTGGGTGCCCGCCCACACCACTGGCCCCGCCACGCCTGGCGCTCTGCTGCGCTCGTCCGAGCTGGCGGGCAGGGCCGGCTCGGGGAGCAAGGTCCCCAGCACGCGGCTGCACTGCCCCCCTCTAGCCCTGACTAAGGACATGAGCCCCGGAAGAAGTGAGCATTTCTATTGACCGATTGCAAAGGTGAGAGAGGATCTCCAAAGCCCATTGTCACTGCTGCCATCTGAAAGACAGTAAAGACAGAGTTCAGTCTGTTGGAGCCGAGCAGTCTCCCGCTCTTGTCATACCTCACGCAGACAGCGGCAAGGCCCGGAGTCCCCGCCCTGCCAAGAGGCCCGCCTGCCTTCCCACATGGCCGGCCAGTGGCGGCTGCCGGCACCTGCCCAGGGGGGCCTCAGAGCCCCAGGTGCCCCGCCCTGCAGCCTGGCTGGCCGGGGCAGAAGGAAGGGAGAGGGGAGCGAGAGGAGGAGGGGCGCACATGAGCATGGGGAACAGCCCGGGCATCACCTGGCAGCGTGACTGTCTGGGGCTGGGCAGGGGTGGGGGCTCAAGGCCCAGGCACCTGTCAGCCTCGCCCGGCCTCATTGCAGCTTCCAGCCACAGTTCTAAAGCAGGGCCCTATGGAGGCACCCCAAGCCTCTCCTCTCAGTCCTGGGCCCCAGCCCAGGTGGTCTGGACTCACTGCAGGGGCGGGAGCCTGACCGCTCTTATCCGAGGCCATGGGGGCAGGGAGGAACGCCCCTACATGCTGCACCGTCAACTGTGCAGCCGGGGCACACGGGCGCCGGGGCGACCTGAGGCAACAGTCTGAAGTCCGAGAAGAGGAGATGGCTCGGGGAGCGGGCAGAGCTACAGAGAAGGGGCAGGGAGGGGCTGTGGGTGCTCAACAGGCAGATAAGGCTGGGTTACTCGTGGCTCGGGGAGGAACCCAGGCGTCCCAAGAAGGAGTCCTTGAGAAACCGAGAACCACAGCACCTGGTGGGGACGGCCGCAGGCGCAGGAAGAGGAGAGAAGGAAGAGGTGGTGGGGAGGGTGGCAAGGGCGGGCAGCAGCTCACCTGCAGGTTGGTGAGCTGCTGCTGCTGGTGCGCGATGGTCTGCTTCACCAGCACGCTCTTGATGCTCTGCTCCATGGCGTACTTCTTGGCCTGCGGGAGAAGGTGGTGAGGAGCACTGGGGCCCGGCCTGTGGGGAGATGGGCCTTCTTCCCCGCCCAATTGGCTCCCCATGCCCACAGCACCCTGGGCGGTACACTCTCACCTTCTGGAGGGCCTCCTGCTGCTCAGGCGTCAGGGGAGGCAGTCCCAGCTTTGTGGCTGTGCTCTGCCCATTCTCCATCTTGATGGAGTCTGTCCCCTAGTGGTGGGGAGCAGGGAAATTGTTAACAACAAGCTTAAGACCTCCCTCAGGTGGACCCAGGAAGCCCACCCCCGTCTCCCCCAACAACTGCACATTGCCTCCAGCCCATTCCCGGGGATAGACAGGTGCCAGCACAGACTCCCTGCATGGCCTAGATGCAGGTCTTCCCCAGGACCCACTGTCAGGATGTACACTGAGGCAGGCAGGTACTTGGGGGCCCTGGACCAACCTGGAGCAGCTGCAGAGCCCAGGCCACAATGGCCTGCTCAGGAACCACCAAGACAAGTGGCAAGTGGAAGGGAGGCCCAGCCTTTGTGGCCAGCCTGACTCCAAAACCTCTGTCCCAAGCCGTGCAAGAGTGTCCCTGACTGTCCTCCAAGACAAGGGGAGGGGTCAGGGCTCTAAATGGTCCAGGGCTCCTACTCCAGCTGCCACCCGGTCATGGCCCCAGACGGCCAGACTCAGCTTCCCTGCTGGGGAGGAGTTCCAGGGACCACTGGAGAAGCATGTGCGGGAAGGGTCCCCACTCCTGTGCAGTGCTCCAGCCTCCACCTCTGCTCATTGTGCATGCTGCCCAGAGGGCTCGGAGGTGCTCTCTCAGGCCACACAGCCCCGAGGAAGGCTCTTGCCCTTTTGCCAAACTCCTCCCTGGCTGTGTTTAGCCGCCTGGGAGAAGCCAGGAGCAGGCCAGCCATGGAAGGACAGAAACACAGGACACCCACCAGCACCCTCACCAGGTGAGTACAGGACCAGGAGACGCTTTGGGAGAGGGCAGGCACAGCCCACTGCAGACCAGAGCAGATGCTACTAGGATTATATTTACATTCCTCTGTCATAATTCACTTCTAAGCTGTTTGCAGAGGGAAGGACAAAGCCATGTAAGCAGAAGTACAGCCACCAGGCCAAGAAGAGTGTGCACATCAAGCAACAGAGCACACCTGCCTGTCTACCAGCTCAGGGAGGCTGGGGCTACCCAGCAACTGCAAGGAGACCACCACTGGTTCCTCCAGAGGGGGTGTTCTGCAGCCCCCAGCATACAGCCTTGGGAGAGACGGCAGATAAGAGAGGCAGGTCCCCAGCACAGGAGTGGCGATCAAGGACAGAGGTACAAAGGAGTCAGGAAGGGGTCGGCTGACCCAACCCCCCCAGAACCACCATCCTGACCAACACAGGGTGAAAGGGCAGGAGGCCCCTCCCCTGGCAACCCAGTCTGGCCCCTGGGAGGCTTGTCCCCAGCTGGCCCTAAGCCCAGCTCTCAGTGGGAGAGAGGCCCCCAAAGCCAGGGGCTGCATGCTAGAGCAGGCTGTCACCATGGTCATCAATGCCAATTCCCTTTCAGCCTCTTAGATACTTTTCAATCACCTCTTTGTCTTGCTAAACAAAAGGCCCTTCTCCCACAACCACTGGCTGGCCACACAGCCAGCTAGGGCCAGGGAGGGTTGGTTAGAGGGACCCCCTGGCCCCCATGCCCATCAGCTGCAGCCCCATAACTTCTGAGGATCCAGGCTACATACCTCAGCCTTTCCCCAAGTGTACCGGGGGGACCCAGAGTAGGCCCAGCCCCAAGAGGCCCCCCCTTGTTGAGCCCCCGCTGGAACCCCCTGGAGGCAGGCGCTGCCATGGCGAAGCACAAAGAACCCTATTACCCAGTGACAACAGGCCCACTCCACTCCCATAGGACACTGCCAAGGGCCAGGCGCCAGAGCAGGACAAGATCTGCCCACGCCCACCCTGGAGCCCAGACTCCGCCTACACCTGTGCTTTGACTTGCATGTTATTCTGCTTTGCTGTTGTATTTAAATTAGAGATCTGAAATGAAAATCTGTTCTTCTGGCTATAAAAACACCCTGCACCCTCTGGAACAGCACCAGTCCTTCTGCACAACACCAATGGCTCAGAGCTCACCCGGCTGAGTTCAGCCCCCACCTGACCACTGTCACCATCTGCTGGCGTCTGCAGACACGCAAAGCTGCAACTCACCACAGAAGCAGGGTGGATGCTGAGGGGAGAGGCAGGGACAAGGAAGCTGGAGTCAGGCCTGAGGCTGGGTGGCAAGGGGGCAGGACAAGCGCCTCCGTTCAGAAGGCAGAGAAGAGTGCCTGGGGCTCCTCCCGCCCGGCCCTGGCCAGTTCTCTCTGGGCCCAGGGACACGCAGGCAGGCGGACGGGCAGGCAGGTGGACAGGCGGGCCTGAGGGCGAGGATGCTTAAGGTCAGTACCTGTGGCGGTTTCCATTTGTCTCCCGCTGCCACCACTGCCGCCGCCGCCGCCGGCTCGGACCCCCCTCCTTGCTGGCCATTGACCTGCTGCAGGCAGGAAGGAGATGTTGTAACGGACAGTCACAAGACCCACCCACCCAGGCCTTCTCATCTGCCCTAGCTAAGGGCTGAGCTCCCCACTGATGAGCAAGGGAGGCTGGCCAGGGGCACAGGAAAGAACCAGCTCTGGCTAGCCCCTGAACATTTCTGACACTACCCCACTCCACCCTGCCCATTCCTCCAGCACACCGACCACTGCCCAGGGCCATGGCACAAGGGGCTGGCCTAGCAGAAACCAGAGCAGAATCTGGGGCAGCACCCAGTTTGCAGCAAGGCCTCAGGAGGGGACAGGGTAGAGAGGGTAGAGAGCCAAGGAAAGTACCCTCTCCTGGGTCTAGAGTGGCCCTTTGGCCATGCAGCTTAAACTAAAGATCAGTTCCTTTCTCACCAGCAGGACAAGGGGCACCTCTCTAGCACCCTGCATACATGCCTGGGCCAGCCCACAGCTCAGCAGCAGTCCCAATGCCTTCCACAGGCTCTGGCTAAATCCAGGGCCCAGGGCCCTCCTGAAGATACCTCCAAGGAAGGTGCAAGAGCTCCCCCAGCAGTCAAATTGTTCAAGGCTGTCTAACTCCAAAGAAGACAGCTGAGAGCTTGGTCATATCCCTAATCTACAACCAGAAGGGTCATGGAGCACTGCCATGCAGAGTGATCGGACAAAGACGCCAACGTCAGAACATAGGCAACATCATAGGGGCGGGGGCAATGGTGGAAGGGCCCTGAGACTCACTCCCCCTTCTCTGAGACCGCACAGTGGGAACCAAGAGCAGATTACACTCACCTAGCTCCCAGCTCAAGGATGAGACCCACAGATATCTAAGAATACAGGGATGGCCATGCCCACCTCTGGGAGTCCTGTGCACAGACGATGTCAGAGGCTGGGATGACTCAGCCAGAGCGTATCTCAGGTACTCTAGCCTCAAAGGAGGGACAACACAAGCCAGGCTGCACTGGAGACATGGCAGTAGACACTGAAGCTGTGGCTAACCCAGCCCTGCACGCTGCCTGAAGCACTCCGAACTCAGCACCACTGCTGCTGTGCAGTGAGGCCCTAGAGAGTCAGAGAGGACATGCGCCCACCCAGTAAGTGCACGGCAGCTGGACATGAGGTCAGAGCTGGACCTTGCCCAAAGTTCCCTGACACCCCCTAGAGCACACCCAGAGCAGAGGCTGCCTCTCAAGGTCCATAGCAAGAGCTATGCCTAAGCAATCCAGCCCCTAGGCCCCTGTCAACAGGGCCAACCTCAGGGCACATGTATAAATAACTCCCACTCTCCCAAGTCACTGTGCGAGCTGACACAGGAACCAGGACAGGGCTGAGAGCAGAGTCTCAGAAGAGCCTTCCCCCAGCCCTATGCTGTGCATCTGAAACTAATACAAAATAGTGTTGAATGTAAACTGTGATTAAAAAATGAAATTTAGCCCTGGCCAGTTTGGCTCAGTGGTTAGAGCGTCAGCCCACAGACTGGAGAGTCCCGGGTTCGGTTCCCATACCTCGGTTGCAGTTTGTCCCCGGCCCCGGTTGGGGTCATGTGGGTGGCAACCATTCAATGTGTCTCTCTCACGTCGATGTTTCTCTCTCTCTCTCCCTCCTGCTCTATCTGAAGATAAATGCAAGAAAGAAAACTGTCCAGGGGTAAGGATTAAAAAAAATAATAAATATGAAATTAAAAAAAAAACAACAACACACGAAGCATCTTTGTACCAGTATAAATATACTTTAAAATTTTTTCTTTTTTCTTTATTGATTTTTAGAGAGAGGAAGAAGAAGGAGAGAGAGAAAAAAAAATAGATGAGAGAGAACATTGACTGGCCGCTTCCTGCATCCCCTGCACTGGGGATCAGGCCCACAACCTGGGCATGTGCCCTGACAGGGAATCGAAACAGCGACCTCTTGGTGCAGGGTCGATTTTCAACCACTGAGCCACACCGGTCGGGATAAATATATTCTTAGTAATCACAAAATGATGAATGTGGTCCTGGTGGCTATACTTCAACAAATAATATATGAATTAGTTCATCATTGTGCAGTTAGATATGTTCAAACTATGTATGTCTCTTAAGCCTGGCCAGGTAGCTCATTCGGTTAGAGTGCCAGACACACCCCGGTTGTGGGTTCGATCCCTGGTCAGGGCACACACAAGAACCAACCAATGAATGCATAAATAAATGGAACAACAAATCGATGTTTTTCTCGGCCTCTCTCTCTTCTCCCCCCTCTAAAAAAAAAAAAAAGCAAAAAACACCTATCTATGTATCTTACAAACTGAGCAAAAATCCCAACTATGTATCTTACAAACAAACTGAGGGAGAAAAAAAGGAAGAAAGGAAAAGACGTCCCTGGAAGAAGCCAGACCACCAGGGCTCCACAGGGACATCTCATCCATCCCAGGCAGAAACTGCCTAGGGTTCCGGTGTAAGCAAACACTGGGAGCCTGGAGGAAAGTGTTGTTTATCACCACAGCTGGCCACATGCTGTCTTCCTCTGGCAATGAAAACGGGAAGGCTTTGCAGTCACAGCCCCCATTACCAGACAGCAGTGCCTTGAGGGGAAAGAAGCCCCCTCAGAAGGCAGTGCAGCGCAGCACCAGGGTTATGGGACCCAAACTCCAGGTCAGTAGCCCGGGTTAAAGAGGATTACTTCCACTAGAAAACCAGGAAAGTGAAGTGATTACATTTCCAGGCCTCGGGCTCTGAATTCAGGCCAGTCTCCTGGGGCTGGTATGAGAATTCAGTGAGTCACTACATGTGTGGAGTGTGTAAGGGAGTCCCTCTTGGAAAGCCCAGTGTCAAAGCTCAGACAGCACTGCTGCCTTCCGCCTGTTCAGTCTCACGGGTGCCAAGCTGGGCACTGCAGACGCAGCAACGACAGACAGGAGGATGCCAACCAGCACCACGGAGCATGACTGCAGCAGTGAGCGAGCACTGAGAAGAAAGCCAAGGGCAGGGTGGAGAGGGACGGTGAGGCTCTGAGGCAACGCGCAGGCTGGGACCTACGTGAGAAAGCAACTATGCCCATGGGGAGTGGAAAGGGTCCCAGTGCTCCGGCCAGACGGAACCCAAGAATGATGGCTCCAAGTGGAAGTGCCCTGGGCTGTCAGAGGAAGGGAAAATGGAGCAGCGCGTCCAAGAGACACAATGCACCTGGAAGACGGTTCCCTTGCTGGGCAGGGGCTGTGGCCTGCTTCTGCAGCTACCAGGTAGAAAGCACACCTGAGTAAGAAGCACTTCCCCATCTTCCTGTACTATTCCCTCACCAGACCACTGTCAGCCAAGCTCAGTGCCACTCCACAATGCCTCCCGCAAGAGCCAAAGCCACAGCTTAGGTCAGCAACCAGAGTGGCTCAGCCTGCACAGACCACAAGACAGAGAACAGGACAGCAGGGAAACAGGCAACCCTTCTAGAAATCTGTCCATTCGAAAGGCTAGAAGAGGAACATGCTAGACCGCAGGCTGGACCTCACTCCCAGAATCTGAGGCAGTGAGCCTGGGCCTTTACAGTTTATGCACACCTATTAACATATGCTAACCTCTTGAGAGGATTTGGAAGGGCAACCCCTATTGAAAACCCCAGCATACAGGGTTCAGACTTATTGCTCATGTCCACCTCTACAACGATACCACCCATCTGGCGCTGTGCCACAGTTGAGCTAAGCCCCAATTCATACCTCATTCCCCTTGAGCACAGGGTGCTGCTGACTCTAGCCTCTAGTGCCCAAGGCCGGGGCTTAGTGGTCGTGGGGGAGATAGGCACCAGCTCTCACTGGCCTCCTCCTACACCTTCCCAGGAGTCTGCGTCCTTGTCACAGCCCCCCTCTCCTCCACCATCCAATTCTGCCTGCTGCCTAGGACAGTCACCAAGTCCTCAACCCTCACTTCTTTTCTAACTTCCCTTTCACAGAGGTTATTTGTTCCCGTGGCTCCCACAGGAAGCAGGCACGTGACAGAGAGGGCAGTGAAGCCCGCTGGGGCCCTCTCTCCCCCTCGGAGTCAGTTTCTGCGCCAGTGAGAGAGACAGGTCCAGCACCAACCTACGTACACTTCCTGACCTCGAATGTCTCCCCTAACAGCCCGGCCAACAGCCACCTGCAGAAGACGCCTTCTCAAACAGACCTCAGGACAGCGCTCTGGGTAGGGGCTGGGGGAAGGGTGGCAGGTAAATAAGGATGAATGGCCACAGCGAAGGGTCAAGGGAGACCTCGGCAGAGCTGCGGTGGGCGGGCGGGAGCTGAGCAGAGTGGGGCAGGGAAGGGCTCCTCCGGCCAGGCCCCCATCACCCTGAACATGGCTCCCTTGGGCACCTAATACAGGGCGTGCTGGGTGGGAACTGGTCTCGGGGCCCATCCGACCCTGAACAAGGCCCCATTGCGCCCCCAAGTCCACGCAGAGCGCTTGGGATAAAGTAGTCACGAGAGAACACTTCCCTTCCTGAGTGGGGGGGACAGGACGGAGTCTCTGCGAGCTGGCGGCCACTTGCCGGCAGAGACCAGCGGTGAGCCGTTCGCAGCTGGGGGTGCAAAGAGCCAAGGCCGCGCTCCCCGCGGCCCGATCCCGCCACCGCTCCCAGGAACCCCGCCTTCCAGGCGGGGCCCCAGCACCCCGTCGGCAGGGGGACAGCGACCGCCCAGCTCCGCCCCGAGGCTGCGGTGCGCCCGGGCCTGGCGGGCACCCCGGGATGGGGCCGGCTCGGCGCGCTGCACGGCCCCCACGACGCGCCCCGGCCTTCGCCTCGCGCCGCTCTCCCGCGGCGGCCACCGGAAGCAGCAGCCCGCGAGCCGGAAGCTGCGGCCACGGCCGGCCCCCGCCTCGCTCCCGCTCCGCCCCCGCCTCACGCGACCTGGGGCCGCGAGGTCCCGCGAGCGACCGCCGCGTCCCCGGGGGGCCCTCGGCGCCCGGGCCGGGTAGACGACCGGCGCCCGCGGCGGAGCAGCGCACCACGGCCACCCGGAGCTCACTTACGAGAGCTATGGTTGCCGTCGCCATCTTGCGCCCGTCGCGGCCGCCGCGCGCGCCACACGCTCCTGCTCGCTCCGCGGTCTCGCGCGATGTAGGTGCGGCGGAGGCCTTCGAGGAAAGATGGAACTATCGCGATAAAAGGCCCTTTCGCCAGCGACGTGGAAGCAGAAAGAAACGCGCTTCCGGAGCGGGTCGGGGCGGCGGATGGGGCGTGGCCAGGGCGGGGCGTGGCCGAAGCGGGGGCGTGGCCGGGGCGCGGGCGCGGACGGCGCGGGCGCGCGCCGCCAGCCGAGGATTCTTGTGTCCCGCGAATGCTCCGCTGCTCCGTTTCTCTGCCTCCTTACAGAAAAGTTTTGCTGCCGGTTCCCGGCACGCACCCAAGAGCAGGACAGAGGACGGCCGGGCCCCTCCAGGGCAAAGGAGTCCCAAAGGGTCAAGAGAGGTGACGAAATCGCTGTATTTCGCAGTCAGATTTCGAGATGCATCTTTGCATTCTAACATCACTGAAGTCAGGATGCGCCTACCAATGAGTGGTGTGTCCTCATTTAATGGACAATGTCTTCTTTCTTAGTGACTCATAGAACAGTCGTGCATCTTTTTTTTTTTAATCCTCACTTGAGGACATTCTTTTTTTTTTGCATTTATCTTCAGATAGAGCAGGAGGGAGAGAGGGGTGAAGAGAGAGAGAGAAACATCGTCATGGGAGAGACATCAACTGGCTGCCACCCCCAAGACCCCAACCGGGGCTGGGGACAAACTAAACGGAACCCAGGTCTCTGGTTTGTGGGTCCATGCTCTAACTGCTGAACCAAACCTGCCAGGGCATTCAGTGGTGCCTCTTAAAGTCATGGCGTTGTAAGCTTGATGACATGCGGTCGGGGGGAAATGCAGGCTGCCCAGAGGGCATGCACCCAGACTCCCTTATTCCCTCAACGAATTCTTTTTTTTTTTTTTTAAATCTTTAAAAAATTTTTTTTTTTTATCCTCACCTGAGGACATTTTTCCATTTTTTGTTCAGATAGAGCGGGAGGGAGAGAGAGGAAGAGAGAGAGAGAGAGAAACATCGATGTGAAGGGACACATCGAGTGGCTGCCACCCGCACGACCAACCAGGGCCGGGGACAAACTGCAACAGAGGTACATGCCCTTAGCGGGAACCGAACCCCGGTCTTTCTGTACCGCAGGCCAACACTCCAACTGCTGAGCCAAACCGGCCAGGGCCCTCAACAAATTCTTAAAGGCTCAAGGTGCCCTCACCGGCGTGGAGCTGCCCTGGACTTTTGCCATTTGGATCACTCAGTACCAAGACTAACACTCTGAAGAAACCACATCTGTAAGCTCGGGCCTTGAGGTTGTCAGCCCAGCAACTTCAGCCTTTCTGACACAACAGTGTCCTCCCCAATTAGGCAGGTCTCTTCTCAGCCTTGGGAGAGTTTAAAATGAAATATAGGCGTGGCCAGTTAAACATGGCAGACTATTTTCATCTTTCTCCCCTCTAAAATAATGGGAAAAGGATTCTGTAAAGGCAGAAACTCATGAAGACAAGGAGACGGAACAGTGTGGAGCTGGAGGAAGGTGGACAGTGGGAGTGGCTTTAGCAGAGGACAGTTGAGTCCACAGGATCATGCATGAAAATGCAGTTGGTAAAGGAGGAGACCCCAGACCTCCTTCCCTCTCGGCAATGGCAGGGATGTGGGCTCTAGCAGAAGAGCCCTGAGGGCTGGCCATTGGGGCAGGTCCTGCTGTGAAAGTGGCGGAGTAAGTGAGACTCCTGCCCTTTCCACCATGTGCCACTAGGATCTTCAGAGAGGAGGGTTCCCGTGCATTAGCTCCCAGCTCAGAAGAAAAGACTAACAGCTGGGTAGTGGTGGTGGTTGTGGTGGGGGTGCTCAGGAGACTGGCCCAGCTAGATCCGTGATTTCAGCTCACCAGCCCCACAGCTAGGAACATATTATTATCTTAATACTACACTTTTTCTTTATTGATTTTAGAGAGAGAGGAAGGGAGAGGTAGAGAGTGATGGAAACATCTATTGGCCACCTCCCACATGCCCCCCATTGGGGATTTGACCCACAACCCGGGCATGTGCCCTGACCGGGAATTGAACTGGCAAGCCCCTGGTGCATGGATTGATGCTCAACTACTGAGCCACACCGGCCAGGCAGGAATATATATATATATATATTATTATTTTTTTTTTGGTACGTGTCCCTAGCGGGAACTAAACCCGGGTCTCTCTGGTCCGCAGGCCGACGCCCTAACCACTGAGAAAAACTGGCCAGGGCACCATCTTATTCTTTTTTTTTTTTATCCTCACCCGAGGACATTTTTCCAGTTTTTATTCAGATAGAGCGGGAAGGAGAGAGAGGAAGAGAGAGAGAGAAATATCGATGTGAAAGGGACACATCGAGTGACTGCCACCCACATGACCCAGCCAGGGCCGGGGACAAACTGCAGCCAAGGTACATGCCCTTAGCGGGAACCAAACCCGGGTCTCTGTGGACCACAGGCTGACGCTCTAACCGCTGACCCAAACCCGCCAGGGCCACCATCTTATTCTTAAATGTTACTGGGAAGCCCAGGATCACCAACACCTGAGGAAGAGGAAAAAGACAAAGGAAAAGGGACTCAGAAGGAACAGAGACAGTAAAGCAAGAAGAAAAACTGAAATCATATCCTCAGAGATATGGAGAGGGTGTTGCATCCAAAAACAAGAACAAGAGGCTATAAAGAAAACACTCAAGCCCTGGCCGGTTTGTCTCAGCGGTTAGAGCGTCGGCCTGCAGTCCAGAGAGACCTGGGTTTGGTTCCCGCTAAGGGCATGTACCTCAGTTGTAGTGCGTGGTTGGTTGTGCGGGTGGCAGCCACTCGATGTGTCCCTTTGATGTCGATGTTTCTCTTTCTCTCTCTTCCTCTCTCCCCCTCCCACTCTATCTGAACAAAAAAAGGAAAAAAATGTCCTCAGGTGAGGATTAAAAAAAAGAAAAGACAACGCTCAGCAAATGAGAAAGAGAGCCTTCAAATGAAAAATATGAGAGGACAATGAACAATTCAATAGAAGGGTTGAAAGACAAAGTTGAAATCTTCCAAAATGTATAACAATAAAACCAGATAGCTTGAAAACAGAAAATGTAATCATTATCATGCTGGCTAATACTGCTGCCCAGACATCTCCATGATGAGAGGATGAAAGGGTGGACGGCAAGGGTTCACGGGTGAGGAGGCCACAAGCACCCATGCTCTGGTGGCAGCTTCCCCTGTGAAACTGATATGTAATGTGGCATTCAGAGTGCTTGTGGCTGAGCACTGGTTCTCATTACACACCTCATCTCATGCAATCCTTACAACAACCCCTGGAGTGGGCACTACTACCCCATTTTTACAGATGAGGGAATGAAGGCACAGAGCAGTATCATGTAGCAGGAAGCAGAATGGCTCTGGAGCCTAGGCCCTTAATCACCACATATTGCACCTCACAAAAGATAAGTCCACATCTAAATGACAAGAGCTCCAGAAACAAAGGAGAGGGGAGAAATCAGCAAGAAAACAAGTAAAAAAAAAAAAAAAATTCTAGAACCAAAGGGATGGGATCTCTAGACAATAGATGGAAGAGGTCTACATCAAGACATGTCACTGAGAATTCCCAAAGCACCGGGGCAAAGATCAAGAGTGACACCGGAGAGAGAGAGAGACAGACAAAGAGGGAATAAAGGGTCAGAATTCAGAAAGGCACGGAGTTCTTGGCACTAGAAGAAAAGACGATACCTTGCATGTCTTAGGAAGAAATGACTCAGCCTAGCCAAACTTTTGTACCTGGTCACACCGATGAGCAGATGTGAGAATTCAATAAGAACAAATAGGCAAAGACCATGACTTTCCATGCATCCTCTCCCAGGAAACTTGGAGAATTTGCTTCCTCAAACAGGGTAAACAAGGGAAGGGGAAAGCATGGAATCCAGAGACCAGAGGAGCTCCAAGATGCTGGTGAAGGAGTAAGCCATGCTGACACCATGCCAGAGGCCCAAGAACAAGCAGCCCGGGACAGAGCATGGGCATGGGAGGGCTCCAGGAGAAGAAACTGAGCAGTCATTTATGCAGTGAATCCCAAATATTGAGAGAAGGTTCACCCTTCTGCAGGAGAATGTAAGGATGAATTGAGACATGTATAGAAACTAAGTAAACAAACAAAAAAGGCAATTAACTCCAGGGAATACAAAAAGTTGTGCAAGAAGGCAAATATAATCCTCGAACATCTTTTTTTTTTTTTTTGTCATCCTCACCCAAGGATATTTTTCCATTTTTTGTTCAGGTAGGGTGGGAGGGAGAGAAAGGAACAAAGAGAGAGAAAAACATCGACGTGAAAGGGACACATCAAGTGGTTGCCACCCGCACAACCAACCAGGGCCAGGACAAACTGCAACTGAGGTACGTGCTCTTAGTGGGAACCGAACCCGGGTCTCTCCGGACCGCAGGCCGATGCTCTAACTGCTGAGCCAAACCGACCAGGGCCTCGAACATCTTGTTCACTGCTAAAACCTGTGGTAATGACGCTGTAATAATACTCATCATTCTGAGATAATACTGGGTCAGGGGATTAAGGCCAGTGACCCCTCCTTCCCCAGAGGACACCAGCAGGGCACACCAAATGTAAAATAAATTAAAAATCAGTAAAAGCATGTGTGTGGTTTTGTGAAACATGGATTTTAAATGACTGAAGAAACGGCTAAGAGTGAATTTGGAAAGGATCAGGGTTGCAGACTATATTTATTGCTTATTTATTATTCACTTAAAAAATTCTTTAAAAAATAATATGCATATAACCTTGATAAAAGTTGACATGAAAACCTCAACATAGACTTTTGTTTCAAATTTTTTCTTTTCTTTATTGATTCTAGAGAGGAAGGGAGAGATAGAAACATCGATGAAAGAGAACATCGATTGGCCACCTCCTGCATGTCCCCCACTGGGGATTCGGCCCACAACCTGGGCATGTGCCCTGACTGGAAATTGAACAGGCGACCTCTTGGTGCAGGGTCAACACTCAACCACTGAGTCACACTGGCCAGGCTTAACATAGGCTTGATTAAACGAAGCAGTGGTAGTATGGAGAGTTCTGAGTTCAGTTTAATCACTGGTACAATCTGTTACTCATTTGACATAAAACTGTTTTAAGACGATGTGAATCAGTTTAGCATCAGAATTTCCAACTAGGCATGTAAGTCATTTTAGATTTGTAATTTTAGGTTGAAAGGTGTGAGAACTTGAATAATTTTGTAGTGTCGAAATGTTTATGATAACTTGAGATTCACTATATTTACACTTAATTATTTGATATGCCTTGTAAGTTTGTTTTGTCTTGGGTTTTGGTAAGGGCGATGTGGCAGGTGGAATAACAATGCCACCCCCCCACATCCCCCCCGCCAAGACATCCATGCCCTAATCCCCAGAACCTGTGAACGTTATTGAAATAGGGAGACTATCCTGGATTATCCATCCAAGTAGACTCAACCTAATTACATGAAGCTTTTCTGGCTGCAGAAAACCACAGACAGATGTTCATGAGAAAGACTTGACTCCCTGTCACTGGCTTTGACGATGGAGGGTGGGGCCACGAGCCAAGGGACGCAGCAGCCTCTGGAGGCTGAGAGTGGCCTTCAGGTGCAGCAGGCCAGCCACGGGGACCTTGGCCCGACCACCGCCAGGAAATTAATTCCTGCCCAGCGCCAGTGTCCAGCACTGCGCAGTGCCTGACACCACAAGCCAAACACCAACCTGAAGGAGCAGGAACCGGATTCTCCCCTAGAATTCCCAGAAAGAAGTGCAGCTGACTAATGCCTTGGTTTTAGTCTGATGAGACCTGGGCCAGACTTCTGACCTACAGAACCATAATAAATTGGGTGGTTTTAAGCCACTAAATTTGTGGTAAATTATTGTAGCAGCAATAGGCAGCTGATACAGTGGTGAGCTTTCTCAGTTTGGCATTTGAAGCGCTTAAAATGAACCCCGATGAGTGCACTAAATGTATACATGCAATTAAAAATGTTCGAGAGTGTTTACATTAGAACACGGAGGGGAGGTGACCCAAGAGAACTGAGTCCAGGGCAATGGGGGGGGGCAGGACCCTGGGAGGCAGCTGCCATGGGAGGCGGTGACGGAGGTCACTGGAGGGGTGGTTAGTTTGGAGGAGACACAGTGAGGAGTAGGAAGGAAATCTGACCTGACTCCTCCAGGCCAGGGAAGATGGGAGAGAAAAGAGCCCTTTGGAGGGGGCTGCAGGGGCCAGAGGAGTGTTTACAGAAGGAGAGCTGGCCCCAGCCTCAGAGCAGTGCAAACTCAGAGGGGCTCCGGGGTGGGTCTGCAGTAGACATCGGATGGGGTGCAAGACCACACGGTGCTGGGAACAGAGGCGGTGTCTGCCGCCTGCTTCTCCCGCCAGGTCATGGTCCTGCTCAGTACCCTGCGCCCACCTGACGCCTGCAGGTGCCTTACCACTGACTGGAGGTGGGGGTCCTTGTGTGGGTCTGTGGTGCCCCCCAACAGTGGCTCCCTGAAGGGCAGCCTCCCCCATTTGGAGGGCTCAGCCACTGACCAGACAGCTTGGGAGCTGGGTGAGCCTCCGGGCCAGCAAATGGAGGACATGGAAAGGAACGCTGAGCTGCGGAGGAAGGGCTGGGTGAGGAGTCCTGGTCCTAAGGATGTGTGTGGCCTGGTCACCTCCCCCACCCCACTGATGGGCTCCCTGGTGGGCCCACCCCACCCCCCTCACCCCCACACCAGGGCCTCTCAGCAGCTGTGCAAGGCAGATGGACGCTCCTCACTAGCAGGCGTTTGGTCCTCAGCCCCGAGGCACACAGGCAGAAGGCAGCCCTGATCCCAGACCCTTGGCACCCAGCTTCCCCAGGGGGGCCGCCAGGCGCCCGGTCACTGAGCTCCGCGGTACTTGAGGAAGGTGCTCTCCAGGAAGGCAGCCAGCTTAGTCCGGTCATCCTGCAGGGCGGGAGGTTGGCATGGGGGGGACAGGGCTCGGCCCACCTTTTGCCCTCCCAGCCTGGCCATGCCCGACCTGCACACCTCGTGGACAAAGCCGTAGTGCACGAGCTCAGCGGCGAGGTCCTGGGCGCTGTCGGCTGTGGCAGGGCGCAGGCAGGGGCATGGGGGGCGAGGCATGAGGCTACCGCGCCACCCGAGCCCACCCGGGCCCAGGGTCCCCATCCAGGTCCCTGCCCAGCCTACTTGGGAGCAGGTCGTAAGTGAGTTGCCGGTGCAGCCGGTCCTCCAGCACCAGAAGCAGAGTGAGCTGGGAAGGCAGGAGGGCAAGGTCGGCTCCGCAGTCCGCCCCACCCCTCCCCTCCGCTCCCCTCCCCCACCGTATGCTCCGTTTGCCCAGCCTGGGGCCCTGCTCACATGCCAGCGTGCCTTGTCCTCACTTCTCTCCAGGTTACACTGCATCTGGATCACCTAGGGGTGGTGGGAGCCCAAGGTCACCCACAAAGGCTCATACTCAGCAACTGAGGAGCAAGAGCAGATGTACCTCAAAGGGCCCAGAGGGGCAGTAAGGATTGGAAATGGGGACAATCTCTATGGGGAGCCTAGAAGGCACCTCTCACTGAAGGATGAACAGGAGTTTTCACAGGTGGAGAGAACACCTGAACTAAGAGGGAGCTGTGGGAAGCAGGGGAAGACAGAGTCAGCAGAAGCACAGGACACCAGAGGACAGCAGGCTGAGGATCCCCACGATCTCTGTGGGCAGCTGTGGCTGTTAGGACACAAATTCTGGCTGCAGTGTGGAGAGGAGCCTCGAGGAAGGAGGCCGGGGTGGGGAGGGACTGGAGAGCATCCAGGTGGGAATGGAGGCTGGGGTGGGGAGAGACTGTAGGAGCATCCAGGTGAGGAAAGAGGCTGGGGTGGGGAGGGACTAGAGAGCATCCAGGTAGGGAATGGAGGCTGGGGTGGGGAGGGACTGGAGAGCATCCAGGTGGGAATGGAGGCTGGGGTGGGGAGGGACTGGAGAGCATCCAGGTGGGAATGGAGGCTGGGGTGGGGAGGGACTGGAGAGCATCCAGGTGGGAATGGAGGCTGGGGTGGGGAGAGACTGGAGGAGCATCCAGGTGGGGAATGGAGGCTGGGGTGGGGAGGGACTGGAGAGCATCCAGGTGGGAATGGAGGCTGGGTGGGGAGGGACTGGAGAGCATCCAGGTAGGAATGGAGGCTGGGGTGGGGAGGGACTGGAGAGCATCCAGGTGGGAATGGAGGCTGGGGTGGGGAGAGACTGTAGGAGCATCAAGGTGGGGAATGGAGGCTGGGGTGGGGAGAGACTGGAGGAGCATCCAGGTGGGGAATGGAGGCTGGGGTGGGGAGGGACTGGAGAGCATCCAGGGGGGAATGGAGGCTGGGGTGGGGAGAGACTGTAGGAGCATCAAGGTGGGGAATGGAGGCTGGGGTGGGGAGAGACTGGAGGAGCATCCAGGTGGGGAATGGAGGCTGGGGTGGGGAGGGACTGGAGGAGCATCCAGGTGGGAATGGAGGCTGGGGTGGGGAGAGACTGGAGAGCATCCAGGTGGGAATGGAGGCTGGGGTGGGGAGGGACTGGAGAGCATCCAGGTGGGAATGGAGGCTGGTGTGGGAGGGACTGGAGAGAATCCAGGTGGGAATGGAGGCTGGGTGGGGAGGGACTGGAAGGAGCATCCAGGTGGGAATGGAGGCTGGGGTGGGGAGGGACTGGAGAGCATCCAGGTGGGAATGGAGGCTGGGTGGGGAGGGACGGAGGAGCATCCAGGTAGGAATGGAGGCTTGGGGTGGGGAGGGACTGGAGGAGCATCCAGGTGGGAATGGAGGCTGGGGTGGGGAGGGACTGGAGAGCATCCAGGTGGGAATGGAGGCTGGGGTGGGGAGGGACTGGAGGAGCATCCAGGTAGGAATGGAGGCTGGGGTGGGGAGGGACTGGAGGAGCATCCAGGTGGGAATGGAGGCTGGGGTGGGGAGGGACTGGAGAGCTCCAGGTGGAATGGAGGCTGGGTGGGGAGGGACTGGAGGAGCATCCAGGTAGGGAATGGAGGCTGGGGTGGGGAGGGACTGGAGGAGCATCCAGGTGGGAATGGAGGCTGGGGTGGGGAGGGACTGAGGAGCATCCAGGTGGGAATGGAGGCTGGGGGTGGGAGGGACTGAGGAGCATCCAGGTGGGAATGGAGGCTGGGGTGGGGAGGGACTGGAGGAGCATCCAGGTGGGAATGGAGGCTGGGGGGGGAGGGACTGGAGAGCATCCAGGTGGGAATGGAGGCTGGGGTGGGAGGGACTGGAGAGCATCCAGGTGGGAATGGAGGCTGGGGTTGGGAGGGACTGGAGGAGCATCCAGTGGGAATGGAGGCTGGGGTGGGGAGGGACTGGAGGAGCATCCAGGTGGGAATGGAGGCTGGTGTGGGAGGGACTGGAGAGCATCCAGGTGGGAATGGAGGCTGGTGTGGGAGGGACTGGAGAGCATCCAGGTGGGAATGGAGGCTGGGGTGGGGAGGGACTGGAGGAGCATCCAGGTGGGAATGGAGGCTGGTGTGGGAGGGACTGGAGGAGCATCCAGGTGGGAATGGAGGCTGGGGTGGGGAGGGACTGGAGGAGCATCCAGGTGGGAATGGAGGCTGGTGTGGGGAGGGACTGGAGGAGCATCCAGGTGGGAATGGAGGCTGGTGTGGGAGGGACTGGAGAGCATCCAGGTGGGAATGGAGGCTGGGGTGGGGAGGGACTGGAGAGCATCCAGGTGGGAATGGAGGCTGGGGTGGGGAGGGACTGGAGGAGCATCCAGGTGGGAATGGAGGCTGGGGTGGGGAGGGACTGGAGAGCATCCAGGTGGGAATGGAGGCTGGGGTGGGGAGGGACTGGAGGAGCATCCAGGTGGGAATGGAGGCTGGGGTGCGGAGGGACTGGAGAGCATCCAGGTGGGAATGGAGGCTGGGGTGGGGAGGGACTGGAGGAGCATCCAGGTGGGAATGGAGGCTGGTGTGGGAGGGACTGGAGAGCATCCAGGTAGGGAATGGAGGCTGTGTGTGGGAGGGACTGGAGAGCATCCAGGTGGAATTGAGGCTGGGGTGGGGAGGGACAGGGAGCATCCTGTGGGAATGGAGGCTGGGGTGGGGGAGGGACTGGAGGAGCATCCAGGTGGGATGGGAGGCTGGGGTGGGGAGGGACTGGAGAGCATCCAGGTGGGAATGGAAGCTGGGGTGGGGAGGGACTGGAGAGGCATCCAGGTGGGAATGGAGGCTGGGGTGGGGAGGGACTGGAGAGCATCCAGGTGGGAATGGAGCTGGGTGGGGAGCGCTGGAGGAGCAGCCAGGTGGGAATGGAGGCTGGGGTGGGGAGGGGCTGAGAGCATCCAGGTGGGAATGAGGCTGGGGTGGGGGAGGGGACTGGAGCATCCAGGTGGGAATGGAGGCTGGGGTGTGGGAGGGACTGGAGAGCATCCAGGTGGGAAGGAGGCTGGGGTGGGGAGGGACTGGAGGAGCATCCAGGTGGGAATGGAGGCTGGGGTGGGGAGCGACTGGAGGAGCATCCAGGTGGGAATGGAGGCTGGGGTGGGGAGGGACTGGAGAGCATCCAGGTGGGAATGGAGGCTGGGGTGGGGAGGGACTGGAGGAGCATCCAGGTGGGAATGGAGGCTGGGGTGGGGAGGGACTGGAGAGCATCCAGGTGGGAATGGAGGCTGGGGGTGGGGAGGGACTGGAGAGCATCCAGGTGGGAATGGAGGCTGGGTGGGGAGGGACTGGAGAGCATCCAGGTGGGAATGGAGGCTGGGGTGGGGAGCGACTGGAGGAGCATCCAGGTGGGAATGGAGGCTGGGGTGGGGAGGGACTGGAGAGCATCCAGGTGGGAATGGAGGCTGGGGTGGGGAGGGACTGGAGGAGCATCCAGGTGGGAAGGGAGGCTGGGGTGGGGAGGGACTGGAGAGCATCCAGGTGGGGAATGGAGGCTGGGGTGGGGAGGGACTGGAGAGCATCCAGGTGGGAATGGAGGCTGGGGTGGGGAGCGACTGGAGGAGCATCCAGGTGGGATGGAGGCTGGGGGTGGGAGGGACTGGAGAGCATCCAGGTGGGAATGGAGGCTGGGGTGGGGAGGGACTGGAGAGCATCCAGGTGGGGAATGGAGGCTGGGGTGGGGAGGGACTGGAGAGCATCCAGGTGGGAATGGAGGCTGGGGTGGGGAGGGACTGGAGAGCATCCAGGTGGGGAATGGAGGCTGGGGTGGGGAGGGACTGGAGAGCATCCAGGTGGGAATGCAGGCTGGGGTGGGAGGGACTGGAGAGCATCCAGGTGGGAATGGAGGCTGGGGTGGGGAGCGACTGGAGAGCATCCAGGTGGGGAAGGAGGCTGGGGTGGGGAGGGACTGGAGGAGAATCCAGGTGGGAATGGAGGCTGGTGTGGGGAGGGACTGGAGAGCATCCAGGTGGGGAAGGAGGCTGGTGTGGGGAGGGACTGGAGAGCATCCAGGTGGGGAAGGAGGCTGGGGTGGGGAGGGACTGGAGAGCATCCAGGTGGGAATGGAGGCTGGGGTGGGGAGCGACTGGAGAGCAAACCAGGTGGGAATGGAGGCTGGGGTGGGGAGGGACGGGAGAGCATCCAGGTGGGAATGGAGGCTGGGGTGGGGAGGGACTGGAGGAGAATCCAGGTGGGAATGGAGGCTGGGGTGGGGAGGGACTGGAGAGCATCCAGGTGGGAATGGAGGCTGGGGTGGGGAGAGACTGGAGGAGCATCCAGGTGGGAATGGAGGCTGGGGTGGGGAGCGACTGGAGGAGCATCCAGGTGGGAATGGAGGCTGAGGTGGGAGGGACAGGAGAGCATCCAGGTGGGAATGGAGGCTGGGGTGGGGAGGGACTGGAGAGCATCCAGTGGGGAATGGAGGCTGGGGTGGGGAGGGACTGGAGAGCATCCAGGTGGGAATGGAGGCTGGGGTGGGAGCGACTGGAGGAGCATCCAGGTGGGAATGGGAGGGTGAGGTGGGAGGGACTGGAGAGCATCCAGGTGGGAATGGAGGCTGGGGTGGGAGGGACTGGAGAGCATCCAGGTGGGAATGGAGCTGGGGTGGGGAAGCGACTGGAGCCTCCAGTGGGGAAGGAGGCTGGTGTGGGGAGGGGACTGGAGGAGAATCCAGGTGGGGAATGGAGGCTGGTGTGGGGAGGGACTGGAGAGCATCCAGGTGGGGAAGGAGGCTGGTGTTGGGGAGGGACTGGAGAGCATCCAGGTGGGGAAGGAGCTGGGGTGGGGAGGGACTGGAGAGGCATCCAGGTGGGAATGGAGGCTGGGGTTGGGAGCGACTGGAGAGCATCCAGGTGGGAATGGAGGCTGGGGTGGGGAGGGACTGGAGAGCATCCGGTGGGAATGGAGTGCTGGGGTGGGGAGGGACTGGAGAGAATCCAGGTGGGAATGGAGGCTGGGGGTGGGGAGGGACTGGAGAGCATCCAGGTGGGAATGGAGGCT